AGCTTTAAAGAGGCTGTGACATTTCCTCTCCTTATGGAGGAAGGAGGATTGTACCAGTTACCTATTATTCTGTAACAAATCATCCCAAAAGGAAGGTACCTAAACAATAAGCACTTACTATCTTAGATAGTTTCTATAGATCTGGAATTTGAGATCAGGTTAGCTGAATGTGCTGGCTCAGTTTCTCACAAAGTTGCAGTTCAAGATGTCATCTCATTGAGCAAACTGAGGTCACATGCCTACACTCTCACTGTAAGAAGGCTAGAAAAAGTGAGTAACTGTCTTTCTCACTTTCTGTAAGCAGTGCTCATCAACACTAAGACACACCGTAGGTAATTCCCCAAACACAGAAAAAGAACTAAAATGGTGCACAGCAAAAAATAAAACCACAAAAATGTCTAACTCAGAATCATCCCTTTGGCTGCCTAAAACTGGTACAACCACTGCTTTCAATGCTTATACTTCAAAAAAACTTGCCACTTAAAATGTTGCAAATATCCTTCATCCAGTCAAAGATACACTCACTCTATTACCCTCCAAGAAAGTCAGCCAACGTTTCATCAGTTACCACATCCGTCTGTCTATTTCTAAGTCTAAAACCTCTAGTTGATATCTAATCCTTTGCAATTTATAGGCTGAATAATCAAGTTTATGAACAACAGCACACCCTACATACAATAGTGAAATAGAGGGCAAAGAAAGAAAATAAAATTTAAAACACATAAAAGTACATGTGATACTCATCAAGATAGGAGATACAAGTAAAGATGCCAGCTTTCATTTCTTCCCCTGATGATGAGGACTGCACCATCCTTAGTGACTTCCTTTTTCCATCAGCCATTCTGTGTTCCCTTTGCCTTCAGCCAGTACCTTCGTTGCTAAGGGATCTGTGTATTTCATAGAACTATCTGTTTAAAGGTATAACTGCTGGGATGCCTGGGTGGCTCAGTGGGTTAAGCCTCTGCCTTCAGCTCAGGTCATGATCTCAGGGATTGAGCCCCGCATCAGGCTCTCTGCTCAACGGGGAGCTTCCCCCACTCTCTATGCCTGCCTCTACCTACTTGTGGTCTCTCTCTCTGTCAAATAAATAAATAAAATCTTTTAAAATAAATAAATAAATAGTAAAGGTATAATTGCAAACCTATTTCTGCTCGATGATCAGGGTGAATCACTCTAGACAGTATCATAACCTTATTCTTCTCCTTTTCCTTCTCTTGCCTATCCAATGACTCAAGACACACAAAATGGTTAGATAGCAGTCTCATCCCCAAATCAAGGGAACCACTGCTCAGCCTGTGTTGGAAGAATTCCTTTCTTTGTTAACAGACCTCTAAACCAGCAAAACCCAGAATCTCTGAGACTGGCAGTTAAGAAAAAATTAATAGCCCTTTGTTCCTAAATCCATTATTTTTGCATATCGAAGCCTGATAGTTTTAAAACATATCCACAAATTCTTTGACCCTTCTCCATTAAGAAAAGGAGTCTCTGGTTGCTGGAGGGGAGTGGGGGTAGTGGGATGGGATAACCAAGTGATGGACACTGGGGAAGATATGCATTGTAATGAGCACTCGGTATTATATAAGACTGATGAATCACAGTCCTGCACCCCCAAAGCAAATAATACATTATATGTCAATTAACTGAATTTAAAGAAATTTTTTAAAAAAGAAAGAAAAGGAGTTTCCTTTGACATAACCATCTTTAGTAACTTAGTCCTAATGAACCAATGTGATTTTGAAGTGACACTGCAGGACTTCCATTGTTGGTTTAGAAAGGCATTACAGTCTCCATCTGGATTTCTCTCTCTGGGGATGTTTTGCCCTTGGAACCCAGCTACCATGTTGTGAGGAACCAAATAGCACTGTGAAAAGGCCACAAGTAGGTGTTCTGACTGAAGACTAAGCATCAGTCCCCAGACACATGAAAAAGTGAAACTTTAGATGATTTTAGCCCCCAAGTTTTTGGCTGCCCCAGCTGGCACCAAGTGGACAGTAGAACAGAGATAAACTGTCCTCACTGCATCCTGCAGAAGTTATGGATTTGTAAGCAAAGTAAATGTTGCAGTTGTTTTAAACCACTAAGTTTTGGAGGTAGCTATACAACAATAGACAGCAAGGACATGAAGGAAAAGTCCTAAATATTGGACACCAGTTCAAAGCATATGCTGCAAAAAGGGTTATCTCCCAGAAGGCATCATAACTAAGTCTTCAGTAAGACGTGTGCTTCTTGGTGACAGACAATACAATTAGACCAATGAACTCTATGGGCAGTAGCCCATTGCATCACTTCTTTCATTAAAGAGTGAGTTTTTTGGTCAGAAGCTATATGGTGTCAGATGCAATGACTATGTACAAAACATTCAATAAATCCCCAGATGGTGGCACTGACAGCAGCACAGGAAGCAGGGAAGCAAATCTAAATCTAGAGTAAGCAATTTCAGAGAGGAAAATAACTATTCTCTCTCAATGACCAGGTAGGGTCAAGGGAATTGACTTGCCTCTGAGTGGCTGGCTGGTCCTCCTGGAGCAGGGCGTATCTCACCAACTCAATTGGTCAATGCTGCTGGCAACCTGAACACTCAACAGTGGTTTGGTGATTCTAGGCATAGCTCCAAATCCTGCTATCATTTCCATTTCATTCATGATTCCATTGAGCAAGAACTGAGCCTGGAAAAGCAAAAAGAGGCTGAGTTTCCTCTATAAAGCAGTTCATTTCATCTATTTGATTCATAAGATTCATTCTGCTAGGTCCATTAGCATATCCCCTCCCAAATACTCCTTGTCACCAGTTCTCCAGTCTTGCTCTTTCCAATGTCCTTGACCACTGGGCAAAACATTTAGCTTTGTACTATGAATTATTACCCAAGGCCAACTCTCCTTTCAGAAAAAGTGAACTTCTGGACATACTGCTGGACACTCTGCACATTAAAAGGACTTCATGACTTCAGTGTTCTTCAGGTGCAAAGTGGGACCCCAACAATCTCACAAGGCATTTCTGGCAGGTACCACCATATTGTCCAGAGCAACAAACCTGAGCAATATCTGGCACATCATGGGTACTCGACGGACATTTGTTGAATCATTCTTCAAAAATGTAGATCATAACTAACTAAAACTTAAACATTTAGAAGAAAAAAATGTAGATCATTTCCCTCCCTCCTCTGTTTAAACTCCTTCAACAGCTTCCTATTGCTCTAAAAGACCCTGCTGGCTATAACCTCTGCCTTTTCCATCCTCTTGTTCTCTGAACTCTTAGCATTGGTCCTCAATTCTTGGAATATTCCATGCTCCCTCCTGCCACAAGACTTTTGCTTGGACTCTATCCTCTCCTTGTCAAGTTAACTCCATCCTCACATCTTGATTCAAGGATTCTTTCCTGTCTTCTATTTATCTTCATAATTAACTCCGTATTTATTTACGTGTTTAATTAATTCCTGCCTTACCCTGGGACTCTAAGAATGTCAGGATTATGAGCACTCACCACTGGATCTCTAGCACCTAATAAATTGCCTGGCACTTAACAGTGCTAAATAATATTTTGCTGAATGAACACATAAATAAATGAATGAATGTGTCTGTAATAAAATGCAGCATATGTAATTTATCTCCAAGTTATCACTGCCAGTTTTGCTTAAGAAGCTTTCTGTTATCAATTCCTACTCCTTGAATTCACATTTCTTTATTAATTTAAAAAGGCATTTGTCTAGACAAAAACTTTCCTAAGCATCGTTCTATAATAGAACTATGCAATAGAAATATGTGAGCTACATATAACTTCAAATATACTATCAGTCACATTATAAGAACTGAAAAGAAATAATTTTACTATTTTACTTAACCAGTATTCCCAAGACACCGTTTCAATGTGAGATCGATATAAAAAAAATTGATGGAATATTTTACATTCTTTTATTTATCCTGTCTTTGAAATTTTGTGGGTATTTTAGTTTCATTGTATCTTGGTTTGAACTAGCTTCATTTCAAGTGCTCAGTATGGGACAGTGCAGTTCTTTAGAACTCACTTTCACAAGGAGTCTGACCATCCTCAGCACCTAAATTCGTGCCAGGAAAGCGTCCTCAAGTCGAACTTTCTTCCAGAAGATCTAACTGTTCCAGTATAAGAGATGATTTAAACCAGATACAAGAGTGAACCCCAACTCCTTCAGGATTCATTAATTTAGAAAGGTATCTCTAGGGGTACCTGGGTGGCTCAAAGGGTTAAGCCTCTGCCTTCTGTTTGGGTCATGATCTCAGGGTCTTGGGATCCTCAGGGTTTGGGGATCGAGCCCCGCATCAGGCTCTCTGCTCAGCAGGGAGCCTGCTTCCTCCTCTCTCTCTGCCTCTCTGCCTACTTGTGATCTCTGTTTGTCAAATAAATAAATCTTTTTTTTAAAAAAGGTATCTCTAGGAACAATTTTAATGTCCATCTTCCTATAACATCTTTTTATGTCTTATTTAAGTAGAAACTTTGTTCCTCCTGAAGTTATGGGCCACCTTCTTTGCCAACCTTTAGTTTCTCCTCCTTCGAAGCCAACTTATAATTCTCCATTTTTAGGTTCTTCATGGCAAATATGTCCGTTCCCTTGGCTGCTGAGGAAAGTTGGGGCGGTGTGGGGGTGTCTGTCGAAACCTCCCATGTTCAGTACTCATTCTTTCGGCGTCTTCGTTATGCCTGCTTGGACCTCTGGAGGTGGCCGCCCAGAGAGCAGCCCAAATCATGGTTTAAGGCCCAGAGATGGAGTCGGATTGCTCCTTCGGTTCAAAAAGCAGCTCTCTGTCTGCCAGCACTATACGCACACAACGACTTTTGGATGCTTTAACCTCACCAGAGAGCCACTGCCCAGAAAAACAAACAGCATTAGCTAGCGCTAGACAAGCCTGACCTCGGCTTCACCACCTGCCCTTGGCTAAAGAGGAAGGGGCGGGACATCCGCCCGGTCGGAGACACTTCCGGAAGTGACGTAGGAGTGTCAACATGCAAGATGGCGGCCCATCACCGGCAGAACACGGCAGGGCGGAGGAAAGTGCAGGTAAGGGAGTCCCGCTCCTCGACCTCCAGGACGTGGCCTGCGGCCCCGAGCCCACCTGCAGCAAGGAGATGCCTCGGGCCGTGGTCGTTCAGGGTAGCGGCTTGGGGCGAGCGGGACAGGGCGCGGCCGGCGGCGAGGGGTGGGGCCGCGGCACTAACGGCTTGAGGAAGGGGCGGGGGGCGGCTGTCTGGGCCCTCCTGGGCCCAGTCCCGGGACCCTAGGGTGCGCGGTTTGGAGCTCGGGCCTGTCGGACTCCAGCTTTCTCGTAGGCTTGGGCTTGCTGGATCTGGAAGGGCTTGTTTCCCGCCCACCTGGCTCCCTCTTCCCTTGCTTTTCATCAAAACGCTCTGCCCTATCGTGTCTGAGCCGAGGCCTGCGGGCACTTCCTCGGCGGGCGGCTGCGGAATGGGCCTGTGCGGGGGCGTGGCGGGGCAGCGGGGCGCAGATGGCCCTGAGGGGTTTCTGCGGAGGATTCTGCACTTGGGAGCCCTCTGCCTTTTTATGTTTTTGTTTTTGCGGAAGCTTTGTCCCTTCTCAGGTGGAAACGACGTGGAAGTGTGCAAGTGTTAGTGGGAAATTATCATTTTTACTCATTTCTTCATCTTCATAGTGCATCCTCAAATCTTTTTTTTCCAGTTTCTAATGATTTATTATTCAGGGGTAAGAGTTATCTGACCCTTTCGTGTGTTCTTTATGCCTTCGTGAATGCACTCTTATTTTGGGTACAATTAAGAGTTACCACTCTATTATTTTCAGCTGTGCAAGGAGTAAAAGGCCCTATGGCAAGTGTTTGCCTACAGGTATATTGTATATAGGAGTGATGGTTTCTGCGCTTATTCATTAAACGTTTACTGAGCACTTAATTTAGTCCTAAAGATGTGCAAAGAATTGAGATAGTATGGGAATAAGTAATACCCAGGATCTCTTTATGAACTACGTTATATGTGGTTCTGCAGATTGAAAGCGATTGTTTAATAGGTAAACAGGACAAAGTGATCCTTTAGGAAGGTAACCCCGGCTGTCGCTGTAGGCCATTGTCTTCTGGGCAGTTCACTTACTTGTTTTATTGGTCTCATTGATTCACTACAATGACCTGAGCATTCACTAGATGTCTCTGAGTGATGTCTCTGAATTGAGTGAAATTAATGAGAATCTAAAAAAACTTACCCTGTTAGGTGATTTTTAAGTGCATCAGTAACAGGATTTAAGTAACCCCAGCATTCACGCTAGGTGGGTGAAAATGTGTGCTGTGGACTAAAATGTAACTCAAAATTGTCTTAATTGTGTTGTAGACACTAGAGTGGTACACTTCTTAGGGTAGTGAGGAGAGTTAATCAGGCATCTCAGTTTCTTGCATTTAAATGTAAAAGGCCATTTAAAAGTACAAGATGAGGAAATATAAATTCGCCACAATGTGTGTGGAAAAATTGAGTGTTTTAATAAGCTGAATGTGAGCCATTGCTTGCTGAATGAGGGAGATAATTCATTCTTTGCCGGTCATAATACAAAACTACAGTTTGGGGTTCAGCACATATTATCTTGTTCTTGATAGGTCTAGCAGTCAGATTGGTGAAGTAACCTGAAACTATTTCCTATAAAGAGCTCAAAAGAAGGAAGATTAGCCTGCTGAAGAGAAGATTCAGTGAATCTTGTTAGTTGCTTTCAGAATTTGTCCCCAAGATATAGAACCAATGTGAGAAGCTACAGAGATTGTATCTCATTGTGAGGGAGAACTTTTGTTTTTGGCAGTGTTTTTCAAACTATTCTCTGAGCACTGTTGGCATGTTGGGCTGCATGATTCTTTATTCTTTACTGGGGTTGGGGGCGGTCCTATGCATTATAAGTTGTTTTGCATCATCTTGGCTTCTGTGTACTAGATCTTAGCATCCCTCCAGTGTTGACAACCAAAATTAACTAGATACTTTAAAATGTTCGTGGGAGGTTGAAAACCAGTGTTCTATATCTCTTTGTGCATGTGTACACAATTTACTTGATTATTTTTTAACTCTGAACAAAAATCATAGTATTTATTGTTCAGTGTCTTGCTGTTTGGCAAAATTTTAAATACACATTCCCATTGACCCAGCAATTCCAAGTCTAAAAAATTGTTTTACAAAAGTGCAAATGAGGGGCGGCTGGGTGGCTCAGTCAGTTAAGCGTCTGCTCAGGTCAGGATCCCAGGGTCCTGGGATTGAGCCTGGCTTCGGGACTCCCTGCTCATCGGGGAATCTGCTTCTCTCCCTCCCTCTTTCTCTCTCTCTCTCCCTCCCTCCCTCCCTCTCTCTCCCAGTGCTCCTACCCTGGCTCATGTTTCTCTGGCTCTTAAATTAATTAATTAGTTTAAATTAATTTTTAAAATTTTAAAAAGTTTAATTTTTTAAAAAGTTTAATTTAAAAAAAAACAGCTTTCTCTAGTTGTGCAAGAGTGTTTATTTTAGGAATGCTGTGATTGTGAAAAAACCCAATGTCCATCAGTAGTCACTTAGCAGATAAATACATTTACATAGTGGATTAATTTGCAGTTGTTAAAAAGATAAGCTTGATCCATATTATTAAAAAGGGAAGATGTCCAGAAGTCAGAAAAACAAGTCAACATAGCATAGTCCCATTTCCACGAAGGAAATAATGTGTTTTAAATGTCTGGAAGGCTATTAACAGTAATTATCTCTAGTATTAGATTATGTGATTATGGGTAAGACAGCAAATGGGATATCTTTTATTTTAAAATATATGTTAATATATATTTTTGAGCTTTTTGCAGAAATTTTGTTTTTATGAATAAAATCTCACCATTTTGGAAAAAGTGTATATGCCTACCTAAAGATATTTTGCTTCTTGGCTATCTTGTAGCAAGAGGCAGTAGCCCTGAGCTTCATTATTAAATTGTAGGCCAAAAAGAACCCTTGAGACTTATAATACTGATAAATAACCAGTGGAGAGGGGTCCAAACATTACTGCTTATTAATTATAGACATAATGAAGAATGAACACATGTCCTACCATCTTCGACTTCTAAGCAGCCTGAAGGTGAGTATGAGGGGGAGGGGTGGATTTGTGATTGGCAGAAACATGATCAGACAGTCAAATGTATGAATTCAGATATATGATGCAGATTTTTTCCTGATAATCAAGGTATCAAGCAAGTATTTTCATTCCCTGGTGGTCCCTTACTGTTATTATTTTCTAACAACTAGAGTCTATTGGTTGACTCACACTCTTTCTTTCTCACTCTCCCACTTCCTCCCCCTCCCTCTCGCCCTCTCTCTATCAACAATGGCCTCTTCCCTCATTTGCTTCAGAATTCTTGAAATGAGGTTATCACTGCTCATCCTATTCAGGAGCAGCAACCATGCCCTACTATCCAGTGATGTTTTAACTATATACATACTTGGCCTTCCATAACAGGATTCTTTTCCTTGGAAATGACCCCAAATCCAACTTAACCAGGCTCACATAATAAAAGACATGTGTTGGCTCAGGTAAATGAAAAATCAAGAGGTAATGCTGGTTTCATGCAAATCTTGAATGAGCAGGTTCACTGTGACTCTAACCTAAGAAATGTTGTAAAGTCAGCTTTACCATTGGGCTGCTGCTGAGTTCTCTTCTCTTCCCAAACTCCTAGCTATAGGCCTTCACTCAATTGGAGGGGGGTGAGGGGGCAGGAATGGGCTGTCCCATCCCAGTTCTCCTGTCCTTTCACGCAGTGTTCAAGGCTACAGTCTCTTAAGTAGCTCCTGTAAATTTTCTTCTAGGATTTGCTTGCCTTGAGGAGAGGAAATGGGGAATGAATGGAGAGGCAGCCAACAAAGGTTTCTTCTATGAGTACTTACCTTTTTTCTCTGCCAAATATTTAGTTATTCCAGACCTATTCAGAACTCAGTGTGGGTCCTTATTTCTGATTCTGAGTCCCAGTTTTGGGTTGGTTGTTTAATCTTTGAGACTTTTTTTTTTTTTAAGGAAGTAAAGTGATGCCAAATCCTGACTTCTCAAGGAAAGACCTTTACAAATTAGCTGTATGTCCAAGATGAATTACTTTTTATGTAGGATGGGTAGTAGAACAAATTATAACAATGTGACATCCATTGGAACAGAGGTCAGTAAACTTTTTCTCTAAGGGGTCAGATGGTAAGTATTTTAGGCCTTGCAGGCCATTTACTGCATCATAACTACTCAACTCTGCCATTATAATGTGAAAGCAGCCATAGACAACACCTAGATGAATAGATGCGGCTGTGTTCCAATAAAAGTTTGTTTACAGAAACAGGCTTTAGCCTGGATTAGGACCATGGGTAGTTTTTTACTAACCCCTAGAGGAGTTTTACTAACACCCCCTGACTACAGGTCAAGCTAGAAGATGTCCGATTTTTATCTGCAAGAGTGCTTTTTAGGATAATTTTTAAAATTGGCACTCTTGAAACTAGGTACAAGAAGGAAGTAATGGTCCACAGGATTGAACAGGGAAAACAGATGTGGGAATTACTGCTATCTGGCCAATTTTTCTTGGCCAGATTTAGTCTGATTTAACCTGATAGCTGGAAGTAGCCTTACACTAAAAAACTGTGTGATTCCACTTATAGAATGTTATAGAACAGACAGAACTAATCTGTGTTGAAAAAAGTCAGATCTAGACTGCCTAGGAATGGGGTGTAGAGGTTGGGAAGCAGAGGAGGAAACGTTTTAGGGTGGTAATAATGTTCTTTATGTCTTGGGTAGGGGTTTGTATTAAACAGATCCATACAATTGTTAGAAGTATCTGTGTACACATAAGATTTCTACTTTTCATTATATGTAAATTTTACCTTAAAAGAAAGCCGTTTTTTTTTAAAGCCACAAATAAATAATGAACTTTAGGTGATGATACACAAGTTGAAGTATTTAGGGGGAGGTGGTATTGATGTACAACTTATTTTGAAAGGCATTGAAAGTAATAGATCAAGTGGTTGGATGGGTATGAGATAAACAAATACAAACAGTGTTAATTGTAGAATAGATGTGCGTATACAGACATTTGCCATGTAACTCTTTCAACTTTGAAATTTTTGTAATATAATGTTGGGTGAAAATAAGCTTTAAATGTTAAAAAATGGTTAGTGATAAGCAGCAGCAGGAGGGGGAAGTGCAATTTTAAGTGTGGTGGCCAGAAAAGGATTTGCTGAGAAGTTGACTCTTGAGTAAGGATCTGAAGGAAATGAGATTGCCATCTGGAAGAGCATTCCAGTGAGAGCATCAGATGTAAAAGTCCTGATTGGGAATGTACCTGGCTTATTTGTGGAATGCTAATGAATCCTTTGTGGCTAGTATGGAGTGAGTGAGAAAAGAGGAGCAGGAGATGAAATCAGAGAGGTAACTGCAAGCCAGATCTTTTAGAGCCCTATAGGTCATAGGAAGGGCTTTGGCTTTTGCTCTTGAATGAGATGGAAAGCAGTTGGTGAACTTGGAGCATTAAAACACACATATATGTATGTTTTAATAGGACCAGCCTGGCTGCTGTATTTAGAACAAACTGAAGATGAGCAAGGGCAGAGCAGGGGGACAGTAGCTATTTAAGAAATCCAGATAATAGTGCTCCATGAAGGGTGGTGAGAAGTAGTTACATTTTTGAAGACTAGACTCACTGACAGGATGTGAGATGAGACAAATTGAAGTAGTGCTGGCGCCAAGGTTTTTGGCCTGAGTGACTGAAAGAACGGAGTTGCCATTAAAGCCCATCAGTGAGAGAGACTACAGGAAAAGCTAGTTTGGAGAGGACTGTTGGTTTGGACAGTGCCACAATTAAGATACCTGTTAGACATCCAAGTGGAGGTAAGTCAGGGCACACTGTTTGGGGGTAGGGGGTGGAGCAGGCTGGAGAAATAGCCCAGAGTCCTCTTCTGTGAGCCTGAAATGCTTTGTCTTTTAAGGTATTTATTTATTTATTTATTTGGCAGGGAGAGAGAACACAAATAAGCAGGGGGACGGACAGGCAGTGGGAGAGGGAGAAGCAGGCTCCCCGCTGAGCAGGGGGCCCAATGGGGGCTTGATCCCAGGCTCAGTCCTATGACTCTAGGATCATGACTGAGCCCAAGGCAGCTGCTTAACTGATTGAACTACCCAGGCACCCCAAGCCAGAAATGCTTTGAAGTATCCCTTGTTTGCTTAAAAAGTTTGTGAATTTTGTACTTATTCTATGATATAGCATATTTGTTTTCATATAAAAATTGCCACTGTGATTGGCAGAATTCCCCCGCCCCCCAGCAAATGCCCATGCCCTATTCCTTGGAAGTTGTGAACATGTTATATTGCATGATAAAAAGAACTTCACAGATGTAATTAAGGTTACAGACCTTAATGGGGGGATTATCCTGGATTATCCCAGTAGACCCAATTTAATCATGTGAGCTCTTAAACGCAGAGTGTATTCTCACAGTGGACACAGAAGTCAGAGAGATTTGAGGCACTAGAGGGACCCTCTTTTGTAGGAGAGGGCACACAGAAAGTAGGAGAATGACTGCATGCAGCCTATAGGAGCAAAGATGGACTCCTGGCTGACAGCCAGCAAGGAAACAGGACCTTCAGGCCTACGGCTTGAATGAGCTTGGAGGCCACCTCTCCTAGAGCCTCTGAGAAGGAACACAGACCCACCAGTCAACTCTTGTCCATATTGGCCTTGTGAGAGCAGACGACCCACCCTAGCTCAGTATGGACTTCTGATCTTCAGAATTGTGAAATAATAAATGGGAGTTGTTTGAAGCCACTAAATTTGTGGTAATTTATTATGTCAGCAGCAGAAAACTAATCTGATTATCATGAAATTAAAATAATCAAGGATAGTTTTTCTCCTGATTGCCTCTACCCTCCTGCATATTACCAATAATTCAGGGCTATTTAAACTTGAAATGCAGAAACAGATCACATGAAGTTTAGTGGATCATCCCCATTATCTGATTTCTTTATTTTGGGTCCCAGATAATTGTTGGAGAAATTAATCAAACAGTGCTTACTAAGCCAGTTACAAATACTTAAGAGTATAACCTAACTGGATTAATTGCTGCTGGGGCACTACCACATTCTTCTCCTTGTTCGTCCCTTTACATGTTTCTTCTAAAATGCATAGCTCCTACCAAAGGTCTGGCTTCCCATCCCTTGCAGAGTTCTTAAAGTACCCTCTGCTCTTCCCCATGCCCCCCCTTTTTAAGCAATTTAAAATGGTCAGATATGAATCTTCATCTCTGCATATGCCTATACCCTTGACTGTCTAAATAAGGTTTTTCCAGGACTTTGCTCACTCATTCATTACTACCATCTCCAGCACCTTCTGCTTTTCTTTTTCTTTTTCTTCCATCTCTTCTGCCTTCAAAGCTTACCTTCATCTTTGGGTGGGGTTGGGGGAGGTGGGGAGTGGCAGCAGATTTCACTTAACTTGCTATGACTTCTCTTATATTCTTTCCACGCTAGAATGAAAGCTCCAGGTGCCTGGGTGGCTCAGTTGGTTAAGGGTCTGCCTTCAGCTGAGGTCATGATCTCAGGGTCTTAGGATCAAGCCATGTGTCAGGCTCCCAGCTTAATTAGGAGGCTGCTTCTCCCTCTCCTTCTGCACCTCCACCCTGCTCATGTGTGCGCTCTCCCTGTCTCTCTCTCTCTCTCTCAAATAAATGTCTTAAAAAATAAATAAAAGATTGAAAGCTCCAGGAGGCCTTCTATGCTCACTCACAAAATCCTCAGTGTTTAGAATTGAGCCTGGACACTGGTGGATGCTTCATCAATATTTGTTGAAAGAACATCCTGTTTTTCTTTTATCTACAGCCATTTATTTTATTTTATTTACTTATTTAAGAGAGAGAGTGAGAGAGAGGACACAGAGGAAGAGGGAAAAGCAGACTCCCCTGCCAAGCAGGGATCCCAGTGCAGGGCTCGATCCCAAGACCCTGGAATTATGACCTGAGTGGAAGGCAGATGCTTAACTGACTGAGCCTCCCAGGTGCCCCAATTTTTTTTCTTTAACAGTAGGTTTTTAGGGGCACCTGGGTGGCTCAGTCGGTTAAGTGTCCAGCTCTTGATTTCAGCTCAGGTCATAATCTTAGGGTTGTGCGATCAGGCCCCTTACTGGGCTCTGGGTTGGGTGTAGAGCCTGCTTGGGATTCTCTCTCTTCCTTTCCCTCTGCTCCTCCCCCCACCCTTGTGCTCTCTCTCTCAAACACTAAGTTCTTAATGTGATATGTCTTAGAATATACCAGCATATTCAGCTCATTTTCTTTTTTTTTTTTTTAAGATTTTATTTATTTGAAAGAGAGTGTACATGAGAGACAACACAAGCAGGGGGTGCAGCAGAGGGAGAGGGAGAAGCAGGCCCCTGGCTGAGCAGGGAGCCGACATAGTGGTGGATCCTAGGACATTGGGATCATGACCCGAGCCAAAGGCAGATGCCCAGCCAACTGAGCCACCCAGGCGCCCCTCATTTTCATTCTTTGATGACCACTTAGAATGGATAATTTATCTAGTCATTTCCTCTTTGAAGATACTATTGTTGTTTTGTCCATCATACTAAAATTTACTAAAAAAAAATTCATGACAGTTAAAAAATAATAAAGGAGGTCTTATAAAAGTAAACAAAAGGACAAAGATCCATAATATAGAATGCATAAAAGATGTAGGATCAGTTTGGAAGTTCCAACATCTGATCAATGGGGGTTTGAGAAGGAGCAGAGAAAACAGATTATTAGTGACTTCATACAAGAAGGTTTTCCAGAGCTAAAGTGCCACAAGCTTGTAGATAGAAAGGGCTTTCTCAGTGCATGACAAAATTGATAAAAGGACCAAAAAATAAATAAGTAAAGCAGCAAGAAAATAGAGAAGATCCTAAACACTTAGGAGTGAGGAGAGTGGGCAGGTGGCAGTACAGGAAACAATGAAAATGAGATCACTTTAGAATGGAATGAAACAGAATGCCGTTGAATTCAGTAACAACGCTGGGTGCTGGATTGGAAGTTGGAGCCGGGGCTTCCAGAAGCAGAGGGGTTTTTCTATATGGGCTTCTTCACCCTGCCAAATCAAATGTAGAGGTAAAGACCTTTTTAGGCTTGTAAGGTCTAAAATCACCTCCCATGCAGCTTTTCCTATGTTAGTTTCTTAAGGTGCTGGGAATGGGCTTCAGCAAAACTGGAGAGTGAAGACAGAAGAAAGGCGACATTGGAACTCAGGAAACAATGGCTTGAACCCAGCCTAGCCTAGAAGAGCAGTAAAGGGAAGCATCCAAGGTGCCAGCTGTGCCAGCGGACAGAGAGGGCAAGTGGCCTGGGCCAGAGTGAGAAGATGTGTGTTTCTGAGAGATTTCTGGGTAAAGCAGGGAGATCTGGGCCTTTGCTCTAATATCTAACATGGTGCTGCAATGACCGGGAGTTGAAGTTAAAGTAGAGGAAAGCACTGAGGAAGGGAAGAAAGGGAGAACACCAGGGAAAACAAAAAGCTAAGAAAGAAAATGTATTCTTGGTGCAGTTCTTGGCCAGTCAGTAGACAGCAATTACAAAGTTGAACAGTGTAGCTAGTGCTAGTGATGTATTCACCTGGAAATCGTGGTACATTTATATCATAAGAGTACAGGGAGGAGTTACTGAGGGGAGTCACTAGATCCCAGTCTGCCATAGCCTGAATAAAAAGATAATGTCTAAAATGGATAAGCCAGAAGGTTGTAGGATAAGCACAGTATTTTGAGAAAGGGAGTAACTCTGCAGAAGCAACCAAGAGTTGAAATGAGTTACCCCAAGGAATTAAGACTGGGTATAGGGAGTCTTACCTAGACAGGGTTTTTCATCAGAGTCTTTCAATACTACGGTATTTGATCTTCTGAATATAGGCAAGAATTACTTGGACAGAAATTAAATTATACATTCAAAAAAACTAATATGTGTCTGTCGTAAAACATTCATACCATACAAAAAAGTCACAAGTGAGTGACAGTCACCGTAATTCCATCACTTGAGAGTAACTACTGATAGTTTTATGTATGTATATCCTTCCAAATTTATTGTTTTAAAATACACATTTAATATTCTGCAACATGTTTATAATATTTATTTTTCATGTTATTTTCATATTTTTCTGTTGGCCATATTTCACTTCAAAAAAACATATCATGGCTTTCTTCCCATGTTGGTTAGTCTGTATCTGCGTCAACATTTTTAATGACTAAATAGCATTCTCTTTTATAAGGTGTGTGCCAAAATTTACCCAACTAGGATACTTCTAATTCTTTGCCATTTCTAATCACACATCTGTAGCAGATACCCTTGAAGAGGTAAGCCTGGATTTGTTTTGCTAAGAATTACTTTCCACCTGGAATGAGGACCTGACAATCATGTTGTTACTTTCTGACCATTTCCCACTGGACCAATCAGATAATCTGCCAGAAATTTGAAAATTAAGATTCCTATGTGCAACATATTCTCCACTATGAAATGTGCCTTGGAGCCCCAGAGAGGAAGAGATTGAGAGAGGTTGAAATTGATAATGAAGCCATCTTGGTTCTGATGGCTTTCCAGTGTCTGATTCATGCAACAATATTTATTGTGTCTTTTATGTGCCAGACACTATAATGAGGTACAGTGATAGAAGGCACAAGGCTGACAAGTTCCTTACCCTCTTGAAGCTTTTATTCTAAAGGAGAAGATACAACAAAAAAAGAGAAATACAGAGCGTGGTAAGAACCGTGCAAGAAATAAGTAGGGTAAGTGATGGAGGAAGGAGATCAGGGGATTCCTTTCAGAAGAGGTGACTTTTCTGCTAAGATCCGAAGGGCCAGGATGAGCCAGACCAGATAAAAGCCGGGGGAGGGTATTCCTGGGGGGCTTATAGAGATGGGGGATGTTCTTGGCACAGGGAACAGTTCATACTGAAGCCTTGTTATGGGTGGGCTTGATGTGTTTGAGGAATAGAACAGAGTTTGGGGTAACTCTCATGAAAGAAGCCGAGGGGAGTGAGTTTGAAGTGAGTGTGAAGATGCAGGATAGATCCAAAGCATGTGAGGAGTTTGGACTCTTAATGCTGTGAAAAACTTTTGGAAGACTGCAGCAGAGAAGTGCCATGATTTTATTTTAAAAATGTCTCTTATGAGTCATGACCATATTTCCTGCCCTTGGGCTCTGATTGATATCCTTGTATATTTATGTTAAATACCCTCTCTTTCTCGCTCTCTTTTTAATTTAAGCTGATTTGAGTAAATATCTGTTACAGTTACTTGTACCCAAAAGACTAGGTCAAAAACAACAGTTAGGTTTTTGTGCATAGAGCCCTGACCCTTTTTGTTTCTTTATTTATGTGTATGTCGGCATTTTCTTTTCTTTTGAAAAAGTATCCTCTTCATGATCTTTATTCCTCTGTCTGTTAGAGAGTTTGATGACTTCTTATTGTTTTGTATGGACTCTGTAGGCTCTCAAGAGTAAACATTTAACTTTCATATATATTTTATTATTTTCCCAGTTAGATGTTTGCCTTTTCACCTTGCTCATCTTATTTTTTGGCATTCAGGGTTTGGTTTGGTTTTGGTTTTTCCCCTCTAAATAACAACATTATTGAGATAAAATTTGTGAACTCACCCTGTTGAAGTATAGGATCCAGGGTTCTTTTGTAAATTCACAGTGTTGCACATTGATCACCTTATTCAGAGCCTTTTGTCACCCCAGAAAGAAACCTTATATAGTATTCACCCCCATTTTCACTCCTCCAAGCCCCTGACAACCACTAATGCACTTTCTCTTTCTGTAGATTTACCTGTTCTGGACATTTCGTGGAAATAGACTCCTAAAATAGGTGGCCTTTTGTAACTGGTCTCTTTAACTTAGCATGATGTTTTTAAGATTCTGTCAGTGTTGGAGCCTCTGTCAGTACTTCACTGCTTTTTATGGCTGAATAAGATTCCATTGCACAGATATACCACATTTTATCTATCTTTTCATCAGTTGGTGGGCATTTGAGTTGTTTCTACTTCTTGGCTGTTGTGAATAATGCTGCTGTGAGCAGTTGTGTATGTATGGAAGGTTTTGACTTGTGTTGGTCAGAGCAGCATTGGTCTTTTTCTTTGAAAAGATTACCATTTCTTGTCATATCAGCAGAACCTTCTCTATGTAGAGATTATACATATTTGCCTGTCTTTTTAAAAGTATTTTTATGATTAAATTGTTAAATTTCAATCTTTAGTTCATATGCAGTTTCATTTTGGTTTAAGATTTAGAGAAAGGATATAATTTTTCCCAGTGGAATCACTAGATACCCCTAGACAATTTATTAAAGAGGTTATCGTGCCTTCATTGATTTGAAACACTACATTTATATCAAAATTAAGAATTTGCAATAGGAAAATACGTGTCCAAATTTTGTTTTATTCTACTAATCCTTTTACTCTATTGTAATTCTCATAGCTTTACCTTAAGATCTTTAAAGACTATCCTTTTGTTTTTAAAAAATGAGCGGGTATTTTCTAGACAGTGTACTGTATGTGTTTTGTCAGCTTCTAGAAAGAAATCTGGTATGATTCTGACCAAAGTTGGATTAAATTCACAAATTTAGGAAAGAATTACTAATTTTGAATCTTCTTGTGCTATAATATGGCACATCTCCTTTATTCAAATTGTTCTTTTTTGTATCTTGGGCTGTTGATTATGTATCTTCCTCACAAAATGTGTTTTTTAGTACTTATTCTTGTTCTCATTGTAAATCATCTTCTCCCCCCGCCCCCCAAATTTTTTCTTAACTAGTTACTTTGTTAGATTAGATACATTTGCCTTCAGGCACCTAGGTGACTCAGTGGGTTAAGTTTCTCCCTTTGGCTCACATCATGATCCAGGGTCCTGGGATTGAGCCCCGAGTTGGGCTCCCTGCTCAGCCGAGGGTCATCTTCTCCCTCTCTCTCTTCCCCTGCTTGTACTTTCTTGCTCACTATCTCTGTCTCTCTCCAATGAATACATAAAATCCTAAAAGAAAGAAAGAAAGAAAGGAAGGAAGGAAAGAAAGAAAGAGAGAAAGAAACAAACAAACAAACAAACATTTTGCTTTGGGCCGCCTTTTTCTTGTTTATAATTGCTTTTGGTTGATTCTCTTGGGTTTTCACATGGAGCAGAACAGACAGGTTACCAACAGCAAAGTAGAGGAAAACGCATTGAAGGAAATGTTGAGCATATTACAGGAACACAAAACTTCATTTTGTGTAGCAGGTCGGTTGAGGCCTTTTTGAGGAAGCATCATTTAAATACATGTAAAGACTGCAAACAAGTGGGGAGGAAGAGCTTCCACACAGAGGAACCAGTGAGTGCGATGGTCTGGAGGCACAGTGTGCCAGAATGGCGAGCAGAGTGTGCAAAGATGAGTGACAGGAGAAGAGGCCAGTCAAGGAGTTCAGATCAAATCCTGAGTTAAGGAGAGTAAGTAGCTAAAGAGTATTAGAGCAGAGGTGAGACACATTCTAGTTTACATTTGTAAAAAATGGCCCAGCTGTTTTGTGGAAGGTGGATTCAAGACAGCCAAGAGTGGGGAGGAGTCTGGTTAGGAAGCAGTTGTAGTAAGTTAGGATTATACCTACTAGTCCTGGACTAGGCTATTATGAATGTCATTCTTCTCTACTTCTCAGTGTTTCAGTCTCTAGAGAATAAAATGACATTTTTATAGGGTTGAAAAATAAGTTTTATATTGGAAAACATGGGATTTTGGATTTCACATTGGCTACTAGTAGGCTACGTTTTATTATTGCATGTCTTATAACTTCATAAAAAGCAAATCTGGACGTATTTATCAGGTATCCTATGTTATTCGAGATGAAGTGGAGAAGTACAACAGAAATGGAGTCAATGCCCTGCAGCTGGATCCAGCACTGAACAGACTTTTCACGGCCGGTCGAGACTCAATCATAAGAATATGGAGTGTCAATCAGCACAAGGTAAGGCAGGGAGTGCGTTTTACATTTTAAATCTGTACTCAGTAAACGTTCGTCTGTCTGATAGGGCACCTTTCACAGTTTCACATTTAATCTCTGAGCAGTGACGTACTTGGTATGCTGCAACCAGAATTCTGTAAGCCTCTGAGAAAAACACCCCTAGAGGAATATTCAAAACTGCTTTAGCTAAAATGGGGACCTTGTAAACTAGGTATGTGATAAGAGCTCTCTGGTACAAAGGAACAAAGAGATTGGTTTGGTAGGAGGATTACTTTGAGCAATTTATTTTCTGGTTTTAAGTATGTTCCCCAAAAGGTTCTTGGCAGACCTTTACAGTGCTTTAAAAAAAAAAAGAAAAAGTTGGATTTGCTTTTTTTTACATTTATAATTAATCTGAACTTTTGATTTCTTTCTTTAAAAGTGATTAGGGTGCCAAAAAAATCCTTAGGGCCTTATTAGATAATAAAAGGTTGATATAAAAATACAAAGACAACAAAGGTCAACTTCTTCAGGAGATTTCTTAAACAGGGAAAGGACTTAAATCTATGTAAAAAATAAATCCCCAGTCAAATGGAAAGGCACTCTTTTTGTATTTTCTTTGAATGCCTGTATTGTGAATGACATAGGAAGGAAGATTCAGGGAAGGGGAAAGAGCATTTACTGAGCTCCTAGACATGTACCAGATATACTCTGAGCCCTTTCCTCTCCAGTGTGGTTTTCTCACAACAACCCTTCGAGGCAGCTGATGTGATTCATTTTCATAGATGAGAAGACGGGCTCAGAGAAACCCATGGTTAAATAGCTGGTAATTGACAGAATTAGATCCCAGTCTAACTTCAGAACCCTGGTGCTTGACCTTGTAGTTTTAAAAGGCTGTGTCTTTCTAACAAGCTGTGGAAGTCTGATGTTCAGTCTGAAAAAGAGCCATTACTCTGCACAGTTGCTGGATAATGTTTCTTCAGATGGACTTCGGTCCAGTGGGCTTTAAATTTTTTAGCCAGTGGAAATAGTGGTGGCCAAGTATCAGAAACTAAGAATACTGTGGCTTTGAAATACTTGTTGGAACTCACATTTGAATTGGAATGGCACTTTCCTAGGAATTGACAGTATTTCAAATACATTAAGGAAAATACTCGTAAGAACTTAAGCCTGAGAGAATCTAGCAAGCTACCTATCCTGCCCTTAGAAATCTTTTTTCCAGTCTTCATTTCATGACAAGACTGAGTAGCATCATTTCTCAAATAAATCTGTAGAGAGCTGTTCTTTTCACCCTTGAAGAGTCTTGGACTTGCCTGTGTTCGGTATAGGATGTAACTAAATGCTTTAAAAGGCCTCTCCTGTTAATTAAGCCAAGAGAAGAATGGAAGAATCTCAAGTTACTGAATTGATACAGTGGCACGGGTAGTACTCCTTTAACCTTGGGCTTCTGGTTCTTCTCTGAATTGCTATAGATATCATGAGGAAAACATGTAATTCAGAAGGTAGAAACCTTTAGGAGTTTAAGAGCGAAAATGTTGATCTCCCTCTACAGTCAGGCTGGGCTCCTCAATATTCTTGTCAGCCACGTGATCATTTCTGGGTCTGCTCTGAGCCATTGCCACCCCCAATCCAAATCCCTCCAGCCTGAAGATCTGCTCACGTCCTATCCTTCCTAGGAAACTCCTGCTTGCAGCACTCTGTGTCATATGCAGTGTCTCGCCCAGATCTTGTTGCCTTTGCTAACTTAAGGCATAAGAATTAAGCATTTATCTTAGAAACCTAGGTTTTCTTCAGTAATGAAATTTCTGAAACAAAACTTCTGTTTACATCTGTTACATGGAAGCACCAAATGTTTGATGAAATTCTACCCTGAGGGCACCTGGGTGGCTTAGTCAGTTAAACATGGGGACTGTTTGATTTGGGCTCAGATCATGATCTCAGGGTTGTGAGATCAAGCCCTGCACTGGGCTCTGCACTGTGCAGTGGAACCTACTTAAGACTCTCTCTCTGCCCCTCCCCATCCGCTTAGCTCAGTGTGCATTCTCTCTCTTAAGTAAATTCATTCATTCATTCTACTCTGAATTCACTTGTCAGTTTTAAGACCTGAGAGCAATGTGTCACATTAATTGAAGAATGTAAACATATATATAATTTGTAATATATTTCATCCTCTAAAGTAAACTAATGACTTTCTTACAATTTTTCTTTTAATTTTAGCAAGATCCGTATATAGCATCTATGGAACACCATACCGATTGGGTAAACGACATTGTACTTTGTTGTAATGGGAAAACATGTAAGTACTTCTTCGGATTATTGGGCTTCTAGAAGTTTTTTATTCAATTTTATATGCTTTTCATTTTTTATGTACTTTTTTATTGAAGTTTGACATATATACAGAAAAGCACACACACCTTGAGAAGCCAGCTTAGTAAATTCAAAAGGTGAACACCCATGTCTGCATACAGATTATCAGAAGCCCCTTGGACTGTCCTTTCGGTCACTCCTTTATGCCCAAAGATAACGGCTTTCCTGTCTTCTGAGCACTGTAGATTAATTTTTCCTGCATTCAGATTATATATAAATAGACTGATAGCAATATGTATTCTTTTAGCCTTATTAATGTCTCTTTTTGTTCATGTTATGGTACAATCCATTTCTTGGTTTTGCAGTCTGTGTTAGAGAAATTTTTCTCAATCAGATTAGTTGCTCCTTCAACTGGAACATTAAAAAAGTTTTCCCTGTCTCGTTTAAAAAATATTTGAGGGGGGCCTTGGTGGTTAAGCATCTGCCGTCAGCTCAAGTCATGATCCCAGGGTCCTGGGATTGAGCCCCGTGTCAGGATCCCTGCTCAGCAGAGATTCTGCTTCTCCCTCTGTCCCTCCCACTGTTCGTGCTCTCTGTCTCTCTCTCTCAAATAAAAAATAAAATCTTAATAAATCTGGAAAATCTTAATAAATAAATAAGCAAATATTTGAGACAAAATACAGTAGGTTCTAGGAAGGGCTTTTTGGTGTGTGTGTGTGTACACATTGGTTTCCAAGTATGTTGCATTGTTACAAGTCTTTAAAATGGTGAAAAGTCTTACTACTCAGGTTTGTTTATTCTTTGCCTCTTCTAGTAATATCTGCTTCTTCTGATACGACAGTGAAAGTGTGGAATGCACATAAGGGATTTTGCATGTCAACACTAAGGACACATAAGGTAAAACAACAAATGTAATTTTCAGTGTCTCTAGTATAATACTGAGATCTCGCTACTTTATGTGGCTCATTTCCTTACTGATCTAGTAGATCATTGTATGTGTGTTCTGTTACAGGATTATGTAAAGGCCTTAGCATATGCCAAGGATAAAGAACTGGTAGCTTCAGCTGGGTTGGACAGACAAATATTCCTTTGGGATGTGAATACTTTAACAGCACTGACTGCCTCAAATAACACTGTCACAAGTAAGGTGTTTGAAAAAAATTTCTTGAATTCAAGTTGACATAAAGAATGGTTTATGAAACGTCTTTGATAAGTTTGCATCGAGACAGTGGTTCATATTTTGAGAATGCTTCTACCTACAGTGTTCTAGCCCCCAGGAGTATGCTTGAACAACAACGAGCTAATTCCTTGCTGCAGTCTAAAAATGGTAACTTCTTCAGGTGTAACCTGGTTATTTTTGTTACAAGGGCATGTCTTAGCTCCCTAGGTAAAGTGTAGGTTCCTGCAGGGCAAAGGAATCTGTCTTATCATCACTTTGTACATCCCACAGCATTGCCTGACCCAAAGCTGCAGTCTCAGCAGATACCGTTGATAGAGGTGGTGATTACTTGACAAAGTAGGCAGTTTCTGACTCTTAGAAGTATCACTATATCTGATGAGCCCTTGAGTTGATGGAGTTGATGGCGGAGGTGAAGAACACCCAAAGGAAAGAAAGAAAAGGCCTCCAGTACCGATTTTAGGGGACCCTTTCAGAGCCGCTCTATACAATCCAGCCGATTTCAGAAGAGTTCAGAGGGGTTGGGTGCCTCTGGAGGCAATTCACAGACATTCACCACTGGTTAATAGCATGGGTTTCTCATCAGCTAAGAGATCTCAGATTACCAGATTAGACCCAAACAAGTCTAGATTTGAAACTCAGCCTCACAGCTGGCTCAACCTACTAGAGTCCTCTAGGCCAGGCGGCAGAACGGACACTTAGGAGCACCTTATTGGCTAACCCTGGCCTGGAAAGCCTGTGTTCAGGATCTGAGCTATCTAGATCCCTACATATAGGTCCAATTTGTTGTGGCTGTGGAATTCTTACGCTGACATAGCTAAAACAGTTGTAAGATAATCTAGGATGTGCCAGGAAGGGCATGTTAAAAGAGACTGAGGTTTATAATTTCTAATATTGTTCTGCCCTTTTCCCCGGGAAATATGCAAAACTCTAAACACTGCCCTCCCTTAGTTCTCCTTGATTTTTCACCAGTGCATCATTGTAGTGATTCGGCACCTGGTCCCTGCTGGGGACTGTCATGACAGATCATTTAGTTTTCTCTAGATGGAGAGTCTGCCTCAAAGAGATAGTGACAAGAGGGAACGAAGCAAAAGAAGTCAGAATTGTTCCAAGGTCAGAGACCAGTCTTAGGGTAACAGATTCTGCAGTAGATACATCTTGCTTAGAATTGTTTAGAGAGGTTACCACACAGGTTGATTTATGATTACAGAAATCTGAGAGCTAACATTTATTGAGTACTTACTACAGTAATTTTCTAAATATGTGTTTATATTAACTGCTTCACTCTTAAGTCCTCAGTATGTTTATTTACTTTTTATTGAAAATTAGGATCAAATTGTATAGACAGTTTTATATGCAACTTTTTTCACCTCAGTAAAACTTAGTTCTGAATCAAAGAGTGTGAGCATGATTCTTGCTACACATTGCCTAATGTCCTTCCAAGAGTTGTACCAAACAAGTTGTACTTACCCCACAACTAATGTATGAGAGTACCATTGTACTATTTTTGAGAATTGTTAGCTCATTGAAAATCTGAATTGGTAGGTGAAGATAATGTTTTTTGTTTTGATTTGTGTTTCCTTGAAAATGATGAGTTTGGACATATTTTTCATATTTATTAGCATATGTGTATCTATGAAAATACATTACTTATGTTGATAGTTTTTAAATAGCAGTGCAATTCAATTTGGCAAATAATTATTGAGCACCATGCTCAAATCTAGAAAAGATGTAAATTTTGATAACAGTCTTGTTTAGAATGACTTCCATCATAGCTAGATTTCTTTTCCTTAGAGCACTCACAAAGATAAGATTTTCTTTTTTTTTTTTTATTATTTTCTCACCATAGCACATAATTCTTCCCAGTGTCCATCACCCAACCACCCCATCCTCCCCAGCCCTCTCCCCTCCAGGAACCCTCAGTTAAGATAAGACTTTCTAAACCAAATAATTAAACTTAAAATTTTTGCTGACTAGCTGCCGAACAGCTGACGATTTAGTTAACATTTGCTTCGTTTATCCCTAATAGCTTCATCTTTAAGTGGGAACAAAGATTCCATTTATAGCCTGGCAATGAATCAACTGGGAACAATCATTGTATCAGGGTCCACTGAGAAGGTAAGGGGGAGCTTAACGGCTATATTTTAACACTGGAAAACAAAGACACCAAAATAATTTGATCTGTGTAAATTACTAAGTATATAGACCATGGTTTTGCCTGGTGGGTGCTAAAGGAAGGGTTTTATTTGAACAAACAAGAATGTAACTATATAATTACTGTCATGTGTGGTGATGGGGGTGGGGTAGATGGGTGGGGGAGGCCTATTTGTGTTTTGACATTAGAAAGGCTTCCTCCTACTTGAGAAGACTGGGGGCCTCAGCCAGTGTTCTTTGGCAGAACAGTATTTCCTTCTCAGAATGTAATCGTTGTCATTTGACTTCTAAATCATTTATCATTGAAATTTGTTCATGGATATACACAGGTTGTATAATATTTTGTTAAAATACACAGGTTTTAAGGGTATGGGATCCAAGAACGTGTGCAAAACTAATGAAGCTGAAAGGACACACCGACAATGTCAAAGCACTGCTGTTGAACAGAGATGGCACACAGGTACGTACATGCACATGCACGTTTACCTAAGGACCTTGTCCAGAATTCCGGGCACCAGAAATGTCCCCACTTTCTTGCCTAGGTTGATCTCAACCCAAAGCCACTGTGGTGTACTTTTAAAACCTTAAAATACTCAATTGTATATAATAGTAATCCACATTTTGAAATTACTCTATTTGCATCACTTCTAAATAAAGGCCAAACAAAAAGTTCCCTCAGAATAATACTTATATCAACAAGTATATGCAGTTATGATGTGTATGGGACAAAATAATTTAAAATGTTACTTTATATAAAGCAAAAGGAAGTTTTGGTATTGAATGCTTTGTGCTAGTGAATTAAGGAGAAATTTGCTGACAGTGGGTCTGACTTTGGGCAAATCCTGTCATTTGATTGTAGATACAGTGTATAAGTTTAGTCACCTGTCGTAATACTTAAGAGTCAGCACTTCAAAGGAAAACATCTTGGTAATGTTTGAACATGTACTGATACTCTAGTATTTTTTTTTTTAAAGATTTTATTTATTTATTTATTTGACAGACAGAAATCACAAGGAGGCAGAGAGGCAGGCGGGGAGAGAGAGGGGGAAGCAGGCTCTCCACTGAGCAGAGAGCCCGATGCGGGGCTCGATCCCAAGACCCTGAGATCATGACCTGAGCCGAAGGCAGAGGCTTAACCCACTGAGCCACCCAGGCGGCCCCGATACTCTAGTATTTTGTTGGGTGCATAATTCTGTTTGTTCTGTAGCAGTGGGAAAATGATCTTGCATCGATGTAGAGGATAAAAACAAAAACCGAGCACCATTTTCAGTTAGGACCTAACCCCTGCCTCCCCCAGCCATGTTTTCTCATGGGCCAGGGAGAAGCCCAGAGCTAACTGGAATTGATTGCGAGCAGGTTAGGAAAGGGAGAGTAGGGAGGTGGCGCGATGAGAGGTGCCATCACTTCTGTGGAAATTACATCATAGGAGCTGCCTCACACCTGGACTAGAGAAACCTTTGTCTCCAGAGGTGAGAGAAAGGTTTGGAAAACTAGCCAAAACCAGGAGCTCATCTTCAGAACCAGGCAAAGAGAGGCTTGAAGGTGCCCATGGAGGTCTTTGGAGATGCAGAAGGATCTCGATGTTAATGTACTTTGTGGTGTGGCCTAGAGGAGAAAATTTCATGTTACTTGTCCTTAGCTTACTCATCTGCAAAGTAGAGACCATAACATTTAGTTCGTATGGTTGTGAGAAGATTACAAATAGTAAATATATACTTGTCTCTAGGCCATGGCATTTTCTAGCATTGTTGAGTTCCTTTCCAGCCCCATTTTCCTGAGAGTTAAAGAAGCCCAGTCCGGTCAGCTCCTCACCGTTTGCAGTGTAGCTGCTGGGCTACACCTGAGATTGCCGCCCCTGCCTTGTTCTGTGAGGTTCGCTCAGGATTTGACTGTGTCTTGTGGTCTTCATGGGACTGAAATGGGACTGTGAGCAAGATGGTTTTCAGTAGGAAGCTAATGGGCTTGGCAGACTTTCTAAAGCTCCTCCTGCTGCTATACTCCTTGCCTCATTTCCTAGCTACATAGTCATGAATGTGCTTTTTAGGTAGCACATATGGTTACAGATGCACTTCCTGTGAAGTCCACTCTGCTTACTGTAAGCAGACCGCTGGAAATGCTGCCCTTGAGTGGTAGAGCACATAATGACCCAGATACCACCCTCCTTGAGTTCCTCCTCCATCCATTTTCCTTCTTGGCAGCTAGAGGCGAAATATAACCCTAACTACCAACTACACAGCACACTTAGGGAATTGATCAACAAAACAGCAGTAACAACAACTTGTTCGAGTCAAAGGAGAAGAAAGAACCCTTTGACTACTGATTCTCAAACTCTTGTAATATACGAGAGAGATAGATAGTTGCTGGACAAGAGCACGTACTGCATCCCGCAGAGTTGCCCTGCAAGCTTCTAATGTAGGATCTCTGGTGGCATCGGGAATCGGGGACTTGTGATAAGATATGCATAATAGGCCAGGGAATCCCATTGACATCCCCTTCATTTGTTGTGTTGTTTATTTAGCAAATCTTACTATTTGAGGACTGTCGCCACTGTAGTTGTTTTGAATGGTGCCAATATTATTGGGCCAAGCTACCTGACATTTCATCCCTTGTACTTGCTCAGGCAGTTGCCTAAGGAACTGGGACAGTCTTCCATCTTGGTTTGAGTCAGTGGCATTCTTCTGTGTCCCTCACAGGGTTTTCCTGTCATTGAAGTTTTGCCGAACCTAGCTTAAAGTCTAAGGGTGTTTAAGCATCAAGCCACTCCTTCCCCCAACTTACCTTACCCACTTTGCTGCTGACTGTTGACAGTTACAATTGCATATGCATTCCAGAAACACTTGTGTTGGTCAGCAGCAGCCTGGCCTCAATACACTGGTTCCCCTCGTTTCTATTGGCAAAAGCACAAAAACCTGATCAGGGCTGTAGACTGTGCCCCTAAGTCTAATGTAGTAGATCCATTCAGTCCTTCTGTCCTAGTCCCAAGAATTACTTCCTAGTGACAGGGTCTTCACGTTTATCCAGTGAAAGGGTGGAGGGAGTGGAAATGTTTGATGATTACTCTAGCCTCCTACAAGGTAGCAGGCACAAGAATTCCTATAAAATAGGCACATCCTTCAACCATACTACCAAATGCTGCAAAGAAGTTGGCCAGCATTGTACTTTATTTTTATTTTTTTTAAAGATTGTATTTATTTCTTTGACAGAGAAAGAGACAGAGAGAGAGAGAACACAAGCAGGGGGAGTGGGAGCTGAGCAGGGAGCCTGATGCGGGGCTCAGTCCCAGGACCCTGGAATCATGACCTGAGCTGAAGGCAGATGGTTAACGACTGAGCCATCCAGGCGCCTCCAGCATTGTACTTTAAAAGTAATTGTTGTCTCCTTAGGGGCCTGCTTTTTAGTGGTCTTAGATTACAGTTGCTATCAGAGATTATTTTGTGTTCAGTATCAGAGTTGATACAGCTCTGTTCCCTCATCTGCTTTTAGCCATACATTTAGGTTTGGGACTTAACTCTTCCCTACTACAAATTGCCAGGGCTACTAGGACTTCAGCCTATCACCTTAGCTTTCCTTATCCTAAAGTTGTCAGACCTTACTCTCTGGAGATACATGGCCTAGATCTGAGGGATTAAAGCTACACTAACAAGGGCATCTGGGTGGTTGTTAAGGATCTGCCTTTGGCTCAGGTCATGATTGCAGAGTCCTGGGATCAAGCCCTGCGTCCAGTCCTGCATCACACCCCACATCTAGCCCAGCATCAGGCTCCCTGCTTGTCAAGAAGCCTGCTTCTCCCTGTCCCACTACCCCTGCTTGTGTTTCCTCTCACTGTCTCGCTCTCCTTCTCTCTGTCAAATAAATATATAAATAAATTTTTAAAAATAAATAAAGCTGCACTAACAGCTTTGCCACCTCAGAGTAGCAGTTCTTCTTGGACGGGGGAGCCCCTCCTTGGCCTCTCTCCATCAGATTGCATGGGTCCTCCCACAGGTATGTCGGAGGTCTGCTTGTAACTTCCTCCAGACAGTTTCCTTATTGGTTAAGCTCTTGGTTGCCTTGTCAACCAACTGGAGTAAGGAATTAAAACACTGATGCCCCTGGCAATTTAGGGGGGAGTCTCCTAGTGGGTGTTCATTTAATTAAACATGTCCAGAGTTCTAAAGGCCCCTTCCAGTCACAGGGCACGCCAATAAATCTTAATATTCTTGAAGGCCTCATCTATTCAGAAACTTTTTAAGTCTCCAAGCCCACAACTATCTTCTCTTCTTTGAAGCTCTTTGCCTTCTTAATTTCTTACACCAGCACCAACAGTTGCTTTTTCTTGACACCATTTTTCCCCCAAAGAAGCAAGTTTTTATTCTCTTCTGCAAGTCACCATGGTAACTGGTGGTGAACCCCAGGCATGCTGAATGTGAATGTGGTGTGGCCAATTCAGCCTCTTTCTATCAGAGTCACAGTGTGCTCAGCCCTACTTTGTTTGCCAGCATCTTCTATGTAGTTTATGCTCCTGAGCCTTCAGTAAGTGTCAGAATTGCTGATGTTAACTCTGAATGCTGAAGGTCCACATTTTATATTAATGTTGAACTTAAGGCTCAGGTGGGAAGTATGCAAGGTCACAAAGAGTGAGTGATAAGCCTGAAACTAGATTTTGCTTCTTATTTATGGAATTAGTGACTCTTATTAATGGAATGTCAGAGACCTTATTAATGGAATTAATGACTCTTATTAATGGAATGTCAGAGACCTGGCAGGCCATTAGGAATCCATTGCCGTGAGGGAGAGGTGAGACAGAGGTGTGACCCTCTGTGTGAGACAGAGGGCTCCGAAAGGCCTTTTGGCCTCGTGCAAAGGTTGTCAACCTTAGTGTACCAGAATGACCTGGAAAGCTATCAAAACACAGATTGATAGACCCTGCCAGAGTTTTTGCCTCATCAGATTTAGAATCTGCCTCATTAGCTTTGGAATCAGACCAGGAATCTGCATTTTTAACAAGTTCCCTGGGGATGCTGATTCTGCATGTGGCCAGGTAGGAGAGGACAGAGGCAGTTTTGCTCAGAAGTTTCCTCTGCTTTAGCATGTACTGTTGCCTTCGGTCATTTCAGCCTGTGGTGCATGCTTATCAGAGGTCTTCATCAGAGGCAGAAATACGGGTTGTTAGATGTGGGTGTTTGACACTATAGAGTCAGGAGAGGCACCAAGTGCAGAGCACAGCAAAGCAGGAACTTTTGTGGCTGGAACTTTTCCTAACTCAACTTTCTCCGTTTTCAGTGCCTTTCCGGCAGTTCTGATGGGACCATTCGCCTTTGGTCCCTTGGCCAGCAGAGATGTATAGCAACGTATCGAGTCCATGATGAAGGTGTTTGGGCTCTGCAAGTCAATGATGCCTTCACACACGTGTATTCTGGAGGAAGGGACAGAAAAATTTACTGTACAGACCTAAGAAACCCTGACATTCGGGTACTAATTTGTGAAGAAAAAGCACCAGTTCTCAAGGTACGTTCTGTATTTTAGTTTAGTGGTTAAGATTGTTACATGTACTAGTAATCTGGCAAAATCTGCATGAAAACATGAATCAGCTGTGGAGTTGTAAAAATAGGTATTTTAATTTTCGTTAGTCACTTATAGAAGAAATTGTGACTTCTTCGGTACCTCAGTGACATGTAGCTGCCCCACTGGCGAATCCCAGTGCGATTGGCCCACATTGCTCCTGAGCTCACTTGGCCTTCCTAACCTGTCCTTGAGGGATGTGACAAGTTCAGGTATCTATGAGCAGAAAACAGCAAAGCACAAGTATGTCCACTGCCCAAGAGGGAGGATGTGGAAGAGTTGCTCCAGAAGAGAGAACAAGCCAGTTTGTACTTCAAACCATGACTGCCTCAAAGTAGTCCTGATTGCTAATCAGTCAGGGTGAAAGGGTACTCCAGAAGCTGTCCACATTGACACCTGCTGAAAGTGAAGCCTGGACTGCAGAGTGGCCTTGTCATCGTATGACAAGTTGCTCGGTTTCCCTGATAATCTCAGAACTACACATTAAAACCATAGTAAAGAGATTTCCAGATTTAAAATGGAGGCATAAGGACAGCACTACTTCCTTTTCACAGAAGTCATCCAAAAACAAGAAAAGCAAGAAACAGAACTGCAGATACCCACGGAACTAAAAGACCCCTGAAACCCAGACCATAGTATAAAAGGAAGGGCTGAAAAAAGGAATAGAGATCAAATGAGACCATTGAGGCGGTGCTTGTGGCCTAGGAGTGCACACATCCTGGCTGAGTATAGCTCTTCAGCATAGGTGTCGCCCCCGGAGGACAAAACCAGTAATCTAGGGAAGCAAGGGAGTTGAGTCTGAAATCAAGAGCCTGTGCAGGAAGCAGGCTGCTGGGGGCCAACAGCAGGGAGAAGAGACACTGCGTGTGAGTCCTGCAGCTGCCAGGATCTCTTGGCTGTGGAGGAAAAGGTGCAAGAACTTAGTGGTACCATAACTGTGTGTTAGAAGAAACATCACTTTGAACTGAAGAGGATTCCTACTTGCTAGGAGTCTACCTGTCCCACTACTCCCAACCTTCAGTTTCCTGGCACAGGAAGAATAGTGGATAACTGACCATAGAGTGATTTCATGTGCATGCTGTCTGTATGCATGGATGTAGGGATGTATTTCTTTGTGTTCTATTTTAAAAATAAAGAAGGTACACAGTACACAGATATACTGTTCTTAGGTGAGGGAGGTGAATTATGTGGGTACTTGTCACTTTTGCTATGTTAGAATTTTTTTTGCTACAAACATTTTCAAAGAGAAAAGGAGACCTACTTCCTTATTACTAAAAAAAAAACAAAATAGAAGAGTAACAAAAACAAACTTATGGTAAGTCACTCTTTTGACAGTACCCATTTGGATCCCCTAATTATTTAATTTAAAATTACGCTGAAACTTTCAGCCACTGTTTTTGGTGAAAAGTCACCCCTATTATATTTGTAAAGGCCATTTTTCCTTTAGCAGAGACACTCCTCATTATTCTATGCAACCCTAGCTTTTACCGCCTGCCACAGTGCAGTCAGCATACAGTCAGCATACAAACATGGGATGAAGGAGTTGATATTTAATAATAGGTAGCTAGTTCCGGCAGCCCAGGAGAGTCTGCATTCCACAGAGCGGTGTTTTTGTGCTTTGTTTTCAGATGGAGCTTGATAGATCAGCTGATCCCCCTCCCGCAATCTGGGTTGCCACGACTAAGTCTACAGTAAATAAATGGGTAAGGGAACTGCCGTATCCCTCACAGAGGTTTGTAAACATGTGGTTTGTTATCGCAGACCTGCCAGATACCAGTAGCAAGTGCTCAAGATGAACCTGACGCTCGGTATGCTTTTGAACAGTGCAAGAATCTGAAAGCCTCTGTGAGTGCCCTGAAGGATGGTACTAAAATTAAGATAATAGTCCAAAGGAAGCTTCTGACTTCTTTGTCAGGAGCCAGGATAGACATTTGGTGTGCCTGGAGTAGGCACTGATAGAACCAGTAAATGTTAGTACAGCATCTGAGTTCACAAAACTGCCTTCGAACACAGGCAGACCAGGTCCAGGTTTTCCCCACTATCTGAAAGTTCGCTTCCCACCATTATGATTACCCATTGTCTCTAACCAGAAGAAATCGGAAGAGAATTTTTGCTTTTATAAAATGGTGATTGCTTCTTTGTCTTAACACCATCTTGGCTTATAAAAGACTTCATACGAGTGCTTAACTTTTGGATAGCAGGGAGTACCTGTACCAGCATGGCAGGGACACTTGTTGGTCTCTGTTCTTCCAAGTGTAAGAGAAAAATAGAAAAATTGTGCTTTCAAATTCTTTCCTTTTTTCCTCATAGCATGAAGAGCAGGGATAGAAATAGAGGATAACGAAAGAGGTTATTATTAAAAGTGCTTTTAATGCTTAAATGTTCATTAAAGAAGATTTAAGTTTTCTTGCTTACCCGGCTATATGTGGATAACAACAGAGAGTGTTTCCATTTGTTTCTGTTTATACACCAGTCAAGTGGCCTTTCTCAGCTTTCTCGGTACTTGTAAAAAATGTTACATATCTTGTCTACATTTCATTGTCCCAATGTGAGATCAATATAACTTCACCTGGAAGAATGCGTACTTTTCCTTCCAAAAAGACAGTATTAATATTCCCATCTTAATCCTTGGTTTGTTTCTTGAAGTCGTGGTAGATAATTATACTTTATGATTAAGTATTTTTTGGTTGATGTTACTGTTTTGGTTTTTCTCATTTGTCCTTTGTTTTTCTTGCCACTTTAAACAGATTGGCAAAGCTTAGAAAGCATAAAATGATTAAAAAATGAATTTTGTTCCTTTAGACCTTGAAGGGAATTCATAATTTTAGAGCCTCTGGAGATTATGACAATGACTGTACAAATCCTATAACACCACTTTGTACGCAGCCTGACCAGGTTATTAAAGGTGAGTAAGGAAGGTGGAAGGTATTATATCTTTTACCGAGGCTAATTATAGTTATTAAGAGGTTGACAAAAATAAAGGAGGCGACCTTCCTTTCAGTGTAATTCTGATGTCAATAGAAGACACAGTGTATTGGTTTATTTTTAATAGAAGAAAAATATTCTTTAAATGCTAGTGACTTTAAAAAGCAGACTTTCTTGAGGTAATCTTTTTGCCCAGCGTCAGAATAGTTGTGGTCTGCGGAGGGCTAAGAACCACTTTGTAAAATATAGAGGGTTGAATGTTATCTTTTGGCACAAGTCAGATCTGGTCCCCGACTTCTCTGTGCTTCAGCTGGAAGTGGCAGCTCTGACTTGAAACACCCGAGTGAGGAGTAGAACGCTGAGCAGGTGTTCATCACAGTTCTGTGTCCATGCTGATGCCTCTAGAATCACATGTGCATGCAGGAGGCAGAGTTAGAGATGGGACTGATCCAGACATCTGCTGTTATCACTTGAACTTTTCCCAGTGGTTCAAACTGTTTGCCCTTAACAGTTTTCCACTGGCAGCCCCTCGAAGGAGGGAGTTTTTTCATCTATAATCTGTTTTTTAAAATCAGACAGTTTTGGGGGCACCTGGGTGGCTCAGTGGGTCAAGCCTCTGCCTTCAGCTCAGGTCATGGTCTCAGGGTCCTGGGTTCGAGCTCCGCATCAGGCTCTCTGCTCAGCGGGGAGCCTGCTTCTCCCTCTCTCTCTGCCTGTTGCTCTGCCTACTTGTGATCTCGCTCTCTCTGTCAAATAAATAAAATCTTTAAAAAAATAAAATAAAATAAAACCGGACAATTTTTCTTAGGTTCGCCTTAAACAGCCATATGTATATATAAAACTGTATGTGTATCTTTTGACTCACCTTCTCCTTTCTGGTAGATTGTATGATTTCTGTTGTTACATGCCAATGAGTAATTACTGCCGTATGGTGAATTTAAACAGGGAATTATTTTCCTAACTGTGTGGTTTTTTTTCCTTTAGGGGGTGCGAGTATTATTCAGTGTCACATTCTTAATGATAAGAGACATATATTAACCAAAGATACCAATAATAATGTGGCATATTGGGATGTATTGAAGGTGAGTAACTTTTTGTACTAAATATAGGTTATTGAGTCATGTATCCCCTTTATTTTTTGTTATAAAATATATATATGAAATAACCAAAGTAATAAGTACATAATTAAGATTAGACAGTAATAATACTTTTTTGGGGGATGATACTTTTTTATACAAGTATTTAGATGAGACCATAGTTTATCTTTTTTTTTTTTTTTGTGAGGCCATAGTTTATCTTAAAAGCACCTAAAATTTTGGTGGAACCATTTCTGCTGTGTTATATGCTGCCTTACCTTAAAGTAAATATATCACATTTCCTCATCCTTGACGTTATTGACATTTTGGGCCAAGTAAGTCTTTGTTGAAGGGGCCGGGATAGAGTGGGATCTGTCCTGTGCATGATAGGATATTTAGCTCCATCCTCAGCTGCTACCCAGCAGGTGCCAGTAACCACCTTCCCTTCTACTGCAGCTTCAGTTGTGATAGCCAAAACTCTCTCCAGACATTGCTAAATGTTTAGGGGGAGGAAGGAAGAAGCAGCATACAAAATCACCCCAGGATGAGAATCCTTACAGTACACAAAATAAGTTTAGCCATTTCTTAGGATTTATAGACATCACCGTGAGTGTCAGTTACAACTCTGGGTCATGTTACGATGACCCTGTGGGATAGTTAGATGTTTTAAACAATTCAGCCACATTCTAAATAGCAATAAAGAATTTATAGGCCGGGCTCCTGGGTGGCTCAGTCAGTTAAGAATCTGCTTTGGGCTCAGGTCATGCTCCCAGGGTTCACATCAAGCTCACTGCTCAGTGGGGAGCCTGCTTCTCCCTCTCTTCCCTGCTCATGCTCTTTCTTGCTCTCTCTCTCTCAAATAAATAAAATCTTTTTTAAAAAATTATAGGCAGGTTGAAGAGTTTGCTTTTCTTGGTGGTGATAGTATATTTGTTCAACATGTATTTCCTGAATTGAATGAATATTGTGTCCAGAGAACTGTGTTGAGAGTCAGATAACAAAGTCTGTACCGTGATCCCCTCTGGTAGGGACAAGGGTAGGGAAATGGGAAACCTTACAGATAAAAAGACAGACAAAATTACAGGGTAGTTTATGGACAGGGGCAATTACTTACAAGTAGAGAAATCAGGCGAGCGTCTTTGTGGTGGAGAAATCATTTGCAGAAGGTCTTAGAGAACTCCAGCAGATGACTAATGGTAAGGCATTTTAGGAAGAGGAAGTGAGTGACAAAGGCACAGGAGGGAAGGTGGTGCTCATTCAGTGACTTTGACTTTTGTGCAATTGGAGACTAGAGGGAATGTTGGGGGGAAGCAGTAGGGGTGTAGGGGTGAAAGGTGCCATTCAAGTAATTTCCCAGAGAGTCTTGAATACAGGCCCCATGGTTGGCCTTCTTTGCTGTTCCCTAAAGAATCTAAATCTAAGATTGTACTGGAGCGGGAAGAATCCCATGCCCAGAGCAACAGTGGTCTGTGCGATGGGGAAGAAGCTGGAAGGCCGTGTCTTCAGCATAATGACTTGGGGATCTAAAGGAAGAGAAAGATGTTGGATACATGATAAGGAAGAATTGAAAAGCTCTGGGGTTTTGGTTAGGCTCCTGGTTAGAAGAAATGTCTGGATCTAAAGAATAAAATAAACAGCTTGCTTTCTGAGAAGAAGGGACTGTCTGAATAGAAACCTTGGCCTGCCTGACACTTTCCCTCCCCATGGGCATGGGTATGGGAAATCACATAATGAAGCAGTTGCCTGGTGAGCATGGTTGCAGAGTAAGAGGCTTTAGTAGTTGAGTGGAAAATGAAATTGCAGCAGACCCCAAAAGTCATCTGGTTTTTCTTAGGATAGAGATACACTTCTTGGGACCGAAGATTCATGTTTGTTTCAGAGAGGGGTTCTATGGAGACTGGGAGGGTCCAGAGCAGTCCTGAGGACCTGGTCAGCAGGAACTTGACTACTCTCCCACTGACGTGGCCTTCATTCTGGCCCGTGGCTGGGCTTCCCCTCATGCTGCCCAGCACCTGATGCTCTCCAGAACATAACAGAATCTAATTGGGCCAAGCTACTCTTTCATGGTGGGCTGACTGATTTTCTGCCTGTGGATCTGATGTTCTTTCTCTCGGGCAGATTAGCCAAAGCCTTGGTAGAGTCCTGCTGTCTGAATGGGAGGTAGCTCTACTTAGATGGGGCACTGACCTGGCATGTTCCATAATTGGCATTTTTTGTGTCTCCAGCAGCTTTCAGTACCCAGACACTAAGCCCTGAAATGTCAAGATCAAGTGATTTGGAGTGATGGACATGACATTAAACAGAAGCAGGGAGTCAGGAGTATTTAGGAATATAGGCTCAGAGTGAGAGAGTTGCATTCTAATCTTGGTTCTGCTAGCTACTAGCCAAGTGATCTCTGGAATATGCTGAACCTCTCTAAACCTCTGTCTTTATTCCTAAAATGTGGGTGGCACCTATTTCTTGGTGAGGTTAAGGAGATGTTCGAGAAGTATTTATCATAGTGCCTGGCGCATAGTAGTTAAGAGGCTGTTACACTAATGCAGGTGAGAGATCAGATATTTATCTGGATTAAGATGGAATAAAACAGAATCATGAGGAAGGTATTGAGACCTGTGGATAAGGGGGAGCTTGAATAAAAGGGAGTATAAACAAAGAAGCAGAGTGAGTCCCTGGTTCCTGGGTCAGATAGTTTGGTAAGTGGAAGTGATGGGCTGTGGGAGGCGATGTAAGAGGGAAAATGGATTGTTGGGAAAGGGAGAACATGATGAACAAGACAGTTTGAGTTTATGTGAATGTCTAGATAGATAGGTCCTCACACACCAGTAAAAGAGCTAGGCCAGAGAAACAGGCTCAGCGGTCAGCAGCTGGTGGATTATAACTGAAGCAATGGGAACATCAAGAGTTTCCAAGGGATACATCAGTACTGAAGAGAGAAGAAACCAGCCATCACCCTTTAGGGAACTGTTAGAAAAGAGCAAACCACAGAGGTATATAATAAAAAGGGGCTGGAAAACCAAGAGCCAATGAATGGCAGGTCAGGAACTAATGAGCAAGCATTTCCCGAAAGGGCTTGTGGTTAGCTGGCCTACGGAGAGTTTATGTCCAATTTGGAATGTAATGTGCCTGGGATTTAACCAGTAGGAAGGATGGTGTTGGGGCGGAGGGGTGGGGGGACAGCAGCCTTGAGGGAGTCCTAAGAGCCCTGATAGAGTGGATTGTGGAGTGATTGGGAGGTAGTGGAGCAATCATGGATGAAATTTGACTTTGGGGAGGTGGGCAGGAAGAGGATAGAGGGATGGGAGGGTCAAGCAAAGGTTTTGTTTTGGTGTTCTCAGGTACTTTTGAGATGGGAGTAATGGGAATGTGTTTGCTGCTTATGGGGAGAAGCTGGGAGAGACATGAGAGGGTAGATTCCCCAAGAAGTGAGGGGATCTGGAGCACAGCAACAAGGGGCACTTTTTCCCTCACAGTGGAAAGAACAGTAGTACCGAGTTAAGGGGATTTTGTCAAGGCTTCTCTAATTTGGAGGAGTGGAGGTTTGTCCTGTGCTGAGGCACAGTGAGGGGGGTGACAAGGCCAAACAGGAGGAGGGTAAGATTTAACCGGGGTGTTGTGGGGATCTGATTTTGGAAACAGAAGAAACCCCAGGTAGCAGCAATGGTGAGACTGCAGACCGTACATTTATGGTGGGAATATTGGCAAGGATTTGAGAGCCGGCATGCCCTGTGTATTATCCATGTGGATGTTGATGTTGTCCAGGACGTTTTTAGACTCTATTTTTTTTTTAGACAGGTGTGAAAATGTGTAAAATTTGGAATACCTAAGTCAGAATCGGTTCAACACTTAATATTGATAATTACTATACTTTCTTTTTTGCTGTGTAGGCATGTAAAGTTGAAGACCTGGGCAAAGTGGATTTTGAAGATGAAATTAAGAAAAGATTTAAGATGGTATATGTGCCAAATTGGTTCTCAGTAGACTTAAAAACAGGGGTAAGTTAGCAGCTGATATTTGTACAATTGGGGATAGTTGAAAGTTTCTGATACAGCTAAAAATTAGGTTTATTAGTTACAGAGTTATATGTGTTTAAGTGTGGAAACAGTAAATTTCTCATGTTAATACTTACAAAATGCAGTTTTAAAATGCCTTTTGGTATCTCTGTAAATTAAATTGTAGTTGGAGTGAATCACATGAAACATTTTCGTTCTAAATCTGCGGCTTAGCTCCTTAGTCAAATAGTACAGATAAATACGGCCTTAGAGGCTTATTTGGAGAATGTATTGGAATGGAATGCCACTTACAGTTTTTTCTTTTGACAGATGTTAACTATTACTTTGGATGAGAGTGATTGTTTTGCTGCTTGGGTTTCTGCAAAAGATGCTGGCTTCAGCAGCCCTGATGGGTCAGATCCAAAATGTGAGTTTAAGTGTCCTTTCTTCCTTTCCTCCTTTCAAAAGAGAAGGTGGATCTGTGCTGAGTTGGGTTTTCTTTTTGTTGTTTCGATTTATTTTTTGCTATCTGCTCTTTTATATATTTGAGGTTTTTTTTTAAATCATATTCTCTCTTAAAAATGGAAAATACTATTCCATTTTAGATGTTTTGTGGGGTCTTGATTTTTCTCACAATCTGTGGTTTAGCTTTAACAATTAAACACTCAACACACTCTCTACCCTTAAACCTTTCTGGAAATCTGATAGGGTAGGAAAAGTGAAGCTGGGAAACAATTCTGTTGTTTTCCTTTTTTTTTTTTTTTTAATTGAGATATAATTGACATAATATTAGGTTCAGTTTCACATGTACAACATGATTCAGTATTTGTATATACTACAAAATGACCACAAGTCCAGTTAATACTCATCATCACAGTCCAAAATTACACATTTTTCCCCTTGTGATGAGAACTTTCGAGATCTACTCTCTTAGCCACTTTGAAATGTGCGTTACAGTATTATTAACTGTGGTCACCATGTTGTACACTGTACCCCTGTGACTTTATTCATGTTATAACTGGATGTTTGTACCTTTTGACTCTCTCCACTTCCCTATCCCCTGCCTCTGGAACCACCAATCTGTTCTCTGTATCTATGAGTTTTGGTTTGTAGTTTTGGGTTTTTTTTTTTTGTTTTTTTTTTTTAAGATTCTACATATAAGTGAGATCATATGGTATTTGTCTTCCTGTCTCTAACTTATTCCACATAGCCTTCAGGGTCCACCTAAGTTATTGCAAATAACAGGATTTTGTTCTTTTTTATGGATGAATAACTTTCCATTGTACATACATATCAGGTTTTTTCTTTATACATTCATCCATTGGTGAACACTGGTTGTTTCCGTATCTTGGCTATTGTAGTGAATATGGGAGGTCCATATATCTTTTCAAGTTAGTGTTTTCATTTCTTTCGATAAATACCCAGAAATGGAATTGTTAGGTAATATGGCAGTTCTATTTTTAAGTTTTTTGAGGAACCCTTGTACTTTTTTCCACAGTGGCTGCACCAATTTACATTCCCACCACCATTGCACGAGGGTTCCCTTTTCTCCACATTTTCCTGAACACTTGTTATTTTTTATCTTTTTTTTTTAAGATTTTATTTATTTATTTGACAGAGATCACAAGTAGACAGAGAGGCAGGCAGAGAGAGAGAGAGAGAGAGGGAAGCAGGCTCCCCACTGAGCAGAGAGCCCGATGCGGGACTCGATCCCAGGACCCTGAGATCATGACCTAAGCCAAAGGCAGCGGCTTAACCCACTGAGCCACCCAGGCCCCCCATTTTTTATCTTTTTGATAATAGCTGTTCTGGCATGTGAGGTGATAGCTTGTGGTTTTGATTTGCACTTACTGGATAGTGACATGAGCATTTTTTCATATACTTTTTGGCCATCTGTATGTCTTCTTTGGAAAAATGTCTATTCAGATCTTCTACCCATTTTTTTTTAAATATTTTTTTTTAAAGATTTATTTATTAGAGAGGGAGAGAGAGAATGAGCAGTGGGGAGGGGCAAAGAGAGAAGAGAGAGAGAAGCAAACTCCCTGCTGAGCAGGAAGTGTGATACAGGGCTCCATCCCACAACCTGATCCGAAGGCAGATGCTTAACCGACTGAGCCACCCACGCACCCTGGAAGATTTTATTTTTAAATAATGTCTACACTCAACATGGGGCTCAAACTCACAATTCTAAAATGAAGTCGCATGTTCCACTGACTGAGTGAGCTAGGCGCCCCTTTCTGCCCGTTTTTTCATTGGATTGCTTGTTTTTTTGCTGTTGAGTTGTCTTATGAAGTCCTTATAATATTAACCCCTTATCAGATATATGATTTGCAAATATTTTCTCCCATTCCATAAGTTGTCTTTTCATTTTGTTGATGTTTCTTTTGCTGTGCAGGAGCTTTTTATTTTGCTGTAGTCCTACTGACTGACTTTTGCTTTAGATGTCAGATCCAAACAGTCTCCAAGCTCGAGGAATTTATTTGCCTATGTTTTCTTCTAGAAGTTTAACGGTTTCAGGTCTGACATTCAAGTGTTTAATCTATTTTGAGTTAATTTTTGTGTATTGTGAGAAGAGACTCATGAGAGTCTATTATATTTTGTTGATTATATCTTTGGTTGGTATTCTTCTACGAATGTAGCATGTAGACATACCTGATATATATAAATATAATTTTAATGACTCTATATGGAAATAGTTCTTAAAGAGTATAATTCCTGTTTTTATTTGTTCATTTTTAATGAATGTCTATATCTGAACAACCAGATAGAATGTCTGTTTGCTCCATGTTATTACTTCTTTAAACATTCTAAGATAAATTTTAATAGTTGCAAAATCTTTCAAGTCTTGCTTTTAAACACCATTGGCATTGGGTTTAGAATTTAATATCAGAATATGTGGAAATGTAATTTTTATTCCTTTCCCTCTGTTTTTAGGCTAAAACTAATAACTGTTTTTCATTTCTTTTCATCTTAATTAACTCTTTTGCAGTGAACTTAGGAGGACTTTTACTCCAGGCACTGCTAGAATATTGGCCTAGAACACATGTGAATCCAATGGATGAAGAAGAAAATGAAGTAAACCATGGTTCGTGTTTTTGTATCAGGATAATTGATTTAAAATTACTCAGAAGTTTAGGATACCTGGAGTGTTTGTTATTCCAGGAATGTTTAAGAAACTTTAAGAAGCATTTGCTAAGTCATGACATAATAAATAACTTGGGATGTGCCCAGTTTATCTCCCTCCTTTCCACGTATCAAAGAGCAGTCTTAACTGAGATTCCAAGAGCACTTTCACTCAGTGATGCTGCTCAGGAGGGGTTAAAAAAGCCCTACATATTCAAATGACCTTTGCCCTTAACAGCAAGCAGCTTGGCAGCCTTCTTCCAAAGGTATTTCTCAGAGTAGCTGTGGCCCTGGGGGACTTATCTCCAGAGACAGCTAATGAGCTGCATGGAAAGCTGCTTGGGTCCTTATCTCGTCATGGTTCACGTTGGCCTGAAACACAGACATTACTGAGTCTGATGATCTCCCTGATCTTGTCTCTAAACGTTTCAGAAGATCAAATTCAAACTCAGAAGTGTCAGGATAAGTGAACGAGTATGTGTAAGAATTAATGCACAGAGGACATTGTAAAGCTGTGTGTGACACAGGCAGTGGCAGCAGCTCGCTCTGGGCAGCAGAGAACATGTTTTGAATTTACAAATTGGGTTCAGTTTGAAGAAAGGGAAGAAAAAACTTAAACTTTCACAGCTCATATGTTACAGCCGGTCAAAGAGTCTTTGAGTCCCACCTACCAAGGACTTACTCTGCTGAATATGAATGAATCTCTGAGTTCTCTGAAGATTCTGCTGAAGATGGCCCACTTGTGGTGGTCAGCAGTGATGAGGACCTCCTGGTAGAGATTCATTCTGGCCGACCAACTCATCCGAAATGATTTTTGGAGTTAAAATCTCTTGTGCAAGGATGGCATGCTTCCCTTCAAGCCATTCTTCTGTTGTCCCTGTCAGAGAGGGCACTGACCCCACCCATGGTGACTTTTCTTTTATGTCACCGGGCCCATTTCCCTCCCCATCAGATGTACAGTGGGCCTGGAGCCAGAGAAACTCAATGGAAAAGTCTTTCCACAGAAGCTTGAAAAAGCTAAGTTTTAGTGTGGGCTCTGCTGTTTATCAGCTGTGTCGCTGTGGGCATGTCGTTTCCAGTTCTTGGCTCATCCCTCTCCAACTGCAACATGACAGACAGGGTGCCTTTAGAGGCCCACTAAATAGACAATAAAGGTAAAAAACCAGAAGTACAGTCAGCACCCCTGGCATCGAGGGTTTGGTTTGGGGAGTAAGGAAAAGTTAGAGGAAACCCCAGATCATCCTTAGAATCAAACTGCCATAGTAAAGGCAGAGCACGCCCCCCCACCCCCCCACCTCTCAGACAGAAGGCTGCTTGTGCCTGTGTGGTCATCTGCTGTACCAGCATCACAACCAGTGGACTCTCAAGAGTCATGTACATTCTACTCGGTGAGCAGCTCAGGTGTTCGGACGCCTGTAGCGAGTTGCAGGCAGGGGTGGGCCGAGATAATTGGGCATGGACTGCATCCTTTAGGGACTGACATTGTGGTAGGGCAGAGAGCTCCTCAGAGTAGATGGAACCTGGTAAGGTCAGAGGGAAGATTGGTTGTTTCTCCAAGAGAGGATCTGAAAGTGCTGTAAGCTCAGAGGGTGAGTTTGCTTCCAGATTCACCAGGGATGCCTTTAGGGACAAGGTGGCACTGGAGTGGGGCTCAACCGTACTTGGTCAAAAGATTACAGAGAAGGCAGAGTGAAATGAAATCTACAGAGAATAATAAAAAAGAGGTGTCGACTTCACTGAGGATTTTATTTTTCACCAGTACCTCTGCCATTAAGCAATAAATTTTTTTTCTGGCCCAAGAGATTTTTCTAAGCTTGGTGTTCCACACATGCACGCACACACACACACACACACACATGCACACACACATGTGCACGCACACACACACACAAAAGCATATTGCTGTTTATAAACAGGCTGTCCTACCCTTTCCTGTGGCTGAAGTAGAGTTCTCCTTGTTTCAAGTCTCAAATATTAATCTTTTCTATTAAAATTATCTAAAGTTATAGTCATTTCCCATAAAGTACATTACAAGTTGCTTCACTTCTTATTCTTTGTAGAAATTTAACTTTGATTTTTTTTTTTACCTTTATCTGACCCTGCTGACTCATCAGACTTTTAGCTTTGAAAACTTGGCAATGTTTGAAGCTTGTAGAAACAAAATGTTTAGAATCTGTGTTTTTAGCACTAGTTCTGGATACTGATGTCCTCTGCATCTTTTCCTAGTAAATGGGGAGCAGGAGAACCGAGTACAGAAGGGAAATGGATATTTTCAAGTGCCCCCTCACACCCCTGTGATCTTCGGTGAAGCTGGAGGACGCACGCTGTTCAGGTATGAGTGTGGAGGGCTGGAGACCTGCCTAAGAAATCATCCCTTTTGCTAAGAAGTACTGATTCAAACGTTGTAACTTGTTCTGGGAGTATAAGGGGTTCAGAAGCTTTTCCAGCTCCATGAGATAGTTAAGTGTCTGATGCTATTAGACCACGTTCTAATTGAGAACTGATCCTCTTGTGTTAAAATGAGGTCGATACTTTAAGGCAGCTTCTGTGGTGGTTTCTACAGGAAGCTGTCACTTTCTCTCACTTAGCTGACATGACTGTTGGGGTCAGGAAATCCCCAGAAGTCCCTGCTCATAGAATAGCATCAGAGAAGGTAACTTCCCTCAGGCTGGGCAGTCGGTACAAGGTGGGCTGGGCTGCTCCTGAGAACTGTTGTGCTCAGTGGTGCGCGACTTGAGAAATGAGGCAGTCCTTCATGAGGCCGTGCTGGGAAGCTGGACTGGCTTCACCTCAAGTGGCCAGCCAGGCCCTGCTGGAATCACAGGGGAGAGCTCAGTAGAGTCTTCTATAGGGCCAAAAGTAAGAAAAATGCAGGCCAGAATTCTCTTTCCCTAAGCTCAGAATTCTCTTGCTTTCCGGTGGTTTCCTGAGAGTGTGATGACCAAAACAGTCCTGATCCTTGTGATGTGTGGAGGCCTGGGCCATGCACTACAGCCCTGGCAGGGGATGTTTCTTGAGTATTTTGCCTGCAGCCAGCATTCCTATCATCACCCGAGGACTCAGAGAAGCAGCTGTAGTATATGCGTAGCCTCAAGGATGCAGGGCCCTGAGTGTTAGCACCTGCCGCCCCCCTTAGCCGAGTGAGCCATGCTGCCTGGCTGCACTCCATTGCCTCAGCTGTCAAGTGGAGCTCATCCCCCCGAATGGATGCTAGGGTCCCTCCCTCTAATGTTTGTTGACAGTGGTTTGTCATTTGTGCTGCTGTGTCACTGACTACCTGACGGGTTATGTTTAGGCTGCTCTGCCGAGACTCCGGGGGTGAGACTGAGTCGATGCTTCTTAATGAGACAGTGCCACAATGGGTAATTGACATCACTGTGGATGTAAGTGTCCTCCACTCCTGTTTTGCCCTTTTGTTCTGTCCAAACACAAAGGAGATTAAGAGCAGCTTTAGACTGTACAGTCTTACGTTAGTAAACACTAGGCTGCCAAGGGGAACCCTCCTCAGCTTCCCTGCAGTCCCAAGGTTGCGGAAGAAGTACTGGTAATTAGTTATGTACTGTTTATATCCTGTTGGAGTCAGTTATAACCGTAATATGTGCTCATTAAAGAAAATAAATGAATCAAGTGAAATGCCCATCTCTTTCCCAGTCATTCCTCTCTTCCACTCACTCCTGTCCTTCACCCTAGAGGGGATAAGTAGTCGTAGTTCAGGCCATAACCTTCAGGACCTTTTTCTGTGCATACACAAGCAGATACTACTGAGTGTGTGTGCATGCACCTATGTGTGTGTACACACACACACACAGAGTTCATTATTTTGCACAAAATCTGTTATACATACTGTTCTGCCACTTGGTTTGGTTTGGTTTTTCACTTAAAAATGTATCTTGGGGGACGCCTGGGTGGCTCAGTGGGTTAAGCGGCTGCCTTCAGCTCAGGTCATGATCCCAGCGTCCTGGGATCGAGTCCCACATCGGGCTCCTTGCTCAGCAGGGAGCCTGCTTCTCCCTCTGCCTCTGCCTGCCATTCTGTCTGCCTGTGCTCGCTCTCTCTCTCTCTCTGACAAATAAATAAAATCTTTAAAAAAAAAAATGTATCTTGGACATCTTTTCATGTCTGTACATGTAGGTCATTCATTCCTCTTTAATGACTACATAGTATGTCTTTGTATAAATATATCATAATTTATTTAACTGGTCCCCTATTGATGGACATTAAGGTTGTTTCCAATGTTTTCTATTACGAGCAATGCTTCAGTAAACATCCTTGTACATGTATCTTTGTGTACTTTTTAGGATAAATTCCTAGAAGTGGAATTGTTGGATCAAAGGGTATGCACGTTTTCAATTTTGATAGTTAACTGCCAAATTGCCCCCCACAAAAGCTCTAGCAGCGTACGCTCTCACCAACACTATTTTGTGCCTGTTTTCCACATTCACCGACACTGGTTATTTTTCAGTCGTTGCTAAAAGATGGCAAATATCTCATTGTTTTAATGTGGGGTGTTGTTTTTTCACATGTGGTGAGGTTAGGCATCTTTTCATACTGGCCATTTGTATTTCTTCTGTGAGTGTACTCATTTTTCTATTGGGTGATTTGTTTCTTACTGATTTGCAGGATTTCGTCCTATTAAATATTAACCCTTCTACTATTACATGTGTCTCTCAATCAAAGTTTTACTTTGTTCGTGGCTGATGTCTTTTGCCTGGCAAAAAGTTTGAATTTTCTGTAATCAGATTGATCTTTTATGGCTCTGAGTTTCATGTCTTGCTTTGGTATTTCCTGTCCAAAGTAGCAAAAATGTATATCTCCTCTGGTACGTCTGTGATCATTGTGTATGTCTAGATCTGTAACCTATTAGAATTTATTCTGTTTTGTGTGAAGTAGGATGCTAACTTTCTCCAGATGGTTAGCCACTGTGCCAAAACAATTTTTTGGAGTGATCTGTTCTTTTCCTACTAATTTGAAATGCTATCTTTATCATATACTAAATTTCTGTATACACATGGGTCTGTTTCTACACTCTCTTATGTGCTGTTGACCTGTTTTATATATTCCTAAAGCCATATGAAAAGAGATTTAACCTCTATAGAACTTTCAGAAAATTTGTTTTCTGTCCCACATATACCTCCAAGAACTTGAAGCTAGTGTGACACCTGATGGATATTCTGTGCTATTCTCTAAGTCCGAGCTTCCCATAAACCACTGCTTCCTTTGAGTGTGAAAGTCACCTGGGATACATTGCTGACTTTAGGCCTGTGGCTTTTTCCTGAGAGGAGACATCCAAACAGGATATGACATGGAGGCTCAGAGGGGATTAATACCCAGAGAAAAGATGACCAGTTAAATTTATTCTTTATCTAAGTATGTGGTTTGCTTCATGATAGTCATCTTGGTGGTTGGCTGAAGTTTCCACTCTTGCTTAAAACCTCAGACCTGAGGTCAGAGGGAAAGAAAATGGGAGGACCTGAGTGACCTTTTCAGTTGGACGGTGGGTCTCACCAGGCCAGAGTGTACAGTAGAATGTTGTGGGTTTCTCTCAAGACACTGAACTTTTTGTTTGGGCCCTTAGGTATCAGCCCCAGTGTTTAAGTGTGGAATTGAGATTTTTATTTTGAGAGCTTTAAGAGTTAAAGCTTGTTTCCCTTTAATACCTTGAAATATTATTTGAGAAGAGCCATTCTACAGCATCATGCCACTGACATATCATTTGTCTCACATATCTTTTATTACAAAACTAAACATGATACTTTCCTGATACGTTTTCACTAAGGCTGACTTGGATAATTTGATAGCTTACTGTACATTTCATAGAAAGTCAGTTTTACTTGTAAAATAACTTGCAAATCATGTTTTTCTGTTGACATCATTTTCATTCATCGGCTGATCAAAATGATCATACCTTTCTTTTTACTTTCAATATTTCAGAAAAATATGCCCAAATTCAACAAAATTCCTTTCTACCTCCAACCTCATGCATCTTCGGGAGCAAAAACATTAAAAAAGTAAGTAAATGCAGTGTTACATGATGCCTTGATCTCATTAATGGCCAGCACTTTGTTCTTCTTTATGATTGCTTTCATAGTAAAGGATAACTAAAGCAGGTTTTGTGATTCTGAAAGCTTATACAGTTGAGCGTTTATAAATACCTCCTGTGGTAGGCCACAGATGTTCAAAAGTATAAGACTTGGTTTTTTTTCTCTTGCCACAGCATAGTTTAGGACACAATGTGTATATAAAAATTGCTTTTATGGATACTTAGGGAGTCATGGGAGTAGGGGAAAGAAATGAATCGTGGGCTGGAGCTTCCAGAAAGTCTTCTTGAAAGACATGGAATTTGAGCTGGACATGTAAGAAATGGATAGAATTTCAAAAGAGAGGTATTCCATGTCCAGAAAATGGTTTGAGGATTTGGAAGTAGGAGTATACACAGGATCCTGAAAATTAGCAAGGACCGGTGTAGCTGCAGCAGAGACTCCAGAACTGGGAAAGGAAATTTGAGGTCTCGTGGACGTGTATCTGAGCAAGTAAAATCTGTTAGGGGCATTTCCAGACATATACAAACAAGAGATCAGGGGCATGAACCCCCATTATCCCCTCAAACAGCTCCAGGGTCATGCCTAAGCATTTTCCCTCACCTATACCTCTCCCTCCGACCCACCTACACACACATACACACCCCACATTATTTTAAAGCAAGTCCTAGATAGCACTTCAACCAGATTTAATGACTGAAGGTCAAGATGGCTTTCAGACTTTGAGCCCGAGCTACTTGGGTAGGCCATTTTGAACTGACGTCAGTGCTACAAGAGAAGTAGGTTTGAGGGTAAGGAAATTGATGAATCTGGTTGGGGACACGTAGAGTTTGAGGTGCCCATGGGACGTCCTTCTGGAGATACCCAGCCAGCTGTTGGGCTTGTGGCCTAGAGTTTAGGCAGGAGGTCTTGGCTGTAGGGCCAGGAGCCACAGGAGAAATGAGCACCTGGGGAATGGGAGCCTGGTAAACACGGGGGGGGCTGCCTTCCCTCCCAAGAGCATTTAGTTTGCCCATCCTCTAGGATCATCTTTAAGGGAATAAAACCCAGCAGGCTGTTCTTGACACATATGTAAGTTTTAAGAACATGTATTTAATCTCACTTACATGTAATCTGTGTCTTTGGGGGACACGATGGAAATGTGTTGGCAATTCTAAAACTGGATTAAGGCAATGACCTAAACATTCTTCTTGATATGTTTCCGTGCTTTGTTTTGTCTTTATCCAATGTGAACACCAAAAAATATTTAAGAGATAACATCCAGTGATTCCTGATGGCACAATCTGCCCTTGCTTCTTACAGAGACAGACTCTCTGCTAGTGACATGCTACAGGTCCGGAAAGTAATGGAACACGTTTATGAGAAAATCATCAACTTGGATAATGAGTCGCAAACCACTAGCTCTTCTAATAATGAAAAACCAGGAGAACAGGAAAAAGAAGAGGATATTGCTGTTTTGGCAGAGGAGAAAATTGAACTTTTGTGCCAGGACCAGGTAAGTGCACTTGAGGACCATAGCTCCATTTTTTCGTGTCGATGCTCAGAAAGTTACATGTGGTGTCATTATGGTTCCCACGTCTGTTACCTTTGGGGGTACTTCTGCTTTTAGGGAGGCTCTAAGGAGTGCTGGGTCTCTCCCACCTATTGGTGAGACCCTTTCTGGAGGGGCTCTGCAGCCCACCCTGAAGTTCCTATTTACCCCAGGAAGATTCTCGGGAAAAGGACATAGAGATTGAAGTGCACACACAAAGGGTGAATGTGCTGGTGGCTTTTTTTTTTTCCTGACAAGAAAAAGACACATGATCATCTCGATTGACAGAGCAGTGTCGGCCGTGTTGGTTTAAGATTTGAAGCAGAGGTGGGTGGAGCATTGGGGGCACTGTTTTAAATAAAGGTGCACTAGAGGCATTTCCTCAGGGGAACAGCTGAAGTTGGGATCTCCAGCCTAGCCGCCCAAGCTGCTCGTCTCTCACTGCCCGGATTCGTGTCTGCGTGCATGGGAGCTCTGTCAGCAAGAGCAGGCCACCAGGGGTAGGCGAGGGGAGGACGAGCTGGATCATCTGGTGAGAGTCCCTGAGTTTACAATAAGGGTCTTGGATATTACAAAGTAGAGGCTTTGACATTTATTATTACTTATTTTTGACCATTCAGGTTTTAGATCCAAACATGGACCTCCGAACAGTGAAGCACTTCATATGGAAGAGTGGTGGTGACCTCACCCTCCATTACCGTCAGAAGTCGACGTGAGGGGTGGGCGAGCACTCCTGGGTATTCATTTACTGACCTTCCTCCTTGGCCCCGAGAGTAGTCCTAGGAAGCCCACCGAGCCCCAGCGGGAGCACGACTTCTAACGGCCGATTTGGTATGGACCGAGATTCTCTTTCAGTTGAAGTGACTAATTGCGGTGTAAAATAGAAACCAGTCTCCATGTGTAGATTAAGCTGTCCCCAGGGAGGCAGAGAGTGCGAGCAGAAAACCCCACAGACACACTGTGTCCTGTGAGATGTACAGAGGACGGACGACAGGCCAGCACAGACTGGGCTTCTTCCTTTCGTTTCAAAGGACCTTATCTTTGTCTGTTAGCACTTGTAGAGACACATAGGTAGAGCCACATCTGTCACTGTGTTTCCACTTCAAACCCACATGCTCTGTAGCTTTTGTAAGAGAGTACATTCCATTCCTGCAGCACCTATGAAGGCTTTTTCCAAGTCGGTCATTAAAAACAAGTTATTCTCACATTTAAGACAGTTATTTTTAATAGGAATTTGCTGTTGTACAATTCCAGAGCCAGCCCATTTCATAATAAATTATCCTTGTTGGGCTCGTTTTAATATTGCATCTCAGATGCGTTCTTTAGGAAGACCTGCGAAACTCTGGGAGCTGGCCCATAGCACTTGGACCGCCAGACTGGAGTATGCCCAGCGGCGCCCAGGGCTGCTGCGCCCCCACAGTGCCCCCGGCTGTGCGGCAGCCACGGGCAGGTGCCACGCCTTCCCTGCTCCTCCGCGTCCAGCTTTGTTGAGGGGCCAAGCTACGTGACATCACAGGTTCGCGCTTTGGGTGAGCAGCACAACACCATCGAAACTTAAGACCATGAGGAGAAAAGAAAAGGAAAAAAAAAAACCACAAGGAGATACTCACTTCATTTAAATGCTACCTAAAATTTATGGTGTCAGAGAAGGAAGGGTATCCTAGTGAGTTAATTTGATATTCCCCTCCTGGAAGTATACATACTTGTTTTCACCAGAGTTTTATATGCAGGTTTTTGTTGTGGTACCTGTATCCAGAGTTCTTTTCGTTGTTCTTTCTAACAATCTGAAGCTTTCATAGAATCATTTGAGTCTTGTACAGAATATAACTTATTGGGGATAAACACTTCAACTTTTGGCAGAAGAAAATACTTTGGATTCTCCCCAGGGTCCTTTGTATTCAGAATAGAACAGTGGTCCAGCCCCGTACAACTACGGAAGACAAGCCTCCTGTTTAAAGCCAGAAGCACAAGTGCCTTCAGAGGGCAGTTTATTCCAGTCCAGTTGCCTCCCCAGCTCGCGTGCGGTCTGTCCCCACAACAGCAGGGACTGGGGAGGGGCCGGAAAGGGTTGTTTTCTTTTCTACATCTTGACAGGTTCAGCGGGAAGCAGCTGATGGGCCTAAGTCCAGACCTTTCTATTTGAGATATTCTTACCTGCACAACTGTAGAGACAGGGTTCCCTCACTGCTGGTCAGCTTCCTTTGGAAAGTGGACAAGTCACTGCCTCCAGCACTTTGAAGAAGTGAGCAGAGACATGCCACATTTCCAATGAGTTTTTCTCCCTTACACAGAGAGCAACCGGCTTCTTTTTTTAAAAAGTCCTTTCTATCTGTTGGATACAACAGTGTGCTTTTGGTGCACATTTTTTAGCAATAGTTGTGAATTAAAGGCAAAAACAAACCCCACAACTCACTTAGCCCTCTGCTGTGTTTGCAGGAGGGGCCCTTGGGGTAAAGGAATAGGTTTCACTGGGCCATTTGGCCCCATGGGCCGAGACTTGAGGGGTGGCTGCACTCCCTTCCTGTCACAGATCTGACCCTCAGCATGCTTCTACTTTTTTTCCTTCCAGTCAAACCAGTAACAGTTTCCAGAAAATCTGACAGTCTGCAATGCCAAAAGGGTAAAAATATGTATTTCACAGTTGTATAGAATAAAGGCTTTAGTTACAGTATTTCAAAGTGTAGTACACCTTTATTTCTTTCACTTGTCATTTTCCTTCATAGCAGATTACAGAGAAACTTCTGGTTCCATGTTTACCCTGACAGTCATCAACGTCAGTACCCATTTTATCCCCCTGGTCAGGGTGGGGAGTATATAAAAGTGAGAGAGGAAGAGCCAGAATCCTAGGGTGAGGGGGATGTCACGCCAGACTACCAGGCTGCAGTTCAGGGAAGCTGGCCTCCAAACATCCTGTGGTGATTCTCTTCTACTTCTTGGATTCCTACAGGCAGACACGGCTCCCAGAAAATCCCAGAACCCAGCTCCAGACCTGGCTTTGGACACACCTCCTCCCTGTTCGGCAGGCTTATCAGCTGCCACGACAGGCTTGACGAGGGCTTGCTTCAAATGCAGTCATAGTGCTAGAAATTTGAAGAGTTTGCTCACTGGGGGCCCTCCCTGCATATACTTGATCTGTGCCTCCCCCCCGAGCAGATGGTCCTTATTGTATGGGCCTAAAAGAACCCTGAATGCACTGTAAAGTGCCCACATTACAGATCAAGCTGCAAACGTGGGACTTTGAACTGGGTAGCAGCTAGAAGACAAAGCCAGAGGCAGCTTTTGTAGCAATTGGTAAGATGTGGGCAGGTGAGGGACTTAAGATGAGGAGCTGTTCCTGCATGGAGCCCTCCTCTTTATGCAGCAACTAGGTAAAACACAAGATCTCGCCTAGTCTTAGCCACTCTGGGCACCGGGGGTGGAGGGAACAGCCTCCCATACTATAGGGAAGAACAGAATGGCCTACCCACCATTGTCCAGGCCCTCATTCCGCTTAGGGTGGGAGCTGTGTTCAAGAAGTCCAGTCAGGACTGGCTTTGAGTCTGCTTAGGTCGTTGAATTTAAATTTGCAATCTGTATTCTACTAGGGCAGCCTGGATGCCTTGTATATTTAGAAGAGATGGTTGTATAAGTTTGGGAGCTGACAGGAGTCACCACTAGGGATACTGGGTCTGTGGGGTGTAGGCCCTGGGGAAAAAGAGACATCATGGTCCAAGAACAAGTGAGTCTCTGCTGACAGGGCTAGAATTTCCCTCCTCCCCCAGGAGAGATGGACAAGTTCACTGCTTCTCTCCTCCAGCTGTTACTGGCAGATGTCAGTCAGCCTGAGCCAGCTATGCAGTGTAGCAGAGATGAGGATACGAGACTTCTAGAAGAGATGGTAACTGGGGCCTCAGGGGTCCCCAAGGCGTGGGGCTGCCTTCGAGTACACACGGGGCTAGCTGAGCTGTACAAGAAGAATCAAGGCAAGCCCTAGCAAGTTGTAGGCAAATACTCCAGACCTATCCCTTCCTCCTCCACTCCACCCTTCAATCCTCCTTCCTCCTTCACACCTGACCCTGTGTGGACTCTGCTGCTGCCTGGGCAGCCATAGTGACCACAGCAGGAGCAAGCACTGGACGTAAGGGTACAACGTGGCCTAAGGATGTTCTTGCCGATGGTCTCCTCTTCCTACCCACGGAGGCTCTCTGCCCCACCCAAGCAGCAGAGTAGTCCTTTTCCTCTCCTACCCCAGCTCCTGCAAAACTTAATCTGGGTGCTGCTCCCAGCTCCCCACCACCCCAAAAGGACTTGTCTGAGACTCTCAAACAAGTGCCCGACTCCCCAAAGCCAGGACCACCAGGCAGAATCAATGCTGGAAGGTCATCTCTTGGACACCGGCAGCGGCTATGGGCACACATGAGCTCCCGGGCTGCAGAAGTCCCTGCACAACGGGGAGCCGCTGCCTAGGAAGCTGCACACACTGGGCTGGGATCAGGCAAGGGGCTGAGCTGCATAGTGCGGCCTAAGCGGCTTCCCCCCATCCAGCCTCACGAAATGCCATCAGGGACCTGGACAGCCTAGGGCGTTATTCAGGGATAGAGAGCAGGGCCTGGCCGCCTGCCCCCTCAGCCTCCGCCCCGAACTCTGGGCTCTCTGTGCTTGCCGGCTCGTCCTCAGCCTGCGCTTCGAGCAGCTCAGCCGACAGGCCGTCTTCCGGTGAGGCTGCCGAGATAAGGCTGTCGGGAAGAGTTAGCTGAGGCAGGTGGTCTGGTTGTGCCTGGGTGCCTGGGCTGTCCGGGAAGGAGACCTCAAACTCTGATCCGGACCATGTGGCCTCACCTGAAAAATACAGAGAGGGGCTGAGAAGGCCTGGGGCAGCCCCCACTGACACCCCCCCCCGCAACTCCCTCCCCAGATATTGATGGGGAATGGGAGCTCTAGTGTCCAGATGCTTTCACGTGGCTGTATTTCATCCAAAAGCCAGCCTCCCAGCCAGCTGAGAAACTCAGGGCAACCTTGCCAATGACTCAGGGTCCTTCCCAAAAAGCTTGCACAGGTGTGGGCCACTCACCACCACGCTCGTGAGAACCGCTGCTGGAGACGTCCTCAGGGCCAGAGGCTGAGAGACCCATGGATGTCAGCTCTGTGGCAGAGGGCAGGCCGGGCCAGACACTGGCATTGCTGCTGTCCAAGAGGGAGATACCTGACACATCCAGGAAGCCTAGGAGAAGGATGCAAGTCTTTGCCAGCACAAAACCCGGACGATTGGAAGGCCCATACCCTGGGCCTCAGGCCCCTGTTCCTGGAGCGCCTGGCCCAGCCTGAAACTGTAATCTCAGCCCAAAAGGGTTCCCCCGCCCAACCCCAAAGTGGTCCCCACTGCCTGTTGCTGAGGAAAGAAAAGGCCTAGCACAGAGGCAGAGGGCCCAGACCCTGCTCTGTCCCCACTATGCAGCGTGACCTCGAGCAGGCCGTTTCCCTTCTGTGGACTGCAGTCCCCCCACCGGCACACTGGACAGGCTCATCTGCGACCCTCTTGGCATCTGTGAGCTAGGAGGCATCCGTGGGTCTGAGGAAGGTTTAGGCACTGCCCTGGAAGCCCTGCCCCAAACCTGGGGCCCACTGCAGCACCGGGGATTGCAGGCCCCTCCGCCTCCTCTGGGGCCCACTCACTACCTGGGTCCATGACACGCTGCACTGGAGGTGGAGGTTGAAGAGGTGTCTCCATGAGATGTGGAAATCCCCCAAGGTCTGGAGCACCACAGCTGGGACTCCCAGGCTCAGAAAACTGTCCCTCCATGAAGGAGCCAGGTGCCTGCAGCAGGGCCTATGGGGGCCAGGGAAGAAGGAGGGAGCACGGTAGGGGCAGTTGGGACAGAGGAGTCCAACCTAAGCCCCGGCCCACAGTGGCCACAGAAGCACTGCTCTGCCTGATGGAGCAAAGAGCCGTGGTGTCCTGCCCTTACCCCCACAGGGGATCTACAGTCCAGTACAGGAGGCCTGCCTGGCCTCTCTGGTAGTGCTGACAAGGAGGGAGTGCCCTTCCTGGTCTGCTGAGGAGCCCTGAGCACCCACCTGGCTGGGCCCCTCCAATGACCCACCTGAAGAGGAACCCTTGGCTGAATTCCAGCATGCCTAGGGAGCCATCCTCACATGTGCCCCAGTACAGACCCTAGGCAACAGCCCAGTGCCTGAAGGTACTCAGTGACTTTCCCACAGGCATGAAGGCAGGTCTGGCATTCCTCTACAGATCTGGCCAAACAACCAGACCAGCCGGGGCTCTGGATGCCCAGCCTCTGGCCCAGCCTGACCCCAGACTCCTCAAGGCACAGTACAAGGCTCTGTGCCTGAGCCTCTGTGTCCCACTCAGGAAATGAAAACAACTAGTGCCTTGCCATGACCCTCACCTCCAGACCTAAGTGTCAGGAGAACTAAAGTGGGCTTCACTGTCCCAGGATTGGACCACCTGCTTTCACTGGCCCCCAGAAGCAAGAAAGGCCCTCCAAGGGCTCCACAAATGGGCCCCGGGTGACAGCAGCCTTGGGTCCTCCTTTCCCAGATGGCAGGCCCCTTTGCCCCTACGAAGCCCCCCGCTTCCTCTCATTGGCAGATGCTCCCCACATACCTGCGTGTAGTCATCCTGCCTGGAGCCTGTCTCCAGGCCTGAAGAGGCAGGAGAGTCCTGAGGGGTGGGTCCAGGAGGCAGGGCATCAGGAGGCGGGGCGTCAGGAGGAGGGGCGTCAGGTGGCGGGGCGTCAGGTGGCGGGGCACCAGGTGGCGCGGCACCAGATGGTGAGACATCAGGCGGCAGGGCATCAGGTGGCGGGGCGTCAGGTGGCTTCTTGTGGTGGCTGGGAGGCTGCGTTGGGATCCGGTGCAGATACCCGTAGCCAATACCACACCCCAGACTGCCGAAGTCCAGAAACATTCAATCCAGGGGGTTGTCCCATAGCCCTTCCTAGGTCTGCCAACCCCACCCACTCCTAGCCATGAGGGGCAGCAAGGGTGCTGCCTGGACCAGTGGTCATCCTCAGGATCCCTGGACCCTGAGCCCAACCTCCACCCCAGTGGCCAGGTCCAGCCGGTGCTCTGCTAGGCCCCTACCCCACCACCCTCCGCCTGAGGAAGTACCTGCCCTCTCCACCCCAGGCTGCGTTGGGAGTTACAGTCACCTCCCGGCAGGAGTCGGACTCGGAGTTGTAAACCATCAGCTTCAGGGGCTTCCCCTCGTGGGACTCGATGAGCGTAAAGAAGTCCTCGGACTACGACAAAACCAGCACCTGAGCCCCACTCCCCACACCTGAACTGGGAGGCCTCGACTTAACGAGGCCCTCCTCGTGGACAGCACCCATCTCGGCACCCTATCCGGGGGGCCTGGGGAGGACAAACCAAATGCTGCTCACCTCCTGGAGGATCTGGTCTGAGCCAACCACATAGTCTGTGTATGGGCGCAGGCCAGCAAGGGAGGCAGGTGAAGAGGGTTCCACGTCCTAGGGAAAGAGAAATCACCAACTATCTGTCTTGCTTCTCTAGTTGGGGATGGAGGGGCTCCCTTTCCAGGTACTGAGCAGGACATTTGTTCTCAGGCTCCAGGGCTAGGACAAGACCAGACTCTCCTACTCCATCCTTCATTTCCTGACCTCCCCAAGGTGCACAGCCGGCCGGCAGAGGGCAGCACCACGGCACTGCTCACAGCCCTGAGCTCTGGAATCTCATGTGGGTTAAATCCTGACTCCGCCAACCTCTAGCCTGTAACTGTGGACAAATACTTAACCCCCTAGCATCAGTTTCCCCACAATTAAAAGCAGGATATGCAGTCCTTCCTCATAGGGTTGCTGAAACAATTAAAAATAGAATACAGGTAAAGAATGAAAATGACAGTTGGCCCACAGGAAGTGCCCAACTGCTGTGCTGTTACTGGGTGCAGGCCACTGTGGAGGGGCTGGAGGCTGGGCAGTGAGCAGAACTGGGTACAAGCATCATTTCCTCCCTTGGGAAACTCTACCACTCCTAGCTCCAGGTCTCCCAGAGCAATGCAAAGGGATTTGCCTCATCACCCCATTGTACTGGTGGATAAACTGAGGAAGGCTAAAAGGTTGAGAAGTCTCCCACGAGAACTCAGTGAGCAACAGAGAAGGCTAGAAATCAAATCAGTCCATTTCCAGCTCAGGGCACCCTCCTTCCACCAAGCCTTGGCACTAAGCATTCAAGATTGTAGGCACCATCTTGTGTGTGTGTGTGTGTGTGTGTGTGTGTGTGTGTGTGTGTGTGTACAGACACTGCAACATCTGTGACAACTCAGTCACTGAGATTCAGGAAGACCCCAGGCCCAAGGCCCAATGGGGCTCTGAGGGGACCTGCCAGAAACGACTAGATCCCGGTAGGCCCTACAGTCTACCAGAAAAGACCCCATCTATAAAGACCAGAAGCAGCAGCATTCTGGCAGTGTAAGCGCCCCTCCAGTTGGTTGTACCCCACCCCTCAAAATAGGAAACCAAGGTCTAGAGGGTGAGAAGGGTGCCGCAGGTCGCCTGGCTACCGAGCAGGGTACACAGTTCTAGGGATGAGGAGAGGCCCTCAGGAGCCCTGTCCCGGAAGCAGGTCGTCGGCCCCACCCAGATGCCCCACACCCAACCCTTGCCCCGCCCCCCTACTCACCAGCACGTGCCACACGTGCTCGCTGGCCCTGCGGAAGCTGCAGAAGCGTACGCTGGCCCCCAGCAGGCCCTGGCCGCCCCACATGTTGCTGGGCACCACCTCCACCTCGCGCACCTTCATGGTCTTCATGTTGAACACCTCCAGCTTCACGGGCTTCTCCACATTGGCCTTCAGCAGGGCCTTCAGTGTGTCATTCTCCTTGTTCTGTGGGGGCAGAAGGGCTGACGCCAAGCCCCCTGCCCCCCACCACCCACCCCCCAGGTTGGGACCTCTCAGACAAGTCTGGGTCCAATGTGGGGAAGGGCCCAGGAGGCCAGGAACCCCAGCAGGGTCTGGTGTGGGCCAGGGCAGGGTCTGGGCCTGCAACCACTGCAACCCCTACCACCCCTAAGCACCACGAAACCTGCCTCTCTCAGAACCCCTGGAAAAGACAACAGAGTGAGCAAAGAGCCTGCTTGGTCCAGAGCACTGCAGGGCTCCCCTCTCTGACAGGTCCCTTGGCACCTTGACACTTCTCGTGCCCTGAGAGGCAGGCCCTTTACACCTCGTGGCCAGCTCCAAGAGCCCCAAAAAGCTCAGGAATTGGGCACTGGGCAGTGCACCAGTCAAGCTGAGTATAGGCCTAGAAGGAGGAGAGGTGAGCTGGGCCTCCCTCCAGAAGAAAAGGGAGAAGGAGCAGAGTGGGGCCTGCTGTGGGTCAGGGGACACACACACACACACACACACACAGCAGCTGTAGCATGGGGGAGCCTCACCAGCCTCGAGTGCCCGATGGTGATGATGAAATCAAAGTAGGGTTCCAGGCCTGCCTGCTGGGCTGGGGAGTTCTCCTGCACCTGTCCCACAGCAGAGGCCACAGTCACAGCAGGCACCAGCCTCGTGACTCTCCGAGAAGCCCCCACCCATGTCCACAATTTCAGAGACCATCCATCACCACTTTCGGTGTCACAGCAAGAACCAGGGCCCTGCACAAACTGTTCTAGGCAGGCGACCGGTGAGCACTGTCAAGGTAACTCCACCCTCTGGCTACCTACCTGGGCAAGATTGTTCTCTTTAAGAAATGGCTCTTGTTGGGTCATGACCCACACATTATACTTCCAGAGATGCCTCACAGGAGAGCCCAGGGTAGCCCTGGGAGCTTCTAGGAGGCCACATAGACACAGGGCACCACAGGCCTGTGGGGAAGCTCGGGCCACTGGGAAGCCGGCAGGTTTACCAGAAAGGTTTAGATGTGGACAGGAAGGGAGGGCCCCAGAATAGATGGTACCAGGGCTGTGCTCAGAAAGACAGAGAGGGTGGGCAGCCTGTGGCCAGATCCCAGAGCGCAGACCCTGTGGTGACAGATCTGAGCTCAGCTGGGCAGGTGTGGGACCTACTGAGGAGTGTAGCTGAGGGAAGAAGACCCAAGGGACAGGGAGTCCTGTAAGAGGGAGTCCCAGAAGCAGGGATGAATCCCGGCCTCACAGCCTAGTCTCCCCTTCTGTGTGGAACGGCTCCTCCTCCCGGGAGCCACTCCGAGCCCAAGGGAGCCTCCAGCCCGGTATTTTGGAACTCACTGCTGTCTCCAAAAACACAGCAACCAGGCCTCCCAGCTGGGGTAAAAATCCATCTCAAAGGCCTCATTTACAGAGTTTTGCTCAAACAATGCAGCCTTTATCCCCAGGGCTGGACCCTGCAGTGGGCCCCACACCCTCAGGCCTTTGGCTGTGAGCACTTGATCTCCCGCTGGCCAGGGATCAGCCCAGAGGACACAGGGCTCATGTGGCTTCAGGTTCCGGATGCATCCACCACGGGAAGGCCCTGGGGCTTCCACCACCCACCAGCCCCTATAGTCTTGGATTCCCCAAGCTGAAAGAGAGCTCACCCCACGCCTTGGGATCCAGGGTGATTCACCCCTGGAATTAGAACGTCCTTCTAGCTGAGTCACCACCCACTGAGGCCCTGCTTGCCATCCCCAGGAGCTTGCCATGGCTTCCTATGACAGTGAGCCCAGAAACCAACTCCAGTCCCAGCTGGCCTGCAACAGGGGAGCTCTGAGCCCTGCCCCTCTCCCGCCACGGGAAAGCTGGAACAAGGTGTCTTTTGAAAGCCACTGGACAGTTACTCAGGGACAGCTAATGTGGAGGTAGTCCTCCTTCTCAGGGACAGCTAATGTGGAGGTAGTCCTCCTTCCCAGCTCAGGACCTCATCCATGCCACTCCTGCCTCCCCCTGCTCCTGAGGCCAGTGCCACCCAGCTGCCAGACTGCTCCCCTCCTCAGTTACTCCTTGTCACTCCAGCATTACTGAGGTCCAGAAGCTCAGGCCTCCAATCCCCAGGCCCTCTCGCCACCCTCTGCTGTGATCTTGTCTTTTGGCTGTACTCCCCTGACCTTGCCCCCCTCCTTGTAATCACCCTCTAGGGCTCTGGAGCAGAGCTAATCTGAGTGGCTTGCCACTACATCCCCGCTCCCGCCATAAGCGCTGTCCCCTGTCCGGCTCTCCTTTGGGGGCTCCCAACACCCTCCACCTCGCAGTCCCTCGATGCTTGCTGGTTTCCCACCACCTTTCACTGTGTTCCCCAACAGGGAATCTAATGTAATTAAAGGGACAGCAGCTGACACTTGCTGAGGACTGGCTCCGTGCCAGGGGACTGCGCCACCTGCCCTACCTTGTGTTTAACTCTTTTACTAGCACTGACTTCCCCAGGAGGAAAAGCACTCCATTATTCAGAAATCTGACTCCAGGAAGTCCAACCCAGGGCCTGGACAGGTAACAACCATTTCCTGGGGGACCCTCGAGGCCTCTAATCTCACTGAGGGCAGGGACTTCTCAGGAGAAAATCCTGATCTTCAGGACACGACAGGCCCTGCATAGTCTGGTCTCTTCCTTTAGCACTTGTCCTCCTCACATGGGCCACCCCATCTCTGGACACCAGCCTCATCTCCTGCTTTATCAACCCAACCGTCCCAGAATGTTCTTCCTCTAAGTATCTGTAATGTCCACTCCTTCCCTCCCAGGTGTCTTCCTGACCCCTCTATCCAAAACAGCACCCACTCATCCTCTGTATGCTCTTCCTCTACTTTCGTCTCGCACTGCTCACCGCCTATCATATATTTCTGTTTCATCTGTCTCCCTCCTCTCTGTGCCAGCAATGAAGGATAAGCTCCGTGAGAAGAGGGACGGTGTCTGTTCTGCCCACTGCTTTATCTCTGGTACCCAGAACGTGCTCAAAAATACCTGTTTTTGTGGATGGAAGACCTCCAATCTCTTGACCTCTCCACTCAGCCCCTCTCCCACATTCCCCCCACCACTGCCCCACCTCTCCCCTCTCGCCAAGTCCTCAATTTCTTTGCTTTCCATCAACCTGCTGGAAGATTCTCCTGATGGGAGGCGTTCCGCTGTCCACTTTTCTGTCAGGTTCCTCACTGTGATGCCAACCAGAGAAAGCCCATTGCCAAACACGAGCCTGTCAACTCTGGGTCCTGAAGCCAAGCTGGCTTGCCTTTTGGGAACCCCCTTCTTTCACCCTCCTCTCTTGTGGTTAACAGAGCTTCAGACACCCCTCGGCAGCCAGGTACCAAACTGACCAGCTTGCCTGCCTACACTCAGCTCTGCAATCCATCCAGGGTGCCCCTGGAGAAGCACGAGGTCCTTCCCCACTGGGCTGTGGGTTAGGAGACCCTCCTGCCCCTCTCACCTCCGTTTCAGCACCTCCTTCTCCACAGTACACATCGCCACCCCAGCTCTCCATCTGGCTGCGGGCCCTCTCCTCACCTTCAGACTCTAGGAACCCCGCTCTGTCTCCACTTTGTCCAGAACTGCTTGTCCAGTCTAGTCCCTTCCCTGCTGCCAACGCTCGCACCCCGCCTTCTGCGGCAGTCTCCTGGCTCTCCCGCTGCGGCTCTCCCAGGCTGGTTGGCACTGCTCCTCCAGCCCGGAACCGGAGGCCCGTCGGCTGGATACGCGCCGGCAGGCCCCGTGGCAGTCGGAGTCCACCTGGCCATCCCGACGGGGAGCTAGGGTCTTGGCCTTGCTGGCTCTCTCCCCAGGCCCAGCAAGGAGGCGATCACAAACATGACCCGGGTGCACAAGTGCGTCCCGGCTGGACCTGATGCAATCTTCACCTGGGAGAAGTGCCATTCCGGGCGGCCGGACCCGACCAGGAAACGCTCCCGCTTCCTGCACGGCTGGCACTCGGGGCCGGCGCCGGGCAGACCCGGCCGCAGACGGGCCGGGGGCCAGAGAGCCTCGGCGCCGCCTCCCGCAGGCGGCTCCCACCGGGAAGGAGGCACACCCTGGCCGCTCGAGGGACCGGGACCCTGCCGCTGCCGCCCTCCAGCCGGCGACGAGACGTCCCCTCGCGTCCGTGCGGGCGCCCCGCCAAGGTCACCGGCGCCGCGGGGGCGACTCACCCCGTGCAGATGGAAGCCCTCGGCGCCGCCCGCGGGCTGCTCGGCGCTGACGCCCAGACCCATAGCTGCGGCCCGGCGGCGGCGCGCGTGTCCGGTACTGCGGTGCCCGGCCCGCAGCGCTATCTGGCGCCACCAGCGCGCACTCGCCCTCTCGGCGCTCGATTGCGAGCGCCTTGTCACGTGGGCGCCTGCCTCCCCACCCCTGACTCTGACGTTCTTAGCAACCGGCCCTTACCTCCGTTTCGAGGGACGCGCGCCTCCAACTTCCGGTCGCGAGAGGCGTGCGGGGGACCCTGACTAGGGAATCCAGCTCCGGGCGGCCCCACCAGACCGGGACTCAGAGGCGCGGGAGCCTGGAGATGAGCAGCGATGATTCCTCTCTTATGGTACGTGGCCCGAGTGCTGCCAAGTCACTCCCTCCGGGATTCTCCGCCTCCGGCCCCGAGACCCCCGCGCCCCGCTGCTCTCCTGTCACCTCTCCGACCGCCCCTGCTGTCTCCTTTACCTGCCTTTCGTCGTCCCCGGCCTGCCGCTTAATGAAAGATCTGGCCACCTCTGCTTCACTGTTCATGGCCAGTGGATCTTTCTCCTCTTGTGTTCTCTGTGCACTCTGAGCTCCAAATCAACATCCCCACCCCGTCTTGTCCTCGAGCTCCCCGCAATCAACGTAACCAAAACCCATCTCTTTCATTTTGCCATCATCTCCCCCTCCCCTGCTGCTGCTTCTGCGTCCCCCAGCTCAGTAGAGGGCACCAGTCTGGGGAAACCTTCAGTCTTCCCCATTCCCATCTCAGGTCCTGCCTATCAGCAGGAAATTTCAGCCCCTACAAGTCTCCTGACAGAACCCTCTACTTTGTACCTCCTAATCCGGGATAACCGCTCCCCAGGCACCTGAAACACTAACCTCCCCCGCACCTCACCAACACACACACCAGCTCTCTCCTCACCAGCAGTCCCCACACCACCACACACACACACACACACATCTGAACACATTCCTCCTCCTGCTTTAAAACCATTCCAACTGGGGTGCCTGGGTGGCTCAGTGGGTTAAAGCCTCTGCCTTCAGGTCAGGTCATGATCTCAGAGTCCTGGGATCGAGCCCCGCATCAGGCTCTCTGCTCAGCAGGGAGCCTGCTTCCTCCTCTCTCTCTGACTACTTGTAATCTGTCAAAAAAATAAATAAAACCTTAAAAAAAATAAAATAAAAATAAAAATAAAACCATTTCAACTGCTTCCAATTACCTGAGGATGATGTCTGGGCTCTTTCATATGGCCCACAAAACTGTTCACAATCCAACCACCTCTCCTCCCCAACTCCAGCAACCACAAACCTTAGGGGAAGTGAGACTTCACTTTGAAATCTCAGCCCCTATTACTGCATGACCTTTGTCAAGCCATCATCTCCATAGGCTTCAGCTTCTTTAACTGTGAGGGATATCATAATGCATAAGATAATGGGTGTAAATCCCTTGATACGGTTTCCAACAAGTGTTTAACCCAGAGTAACTTACAACTCTAACTGGTGGTGTACCCATTCTTATGATCGGCCCTCTCTCTTTCCCCTTATCCCCTTCCTAAGACAAAGTCTAAATTGAATCCTCCATTGTCTTTGACCCAGAATATGGTGATCAGTCCCGAATACATCCAGGCTCCTTCCTTGGAAACTGCAATGGAGCTACTCCTGGGACTAGTGAAGAACAAAATGAGGCCTTAATGTTCTCTTCCCCTCCTTCCTTTTGCATAATGGGGGAGGAGAAAGGAATAGGGGAGAAAGTGGGTGAGATCAGAGAAGGGACTGGGGCTGTTGCCCCTGTGTCTTCCTTTCACAGGCTGGGATCATTTACTATAGCCAGGAGCAGTACTTCCGTCACGTGCAGCAGGCCGCAGCCTCGGGCCTGGAAAAATTCAGCAATGACCCTGTCCTACAGTTCTTTAAAATCTATGGGATCCTCAGGGAAGGTAAGGACTTGCCAGCGTTGGCCTCCTTACCTCAGGCACTAGCCCAGCCCTGACACTCTGGCTCCACCTGGAATGCCTCCTTACACCCCAGCCGCGTGGCCATGGGAAGTCTTGTACTCAGTGGCTAGGTTCCCAGGTTAATCTACATGTGGCTGTGTAATACATATCTAGTTGACTTTTGAAACATTGGAGAGCTCACTCACCCTTCCCTGTCTGGAAAACGAGTGGGTGGGGAGACATGACTGCACGCTTATTGGATAAATTCTGGACTTGGAACCTGGGAGCTGGTAGTGCAGGAAAAGGAGGAAGTGGGAGGTATGGGTAAAGGCAAGTATGGTGCTGGAGCAGGGGGAGGAGCGATCCTCAAGCAGGTGCTGACTCACTGAGGCCAGGGGCTGGCCAAGCTGCCCACGGCCAACCTCAGTGGACACGGAGGGATAAGTGGAATCTGTGGCTCTGCCCTGAGATCCTTCTTCAGAACTGACCCCCCAGCCCCAAATCTTGGCCTCACAGGTGCCCGTGCAAGTACTCACAGGTGCATCCTCCAGCCCCAGGCAGCCTGGACCCTGGTGTCAGCAACCCCTTCAGAGGTCTTGGGCCACTGGGGATGTTTGGACCTGTTGGCCTAATGATTCTGGGTGAAGCCAGGTGGTGCTGAGCCTTGAGTCAGCTCTGACAAGGGCTCCCATGTGTCTGCCACAGAGCCTCCTGCCCTCTGGGGATGTAATCACATGGGCTTTCCTTTACAGAGCACATCCAGGATGCCATTAGCAACCTGGAGAGTATCCGGAATCATCCAGACGTGTCCTTGTGCTCCATCATGGCCCTCATTTATGCTCACAAGTGCTGTGAAACCCTTGGTGAGTGCAGCCATGCCTGGCAAGGCCTGGCCCCGCTTGGGGAAGACAGCCCTACTCCAGAACAATAGCCGCCCAAGGGCCTGCCACGGGAGGTCCGGTGCACCAGTGACAGCACGTGCTATTGGCCAGTGAAGAGTGGCTTCTGTTCCCTCCCCTCGGAGGCCTCAAGGAAGAGCCCGTGCCCAGGTCCTGCTGAGTGGGAGCTGCAGGCAAAGAGCATGACAGTTGGAGGGGTCCTCCTTTCAGAGCCCAGGAGTTGGGAAGACACCCTGCTTTCCTTGCCCCAGACCTTGTGGAGACAAATCAAGTCAATATAAATAATTCCAACCATAGGGTGCCTGAGTGGCTCAGTCCTTCAGTGTCTGCCTTCGGCTCGGGTCATAGTTCCAGGGTCCTAAGATCCAGCCCTGCATTGGGCTCCCTGCTCGGTGGGAAGCCTGCTTCTCCCTCTCCCTCTCCTGCACCCCCTGCTTGTGTTCTCTCTGTCTGTCAAATAAGTAAGTAAAATATTTTAAAAAGTAAAAATAGGGGTGCCTGGGTGGCTCAGTGGGTTAAAGCCTCTGCCTTCTGCTCAGGTCATGATCCCAGGGTCCTGGGATGGAGCCCTGCATTGGGCTCTCTGCTCAGCAGGAGCCTGCTTCCCTTCCTCTCTCTCTGCCTGCCTCTCTGCCTACTTGTGATCTCTCTGTGTCAAATAAATAAAATCTTTTAAAAATAAATAAATAAATAAACAAATAAACATTAAAATTGAATAATTAAATGATTCCACCCTTAATGTCCACCTCTCTAGAGTCAGGGAAAGATTCTAGAGTCAGGAAAAGATTCCAAGACGCTGCCAACAACTATTTCCCCTCAGTATGGATTGTGGGCCTGAGGTACGGGATTCACTTTGGTCTGTCTGCTCCGCAAACTGCTGGGCACAGGGGAGACAAGAGAAAGCTCAGACTGCAAACCCAAGTCATGGTGTGGGCCGCTGCTGCAGTTTCTAGGCCCCAGGGCCCTCAGGGCCTCCTGCAGGACCAGTCAGTCCTCCTCCCTCTGACTCGCTCCCTTCCTCCTCTTGGATTCACAGACCGAGAAGCCATTCAGGAGCTGGAAAGCAGCCTGAAGGAAATCCGCAAGACAGCCAGCGCAATGGCCATGTACTACGCGGGCCTCTTCCTCTGGCTCATGGGGCGCCACGACAAGGCCAGGGAGTACGTCGACCGCACCCTGAAGCTCTCCAGCAGCTCCAGAGAGGTACCTGCTGCAGGGGACAGCACCTGCAGAAAGCAGCATCCCAACATATCCCAGTGGGGTGGCCCTTACTCCTACGGAGCACCCTGGGGCTGGGAGAGGGCTGCATCGGGACCCCGACAAGAGCCCAGGTCTCACAGGACCCCCCACTCACACTGTCTCGGGCTTTAGCTGAGTACATGCTGGCATGTGTCCAGAGTCTAAGCTGCAGACAGTCATTCCAGGGCCTGGACTTTATGTTTTTTAAGTCTTGAATTAATTGCCAACATTTTGAAATCAAAAGATTTTGACCGAAAAGCCCAGATTTCCAGGTTCTTTGGGAAAGCCAGATGAGCTGGTTACGACAGGCGTCTACCTTCCCTCCTTGCTGTGGTCTGCTGGGTATCAGTGGTGGCCCACCCAGGAGAGTCTCACACTCGGTGGATTGGGACTGTTGCTAGAGTTTGAAGCCTCAGTCCCGGCTCAGTCTAGCTGCCACCTCAGTGGGGAGTAAACTCACCCCCCAAGGGGGTGAAAATTGGTTTCCCAAGGAGGGGGTGAAAAAAATCTTGCTGTTTATGTACAAAACACAGATTTACATACTGCATAGACAGATAATATATCTGTGAGATTAAAATATCTTGGAGGGAGAGGAAATGATTAAGGGAAAATATCTGAAAAGTCTCCTTAGGAGGGGAGCCATGGGAAAGAGTTGAGAAACACTGGTTTTGGGCATAACGCTTCAGGGCAATGTCCAAGAGACCCCCGACCTCACCTCCCAGGCCTGGCCACCCATCTGCCAGCAGAGGCTGGGTGAAGACTAGAGCAGAACCCCTGAGCTCAGAATGGCTCCTGCTCACCCTCCAAGAAGACATTCCCACCTCCTGCACAGTCCAGGCACTGTGCTGGGCTAAGGCGTGGAGAGAGGAGGAGAGGTCATGCCCAGTGGCCCATGGTGGCCTCCTGACCCCAGTGTACAGTAAACAGGCAATGACAAGACAGGTGAGAGCATGTCAGTAGGGGCAGCAGAGCTGTGGGGGTCCCGGAAGCCTGGAAGGTCATAGAAGGCCTCTGACAGGAGGGTCCTCCTAGGCTGAGTTTGAGAGACTCGTGGTAGTTAATCAGGTGAAGGAGTTTGGTTGGGAGCGCTGCAGGGACAGTGAAGTGAAGTCCCAGCCCTGGGAGGGAGCCGGGCTGCACTGGGGTCTGCAAGTAGGTGTGCCTGGGGTGGGGGGTCTCAGGGTACAGAGTGACAGGGGTGGGACATGAGGCTGGAGAGCAGGCTGGGTTCTGAGAGGCTGTGCAGGACCAAGGACTTCATCTTCTGTCTTGTTCTGATCCCAGGGCTATGTGCTCCGAGGTTGGGTGGACCTCACCTCAGACAAGCCCCATACCCTGAAGAAATCCATCAAGTACCTAGAACAAGGACTGCAGGACGGCAAAGATGTGCTGGGGCTGATGGGAAAGGTGGGCAGTGGAGGGAGGGGAAGCATCCCTGCCTGGGCCCCTGGAGCCAGGGAGCCTCTGTCTCCCAGCCTTCACCTGGCCCATGAGGAGCAGGGGCCCAGAGAGGATCAGGGTCACACAACAGCCCAGGGCCCACTTGGTTCTCACAATCCTGCCTGCTCAGTCTGAGTCCCTATCTCATTCTGCATGGAGTCTGCTCTGGGTCCGTCCTTTTTTCTCTGCTTCTTTCTATCATGCTTTCTCTTCTGACCTATTAAGTTCAGTGGGCCATAAGAGAAGGGAGACAGGTGTTTTGTGTTTTCTTTTTTTTTAAGATTTTATTTATTTATTTGACAGAGAGAATGAGCACAAGCAGGGGGAATAGCAGGCAGAGGGAGAGGGAGAAGGAGGCTCCCCGTCAAGGAGAGAGCCCGATGCGGGGCTCAATCCCAGGACCCTGGGATCATGACCCGAGCCGAAGGCAGATGCTTAACTGACTGAGCCACTCAGGCACCCGTTTTGTGTTTTCTGATCTCAATTTAAATTAAGTTCCTTTTTTCCTATGTGACCCCCACTAAATCAATCCATGAAGGAAAAGCTAGCCCTCTGATTCTCTTCTCTTAGTATGTATCTTCTTAGAAAATGAGTATGTACTAATTAAAAAAAACAGAAGGCTAAAAAAGTCAAAAGATGACATCCTTCACACTCCCCCTCCAAACAGCTCATGTGGACATTTAGGACCTTGGTGTCTTCCAGTCTTTTTTACTCTGCATGTGGTTCAGAGGGTGCCTTAGAAAGGCTTTCTGGGAAGCAGAAGCCAAGGAGAGCCTTGTGCAACAGTTTTATCTGGAGCGCCCTTGGGACCGACACCTGTGGGAAAAGGGACAGAAGCAGGACTGGATGGCAGGAGAAATTGGGCTGTGACACAGCCCTAGCAAAGGCCTCAGCCAACTTGGGGTTCTACAGCTGGGGTGGCCTATCTGTGACCTCCTCCCTGGCCACGTGCCAGGTGGGGGCTGCCCCTGTGGACAGGTATGACCTGCCACAAGGCTGCTGCCTTTAGCCATGGGCGACCCCAGCAGGTAGGCCTCCCAGAGACCTATCAGCCTCCAGTTCTTCTGGTCCTGAAGGTGATCCCACTGAGCGCCCTCCCCAGGGTGGGAGATAGTGTTGTTATTTAATTTAATTGTAATCATGAGGCATCTTATCACTCGGGTTCCTTTTCTTCATGTAAGATTTTGTCATAAGCCACTGTCATTTTGAACAGCTCCTTCAAGCCAATCCCCTATTGTACGGCCCTCATAAAATTTGCCCACCCAGATTATTTCCAGTTTACACTTAAAAACTGAGTGCTGCAGTGAGCACATGTATGCATAAATCTATCTAGAACAATCCTCCTCTTGTTCTTAGTAACTCTCTTGAGGGCGGGTTGCTGAAGGTCTAATGTAAGCTGTCCCTGTCAGAGTCCAGTTTCAAGTCCTTTGGGAGCATTGCTCTCTGCCCTTCAAGCACCTGGGGCATAACTCACTCAGGAGAACCTGCGGGCTGGCACTGGCCTGCAGAGGCCAGAACCCCAGCCCAGTGGGCCTCAGCAGAGAAAAGCTGCTGCAGCCCCCCTAACAAGGGTTTTGCCTGCAAGACGGAACTGACCCTGGGCCCGAGTGAGCAGTTTTCAGCAATAAGCTTCAAGAAAGTGAATGGCAAATGAGTGAGCCCAGCACCCTCAGGTCTCCCACCAAGGGCGGCCTGCACATGGCCTTGCCATCTCCCACACTTGCTAGGCCTCCCCCTATCTCCCCAAGAGCCCTTGCCTTGCCTGTCCAGGAACTCAAGCCTGCTGTGGACTTTGATCTGTGACTCTGAGGGATGACTCCTTCCCCAACACCTTACCCCCGGGGCCTTGGAAGGATTCCTTGCCCGAGCTGAGGGGACTTGCATGCCCTGTGTCAGGTTCTGCTCCTGTTCTGCTAGAGACCCAGACACCCCCAACCTCCCTCTGTGGCCACTGATGGAGGCTTTTCTCCTGGGCTTCCAACAGGCGACCTACTTCATGTTGCAGCAGAACTACTCGGGGGCACTGGAGGTGGTGAACCAGATCACTGTCACCTCGGGGAGCTTCCTGCCTGCCCTGGTCCTAAAAATGCGGCTGTTCTTGGCTCGGCAGGACTGGGAGCAGACAGTCGAAATGGGACACAGGTGAGCAGCGGTCGTCAGTCGACACCACCACACCCATGTACCGCTGCTTTCCTTTTTTTTTTTTGGCAAGCTGAGGGTGTTGATATGTTCCCATCTTACAAGCTGGGGAGATGGGAGACACCATGTATTTGATGGAACAAGACATAAAAGTAAATATTGTCAAGAGAGGTATGAATAGTGATGTGATCATATGGGGGAGGCACAGGGAGGCTGTGGCCTCTGATGGATAAAGAAATGGGCATATCTAGAGATAAAAGCACATTGTTGGGGCACCTGGGTGGCTCAGTGGGTTAAAGCCTTTGTCATCGGCTCGGGTCATGATCGCAGGGTCCTGGAATCGAGCCCCGCATTGGGCTCTCTGCTCAGCAGGGAGCCTGCTTTCCCCTCTCTCTCTGCCTACCTCTCTGCCTACTTGTGATCTCTGTCAAATAAATAAATAAAATCTTAAAAAAAAAAAAAAAGCACATTGTTTAGGAGACAGGTGGAGGGAATGACCTAAGGAACCCAAAGCAACCAAGGTTACAGGACGACAAGCAGTTGCCTCTAAAGAATGGGGGGGCAAGGGGGTATAAAGGGACTGTTGCATTATTTAATTGTTTTAAACTATGGGTATGATATACTGTAAAAAAAACTTCAGGGCCAAGATGATTGGTGACCGGGAGAAGACTTTCAGCTGAGGCCGGGCGCATCGGCCAGACAGTAAGAGCTGGGGAGTTCCTGGGGCTTTGGGAAGCCAGACACCAAATTGGGGTGACCTTAGAGTACTGTCACTGTCAATAGAAATAAAGACCACTTGGGGGGAGGGATGTTTGATGGAAGGTTTTCTGAGGATGGAATTTTCTAGATAATTGAAGCTTGTCTCTAAACTCCAAAACTTGAACTACTTTTATTAAGTAATTCTAAAATGTATGCTACTAATTTTCTTCCTAAAAAGAATTAACAGACTTTGATTGACCATAGGGCATCACTCTGAATTATTACTAAATTGTAGTACTATACAGCATAGTTCAAAACCAAAACAAAACACAAGCAGACCTCTTCCTTTCCCATGGAAGGATGATAATTTCTCTGATGATCATTCCTGGAATTTGCATCCCAGAGAGAGGCACCTGGTAGCAAATGAACATGATTCGGACGCTCAGCCCACAGGGACCCCCTCGTGCAGTGCCTGTGTGGGCCTCTGCTTCTCTATCCCATAGTTGACACCTGGCCAGTGTCCTTGGCAGGACCTAGGTCAAGAGCTTGCTTTGGAGGCTTGGCCTTCAGCCATCAGGATCCTGGGAGCACCTGGCTGAAGGCCACAACCATGGTGTATGCAGTCTCCCTTGGCCAAAGCCCTGCTGCCCTGCCCACGAGGAATAGTGTTTAGTGCCAATGGGCTGAGTCCCATACCCAACTCCTTCCCTCCTGGAGGTTTCCCCAGCTAGTGGTGTTCATAGAACTCCCCCATCGTTTTGTATTTAAAAAAAAAAGTTTTTAAATGTTTTTTAAAGCTTACTTATTTAATTATTTATTTAAGCAACCTCTACGCCCCTCTACGTGGGACTTGAACTCATAACCCCGAGATCAGGAGTTGCATTCTCTACTGACTGAGCCAGCCAGGCACCCACCACCATTGTGGGGTTTTTTTTTCTTGTTTTTTAAAAGATTTTATTTATTTGACTCAGGGAGAAAGAGAGAGAGCACAAGCAGGGGAGCAGCAGGCAGAGGGAGAAGGAGAAGCAGACCCCCTACTGAGCAAGGAACCCGATTTGGGGCTTGGTCCCAGGACTCTGAGATCATGATCTGAGCCAATGGCAGACGCCCAACCAACTGAGCCACCCAGGGGCCCCACACCATTGTGTTTTAAATCTTTGCCCCCTCTAGATGTGTTTCTCTTTCTATCCCTAACATTATTTATTTTTCCCTTCCCTCTTATTTTTCTTCATCTACATTAATTTGTTTCTTTTATTCATCTTTTTAAAGACCCAGCTTTGAGTTTTGTTGGTGGTGTCTATCACATCTCTGTTTCTACTCTGTTAATGTCTGTTCTTTATGATTTATGGGCCTGTTTTGCTCTGATTTTCTAACTCTTGAATCAGATGCCTGGCTCATCCATTCTTAATTTTCTTTTAGAATATAAGTGTTTTTTTTTTTTTTCAAGTTGGGAGAATATGAGTGTTTAAGTCTGTGGATGTCCCTCAAGGTACCATTTTATCAATATCTACACATTTGGATTTGATATATTCAGTATCGTTTGGCTCTAAGAATTTTCCAATATCCATTCTGATTCCTCCTTAGTTCATAAGTTATTTAAAAGTTTGGTTTTTTTTCCCCAAATGTATTTGGTTCCTAGTACCTTCAGAATCACTATAAAGGGTTAGAACCGTTTGAATGCTGACTGCCTAATCAATCCTGTTGGAATTTGGGGTGTTACTCAGAGTAATCCTCTAGGAAGCACAAGGCCATCCCTGACCAGGCTGAAAAACAGGAAGTTTCCTATAAAGAAACAGAATATTGAACACCCCATAGTATGTATGACCAGAAACATGAAAGCCAGTCTTCACAGTGACACATGATGGAAAGCAAGTGTCCTGTTTTATCATACAGCTGCAGACAACCCCCCCAAGCACCTCTCTACCACTCTGGGACCCTAGGACCACAGTACCATGATCATGTATGTGAGAGTTGGAATATGAATAGGCTTCTGTCACAAATTGCCCCAGATACATGACTTAAATGACATGAGAAGTTATTCCTCTCTCAGGTAAAAGTCTGGGTGGTTGTCTGGGACTGGGACAACAGCTTAACTCTGTAGGGTCCCAGTCCCCTTCTGTCTTCCTGTTCTACCATTCTTAGGATGTGGCTCCCATAAAAAGGAAAGAGAAGAAAGAGAAGTTGGGCTGTAAGAATACAGCGGGATGTCACCTGGGGTACTTGTGCTCACACCGTGTTGGCCAGAACTTAATCACAGGGCCACAACCGAACTGCAGGGGAAAGCTGGGAGATGTAGTCTTTATTCTGAGTAGCCGGAAGCCCAGCCAGATTAGGGAGTTCCATTATTAAAAGGAGAAAGGGGGGTGCCTGCGTGGCTCAGTGGGTTAAAGCCTCTGCCTTCAGCTCAGGTCATGATCCCAGGGTCCTGGGATCGAGCCCCACATCGGGCTCTCTGCTCAGTGGGGAGCCTGCTTCCCCCCCCCCCGCCTACTTGTGATCTGTCAAATAAATAAATAAAATCTTTAAAAAAATAAAAAATAAAAAAATAAAAGGAGAAAGGGAGACTGGATATTTCCAGACAATCCTGAGTGGCCGCTGCACGGTGCTAGCCTGGCCTATGAAAACTCCCAATTCATGTGGCTCCTCTTCCTATTTCAGAATTCTAGAAAATGATGAGTATAATATCGATGCCTACCAAATCCTAGCCATGCATGAGCTTGCAAGAGAAGGAAACATGACCACAGTAAGTTCTTTCAAGACTCAGGAGTTGGGCCTTGGGATAAGCACAGCCTGGGGGAAAGCACTTTGAAAACCCCATCCCCAGCACCTTGGAGCGTGCTCCCTGGATCTCAGCTCCCTCCCTTCTCCCTCACCTACTCCCATAAGGAGGTCAGGGGGTCTGCTCTGGTTTGCTCTTTGGGCTGGCAGTGAGCTTGGCTCTGGTTCTGCCCTGAGCCTGGGCAGGTTCACCTGGAGAAGCCCTGGGCTCCTCATTTGTAAACTGGAGATAATTCCAACCACTTTGTGAGGCTGGTAGAAGGACTAAGTGGGATGACATGTGGGAGAACTTGGAACAGTGCCTGATTTGGGGAAATGCCATTTTTTTAAGGAGTGGACTGGAACTGCTCAGGTATTGGCCAGGTAGAACCTAGCCCCAGATTTGCTCCTAAGGCCGATAGTTTTTCCAAAGAAACCCAGAACAGTCTTGAAGCACAGTCAGACACATCTGGAATTCTTCATGAAAATCTCAATGCCCAGACAGGTTTTTATTTTCAAGAAGAGTTTGTGTTTCCAGCCATAACATTGCCTTTTTGAATAATTGTGTTGCCTCTGTAAAGGGTGGCAAATCAGGAGTCTGTAAGGGTTTCATGATGGGAAGAGGAAGCTTCTGGTTCCTTCTGCACAGTTCTGAGTCTATGGGTTTTGTGGGGCGGGGTGAGAAAGAGAGTACAGTCCATATTTGGGAGGAACCCTCCACAAGGGCCCCAGTGCCATCTCTGGGTAGGAACAGGAGAATGGGGTCTGTCCTCATCTCTGTGCATCTCCAGAGTGCTGGGCAGTCTTCCTGGGGCCTGGCCTGAGGGTTAATCCCAGGGGCGGAGTTAGCATTAATGCCCGTCCTTGACCCCCCACCTCAGCCCCTGGGATTTACCCCTCTACCCAGGCCTGGCTGCTCAGTGCTAACCTTGCTTGTATCTACTGAGCAGAGTAGTCCTGCCCCATCCTGGGTTTCCCTTCTGGCACTTCTTTGCAAAACTCCCCACTCCTGGGTAGGGAAAGGACAGAGGCATCCACTGGAAAGAACATAGGCTTTGGAGTCAGTCACCCAGTTGGCTGAGTGACCTCTGGCAAATTCCCTAATTTTTCTGACCCTTTGTCGGCTAGACTGGAAAGTTCAGAGTTCTAGTGACTTATAGGGTTGTGGGGAGGATTCATTGGAGTGATGGAGCGGCACAGTGTGGTGACTCCCGTCAACATGAAGTACAGGCTCAGGGCCAGGGACCCACCACGACCATCTGCTCTTAGAACCAGCCCAGCTGGCCGGTGCGCTGCTGGCCTGGGGGGCTGCCCTGTGAACACCATGACAGCTGGCTCCGGCTCTGGCTGGGGGGATCTGAAAGGGCAACTTCTCTTTACAGATCCATGAACAAAGGGGCGGTGCCAGCTCTTGGCTGAGCAAGGCTCCCGAAAGATCCACCTACTGGTTTTAAAATAATACCGGGCTCACCCTAGCCCAGTTGAATCCAAATCTCTGGGGCTAGCTCCTGGGTGTGGGAATTTCTCCCGGGGGATGCTAACATGCAGCAGGGTTGAAACCTCTGCCCAACTCCCATTTTCTACTTTACCTTTGACCTTGTCTGTTTTGTCTCCCACAGGCTACCAACCATGTTAGAAATCTGATTAAGGCACTGGAGACAAGGGAGCCTCAAAATCCAAGCCTCCATCTTAAAAAAATTCTTGTGATTAGCAGGCTGGTAAGAAGGTTCTTTCCAGGTTTTTTGAATCATGCTTCTTGCTGTGTTCCTAAGGGGAGCACTATGGCCCCCTAGAAGCTGCCTGGGTACCCTGTCCTCCCCTCTCTGGCTCAAACTTGGCCTCTCGGGCTGGTGCCCATGCCCAGTGGCCCCTAACTGCCTCTGGCCAATAGCTGTATCATGTAGGCTCTGTATCTGGGCCCAGATGCTGCTCAGAGACACTGTAAAGATGAGCGCAATGGCATCTGGAAGTGTTTTTAGAGTAGGAGGTCCCTTATTTGGGGGAAAAGGGAAGTATTATGGCTGTTACATCATAGCAGTGCCATGCCCAGCCGTGGCTCGGGGTCCCAGGACACCGACTGCCATATTCTCTCTATGAAAGTGTCCTGGAAAGGCAGGCCTGCCTGTACCTCTCTGACCAGACCAGGTGCAAAAAGACCAGATTGTCAAACAATTTGCCTCTGTCAGACCCTTCAGCCCAAAGCAAGATTAACTAGAAGGAATCACTGTAAAACCTGAGGTAGCTCCGGGGCCTTGGGAACCAGAACCGTGGGGTCCAGTGCCACAGGGACACCATCTTTCCCACAGAGACACAGATCTGTGTCTGATGCTCTCTGCTCGTTCTGCACATCTGGCAGGGAACATGGCTGCTCACAGCCTTCTGGGCAACTTCCCATATCAACAGGACACAAGAGCTTCTGTCACACAGCTTCAATTTTTGAAAAACTTCTTGGTGACTTGGACCAATTACTGTGGCGAGACAGGAGATGGGCCCTTTGGAGGGCCCTATGCCTGGAGGCAAGTTCCACAGATGTGGCCAGGGTGAGGTTCTTTGGAAGCTGGACAACAGCACAGACCCAACTGTGGGTTGCGTGCAGCCCTTGGGCTCTCCTGAGCAGCTGAAATGTGCCCGTCTCTGATGTGGCCTTGTTCAGACAGGCTGCACTGACTGGTTTCCCTAATCCTGTGTGTTCATTCCTCACAGTGTGGGAAACACCAGGCGATTCTCCGGCTGGTGTGCCCCTTCATGGAGCGTGCATTCGTGGCCACACCCTCCTATGCCCATGTGGCCACAGAGCTGGGCTACCTCTTCATCCTGCACGACCAAGTGAGGGAGGCGTCTCAGTGGTACTCGGAGGCCATGAAACTGGACGGGAGCAGTGTGGCTGCCTTAACAGGTGTCTGCAGGCTGGGCAGGGTGGGGGTGTGGGGGCACAGAAGGCAGGGAGCAGGATAGCATCCATGGATCCAGAAGAGAGATGCTGGGAAGCATTCTCTCTAGAGGGTGTGTGAGAGTTTGGGGGTACATTGTATGACAGGGGCGCCTTTCTGTGACATATAAGCAGATAAACCCATACTCCAACAGAGGCAGAGATGAGCCACCTTAAGAAATAAGTAGACCCATTTTTTCCCCCAGAGAGCTCCAGGAAATACAGAAATTAAACAAAAACAAAAACAAAAAAGCAAAGCAAGCTCAGAGTCATTGGAGGCTGAGAGCAAAATAGGCCGTGGGGCAGTGGGGCAGTCAGTGAGATAATGAGATAACTTACTGGAGGATTGGTAACAACTGGAGAATACAATCGAGGAGGCCCTTAAGGGGGGTGGGGCGGGGCGGGAGGTAGTGGGTGGGAGCCTCTCATGCTTCCTACCACCATCAGAGACATGAAGGACAAAAAGACTTGCTGCTCCACACAAAGGCCACATCCCCTGACATTCCTCTACTTGGCTCAGTCCTTCCCCACTTCCTCATTCAGGGGAGACCCCCAGCCAGTCAGCCGGGAGGGAAGTCCACCGGCCTGAATGGCCATCCCACACACCAGCCTGGGCCAGTCCTGTCAGGTGTGTGCTGGAGTCACCCTCTCATCTGACCTGTCTCGGAAAATCAGTGACCTTAACAATTTGGGAAATGTGCCTTAGCTGCTAATACTCATCAGTCTAGTCCATTTGTAAATCTGCTAATGCTTTGAAAGAGGGGCCCGGTGGGACATGCAAAGCCACAGCCCTCTGAGGAGCAAAGTTAAAGCCAGTTATAGAAAAAGACTTCCCCCTCCCCCACTAAAACACCTCTCGTGTTTGCAGACGCTTTACGTACAGTCAGTACATAAAGAACAGGCTACTGTGAAAAAGGGTATAGGGAACAAAAAAACTACCGAAAATTAAAAATACAATTGCAAAGTACGAATTCCATAGATGAGCCAAATGGTGGGATGGATAGTCGTGAAAACCAGGATGGTATAATTAAGAGGACAATCAGGAATAAATACACTGAGATGACCAGAAAGTACCTATAAAGGAGGAATAGTAAGAAGATGGATTTGGCTTCCCAAATCTAAAACACATTAGGAAACAATAGTACTTAAGTCAGCTTGGGGCCAATGCTGGAATAAAGAGGCAGATAAATGGCACAGAAACAGCTCCTGAGAATAAGGTGACATTTCAAACCAACACAGTGGTACGTTTCAATAAACCATGGCTGAACGTCTGGCTATCCAGCATGAAAAAAGTAAAGGGAAGTCCCTATCTCACTCCATACTCAAAAATAAACTCCAGTTTATTGGCTCAGTTGGTAGAGCACGTGACTCTGGATCTTGAGTTTGTGACTTCGAGCCCCACATTGCAGGGAGGGGGTGTAGAGATTAGTTAAAAAAATAAGCTCTAGAAGAATTAGATATTTAAACCTAAAAATTCAGTTGGACTTGTCTTCCCTGGGGGAAACTCAGAGGCTGGAAGGGGAAATATGTAAGTTTGAAACTAATGGATGGCAAAAGACACTGAAGAGGTAAATGGCAAACTAATGGAAAATGTTGGCTACAAAGGATTAATCATCTTAATATATAAAAAGAAAACAACCCTAAAAGAAAAACAGGCTAAAGCTACTATGTACAGGAGATTCATACTAGAAAAGAAAAAGGCCATTCAATATACAAAATGTATATATATTCATTTTCCCTGACAATTAAAAAAAAGTGAATTCAAATGAATTACTGTTCACTCTTTAGACTGGCAAAAAGTAAAGCATATCTGCGAGGTTGTGCAGAAAAGCCACTTTCAAGTTCTTGGCTGTAATATTAATTGAAATGTCTCTGGAGGACAAGTTGGCCTTACCTGTTAACATTTTAGATATACATGCCCTTTGACCCATCAGCTCAACTTCAGGAATTAGAACATGGGAATATGTTTACCGAGACCCTGCAACATTTAAGCATCAAAAGCAAACTAAATATGAGATGAGGTGTCCTTCAATGGGACCACAGTCAAATGCAGTATGGAATCCACAGTGGCATGTTATGTTGCCATTGGAGAGAACGGGGTGGATGTGTGTATCACTAGACGCGAACACATTGCTAACAAATGAATGCTTAAAAAGGTGGTCGAAGGACTATACTGCAAATTGTTAAGGGCGGTTACCTGTGGGGAGAGATCTGCTTCAAGCTAGCGTGTGAACTAGGGATGTTTTTCCATATTGCTTCGTGCTTTGACTTCTCTATCCTGAGCATGCATCACCCTTCCTTCCGCTGTCGCATCTGTGCTCCTTGGCCTGCTGGCCTGCTGGCTCCGTGTCAGTGCCGGCTGCTCATGCTCATTCTATCTGGGCCCAGGGCTCATCTGGTGCCAGATCCTGGACGGCCACCTGGAAGAGGCAGAGCACCAGCTGGAATTCCTGAAGGAGGTGCAGCAGTCCCTCGGGAAGTCTGAGGTCAGAGCCCTCTGAGGGGCATGGGTTCCTCCAGCATTGGGTCGCCCCCACCCCAGTTTCCGGTATCCAGCAGCCCACGTAGCCTGGACTCCTGCTTCACCCTCGCCTACCCACTGCCCAGCTGGCGTTGGTGCCAAGAGCTGCACCTGCCTCCCACAGGTGCTGCTTTTCCTCCAGGCCCTCCTGGCATCCCGCAAGCACAAGGGAGAGCAGGAAGCCACTGCCCTCCTGAAGGAGGTCGCAGAGCTGCACTTCTCCAGCATGCAGGGCCTCCCCCTAGGCTCTGAGTACTTCGAAAGACTGGACCCCCACTTCCTGGTCTGCCTCGCCAAGGAGTACTTGTTCTTCTGCCCCAAGCAGGTTAGTGGAAGTTCTGTCCTCAGGTGGGGGTCAGGAGCGTCGGTCTGGACAGAGGCAGGTACATCACCTGGCTGGCTACCAGGCAGTGCTGTGCTCTTGTGTCTGGGGAACCCCTTCTCCTCTGAACAAACTTGAACCTGTAGCATGTGAACCACTTGAGAGTTGTTCCAGTGCAGATTCTGATGGGTGCGGGGTGGGGGAAGGGAGCCTCCCAAGTGATGCCCGTGCTGTGATTGTCCACAGACCACCCAGGGAGGGGCAGGGCACACTGGACTGTGCCCCTGCCTTTATCCTAGAGAATAACCAGGCTCCTTTTCTCCTGTAGTCTTCTAAGAAATCTATTAGCCTTTACTTGTTTGTCTGCTTTACTCGTTTGCCTGTTTGCCCAGCTAGCCAGGATTCCCTGGGGGCAAGGATTGTGTCGCCCCCAGTGCCATGTCATGAGTTGTCCCACAAATATTTATCAAGTGCACTAGCCACGTGCCAGATACCAGGTTAGGTACTGGGGACATGATAGCGAGCAAAACCAAGTCCCCCTTCTCCGGAGCTTTTGCTCTAGTCCTCGATGGCACAGAGTGCCATAATAAACACCCGGAATGAGGTAAACTTCCTTCACTGAAACAGTGCTGAGAGCTTTAGGTGTCTGTCTGGCACGGGGCCAACTGTACAGCCAGGCCCCGTGTTCCTCCAGCCCCGGTCACCAGGCCAGATTGTGTCTCCGCTTCTTAAACAAGTCGCCATGATCCTGGCTCCTGTAATCAAAGCAGCACCAGCGCTGATCGACCCCCTGTATGTGATGGCTCAGGTCAAGTACCTCTCAGGTGAGTCCCCCCAACACACACACGTATACACACACACATACACACACACATACACACACACACCCTCACCAGGCCTGCCCACATCTCTGGCCTCCAGTCCCGTGAAACCAGCCTGATTTCCCTGGCCAGCAGGGGTCTCTCCCACGTGGCCTGCTGTTGGTGGCTTCTGAGCTCTGGGCCAGGTTGTCGTCCCTGAACTTCCATTACACACTGGGGCCGCGCTCATGCTGGGCTCCGTGAGTCCTCCAAATAGGTAGAAATTCCCTCACGAGATTCGCATTCTAGTAAGGGGAAATCGACAATAAACAGAATAACGAAGCACACTGCTTGTTTGTTAGGATGTAGTAATGCCGTAGGGAAAACTAAAGCAGAGGAGGGGAGGTGGCAGCAGGATGGCAGGTGTTTTAAAGGTGGTCCCGAGGGCCTCATGGGGAGGTGAGACCCTGTAGTCTTAGGACTTTCAGAGTCTCAGGGTAGCCAGAGCAATATCCTTCCAGCATCTTCCATCTCAAGGCCCAGGCCCTGGAGAGAAAGAGGGAAAAGGGAGAAGCCTTCATGGGAGACTTATGGTCCTCTCTGGGTAGCCCCCCCAGCAGCCTTGTAACCCTGTCTTCCTGGAGGACAAGCTGATCTCTGGTGTGCTGGGGGCTTCTGAAGAATCCCCAATGCCAGGGCATGGATCAGCCTCCGGCACTGCCTTGCATGGGCCATGCTGCACAGAGAGCTCCCCTGCTTCCTCCTCCGGCTTCCCAGTGTTTCTCTGGGTTCCAGGCTTACCCACAGTTTCAGGGGCTCCTGGGTACGAGGCAAGGGCAGGAGCACGCCCCCAGGGATGCTGGCAGCTGCCAACAAGCAGGTTTGGGGCCAAAGCCAGGTCTCCAGCGGCTTCAGTTGCCATAGTGACACTTTCACACTTCTGCAGCACATAAAGAAGGAGCAGGGAGTCAGGATCCACACGCAGGTGCTCCCCACCTGCCAGGTTATGGACCCTGAGCAGGAGCTGTTGAGAGATGCAGAGGAATGCAGGACCCTCCTACCAGCTCAGTGTACCCCACTATTGGGCTTCCCACTGGGGCTGCAGGGAGACCCCATAGCCCCTAGTGCTAGATCAGAGCTCAGCCTCAGGAACCAATTGCCCTGGAGTTCAATGCTGACTTGGTTCCTTGTAAGCTGAGTGACTTAATCATCACTGGGTCCCAGTCCTACAGCTAAAAGACATGGATAACACTGCCAATCTCACAGGGCTGGGCAAATATGAAACCCCCTTTCTAAAGATGCTTTGCATGTGTTGGCCATAGAGCAGGTGCTTTGTAAGTCGGGGCTGCTATAGTTACCATTATTGTTAGGTTTCACTCTGCTCTGAGGTATGGGAATCAAGACTTAAGTGTTCCCCAGAGCTTCCACACAGAGCAGTGACATGACTTAGCGATCTCCCTGAGGGCTGCAGAGAGAAAGGAGGGGGTCACACCATGGTTCAAGTTTCCTGGCTTTTGTCTGGGTCAAAACACAAACCATAGTTCTGATTTTAAGACGAGAGTTCCGAGTGAAACAGGACAGACCCGGGTCAAATGGCCAACTTGGGTATTTCCGGGTAACGGGACTTAGAAACTTCATTCTGCCTTTACATCCTGGGCCCTCGGAGTCCACTGGGTGCCCTGGATGTAGAGGTCTGTTTCTCATTTCTAGGAGAGTTAGAGAATGCCCAGAGCACCCTGCAGCGCTGCCTGGAGCTGGACCCTACCTCCGTGGATGCCCACCTCCTCATGTCCCACATCTACCTGGCACAGGGCAATTTCGCCATGTGTTCCCACTGCTTAGAGCTAGGCGTCAGCCACAACTTCCAGGTGGGGTCCTCTGTGCCCAGCTGCCCGCTCAGCACCCCTCAGCCCACCCAGCTGCAGGCCCCTACTTGCCCTGGGAGGGTAGCCGCAGGCACTCCCTACAGCCTACAGACCCTTCTGCTGGCCAAAGGCAGGGACAGGCTCAGTGGGCTTCTGGAGCTTTCTCCAGGCTGTGTACTGTGAGATGTAGCAGCAGCAGCAGCGCACCGGAGCCCTGTGCTCCTCTCTGCTCCTCTAGGTCCGAGACCATCCCCTCTACCACTATATCAAGGCCAGGGCCCTCAACAAGTCTGGGGACTATCCAGAAGCCATAAAGACCCTGAAAATGATCATAAAATTGCCAACTCGGAAGACAGAAGAAGGCAAGAAGTTCCGCGGGCCCTCCGTACAGCCCAGCGAGCGGGTGTCCATCTTACTGGAACTGGCAGATGCCCTCCGGATGAATGGGGAGCTGGTAAGAAATGCCATGCTCTCTTCCCTTGGGACTGAGGCCTTTGGAGGTCATCAACCCAGGCTCTCTGATTCTGGCTGGTGGTTATTTGTGCTATTATGTGAGCCTTTATTCATTTGGGAGCACATCATACCCCTGCCTAAAGGCTTCTGTGGCTCCCACTGCCCTCAAGGTAAAGCCCAAACCCTATTGAGTCCTGCCCGATCCATCCCCTGCCTACCACTGTCCCCGTGAGGACATGCAGGCAGAGCAGAGAGGCCCATGAGGACAGCTGCAGGTAGCTATGCAGAGGGGACCAGGTAGAGCACCCATGGATACCATCATCACACCACAACCTTTATGAAGTCTGTCCCCTTGGAGTTTAGTGGTATACAACATGGTCAACTGTATGAGGCAGCCCTCGGGCCTTGAGGGGCTGGCTAGGCAAAGGCAGGGAGCACCTGAGCATCCTGTGCAGATATAAAGGAGCAGCAGAGAACACAGAGATGGGTGATGGGAGCAGGGAAGCTGCCTCCACATGCTCCCTTGGCCCCGCTGACCTCACTCACCTGCCCACTCTCCAGAAACGGGTTTGTCGGCAGAGCTTCAAGACCATTTCTGCGATCCCCCAGTACTGGGGCATCTGGCCTCCTGTGATGACCCTGCCATTGAGAAGGAAAAGCCCATGAGGCCCTTTCTCCTTAAAGTTAAAAATTGCCTTTGGAGTAAAGATGGGGATGCAGAAGGTTGTTTGTGCTTCCCTCCTTTAAATCTGCCAAAGGGATACAAGAATTGCAAGTGGAGAAAGAATCTCCATCTATAATGAAATTAGGGGAGTGCCACATCCCGAAAAAGTTGATTCAGCTGGTCATTGATTTGGCTAGAGACTGAGAGCCAGCTATATGTCAGGTGCCATGTGGGAGCTGGGGATAGAAGAGAGCAGCCAGCAAAGGCCCCGTCATTTCAGAACTTTACACCCATGGGGGAGAGAGAAAGAAGGGTGCCTGAGGTCCCTGCATTTGCTTGAAACTTTCTGAACCAGAGATGTGGTCAGCCAGGAAAAGCAGGGGCATTCCGCTTTTGGAAGGGGAGGACCACAAGACAAGAACTCTCTGCTAAAATGCCTCCTTCCTTCTCTCTGTCCAGACTCCTTTCTAGGAGACATGGGCCAGAGGAAAGTAAGGAGGGAAATGACCAGAAAATCAGTTCTGCCACTTGCTTTGCTAGGATCTGTAGACTGAGGCCTTCCTGTGAGCCAGGGGTTCCATCCTGACCCTAGCTTCTCACAGAGACTACCCCACAAGGGAGGACCCACAGGAAGCTCAAAGGAAATGGGCTTCTAGGGCAGTTGTGCTAGGCCCTCTCCCTCTCCAGCCTTGTTAATAAGAAAAGGGAATGAGAATGACATTTGAGAATGAGCAGTGATCAGAAGGGGTCCAACATGGTGGTTATAGGGAAGGAAGGAGGCAAGCAAGGGAGGAAAAAAAAAGAGGAGGGAAGAAGGGAGGAAAAGTAAGAAGGAAGGAAGGAAAGGATGGGAGGGAATGAAGGAAGGCAGGAAGGAGAGAAGGACAGAAGGGAGGAAAGAGGAGAGAGGAAACAAAATCATAAGCCAAAGACAAGTGAGGGCTACACTTTGGGAGAAAGTATACAAAATAGAAGAAATATTTTAAAAAAAATTGTGGACTCAATGAAAATAAAAAGAACATGGACTCTTGTAAAAACCAGCTCAAAGCAGAGCAGCAGAGATCCACAAAGGGGTTCAGCTAGCCAAGCTACAGGAAGCAGTAATCTCATTAGTCCCCCGAAAAAAATAGAAAATGGCTGAACCCTTGCTGAGGCTCTCTGATGGGAGAAAGGGTTGAGAAAATCACTGAAGTGATCTGAGAGGATGACAGATAAGAAAGAAAGAGGCAGATAGCCAGCCAATCCAAAATCACTGTTTTTGCAGAAGGGAGATGAAATGGAACAGGGGACACATCAGAGAGGTATTGGGAGAATGATTCCTTTAGGAGAGACATGAATCAGTGACCCAGAAAGGCACTCTGTGCTGGAGAAATAGCAGTAAAATATTAAGACCAAGAAATATCCTAATAGTAATGCCTTAATGAAGTTACGAGAATCAAGGATTCACAATGTCATTGAAGGTTCTGACAATCATCTGGGAAGGCAGCTGTGAGAAAAAAAAAAATCAACTTGGCCTCAGACTTTTCCTCAACTATACTAAATTCAGGGAGATAACAGAACAATACTTATAAAATGTTGAAGGGGTTGGGATGTCCCCCAGGATGTCTTTCATATGTGAAAGCAATAAAGGATTCTCTAAAAAATTGAATAACTCCAGAATTATGGTGTTAATTAAAACTTTTTGAAAAACCCACTTGTCGATATAATGCAAACAACCAAAACACAAAATAAATGAAGTTTTTACAAGTGGGAAAAATCTGAACTGTAAAAGGACGCATAGAACTTATCTAAATAAATCTAAATATAATTACATTGAAATAATTACAGTCATTTTGACTCAAAGCTAGCATAATAGCTAAATTCTTGAAATAAAAGTTATTAAAGTCAAAATAACAATAGTATCCCATAAAAAATTCAGGGAGGAGGATATGAAGGGAAGGTGGGGTTACTATATGCAATTTTTTTTCATCTTTATAGATTGTGAAACAAAAAGTTTTCACAAAATGTTTCTTGATAGAAAGATAACTCTTGGTAGAATTTAAAAGAGAAGGTTCACACCACATTTTTCAAGAGTTATGAAGAAAGGAAAACAGAACCTCACATTAGGCAGAAATGAAGCTGAACATGGCAGCATATAAAAATGAATACAACAAAAAAATGAAAACAAAACAAGTTGACAGAAAACCTAAGAATGTATCTGTGATAATAAAATTATAAATGAAATAAATGTGCCTATTATATAAAAGAGGCATTGGAGTGGTTTAAACAAGCAAACAGAAGGAAACTTTACTGTCTATATTTCAAAAACCAAAGGATCCATAATGAAAGTAAAAACATGATACAAACATATGAAGTAAAAAAAAGAAAGCAGAGGTTGAGGAAGAAATGTCTGGTAAGACTGAACCCAAGTCAAAAAGCACCAAAATAGGGAAAGAGAGCACTTTGTTAAGGTAATCAAAGGTATAAATATAATGAAGAAATAATTCAAATAGACTTTTATGTACCAAATACCATAACATTAAAATACTTTGGGGGCATCTAGGTGATTCAGTCCTTTAAGCGTCTGCCTTCAGCTCAGGTCATGATCTCAGGGTCTTGGGATAGAGTCCTATGGGGTGAGGCTGGGGACTCCCTGCTCAGTGGGGAGTCTGCTTCTCCCTCTGCAGCCCTCATTCCTGCGTGAACATGTGCATGTGCATGCGCTCTCTCAAATAAATAAATAAAAATAAAACATACCTTTGACCAAAAGCAGGAAAATACAAGATGTGTCATAGGTCTCCAACAGGAAGGAATTGCCAACAGACAATGAGGTGCTAAGGAACAGGCTGGTTCTTACAGTTGTGGGTTTCTGTACCCTCACGTCTCTGAGCACCTTCCCCCTGCCATCCCCCAGGAACAGTAGTTGTGGACATTGAAGGGCTGTCTCTCCTTTCTGTCACTGGAACCTCTCTGCAGGTGGATGTGAGCCATCCTCCCCTTGGCTTCAGTATAGCTCCCAGCTATCTCTGTTTCCTTTCTCTCCAGGGGTTAGGAGTGGGAAGAGGGATCATTTAAGTCTCCTCCAAGAGGTTTCAAGCGTGGTGGGCGACAGCTAACAGAGCATCTTTTGGGTTCCCATGTCCCAGCATGAGGCCACTAAGGTCATGCAGGACGCCATCAATGAGTTCAGCGGCACACCAGAGGAGATCCGCATCACCATCGCCAACGTGGACTTGGCCCTGAGCAAGGGGAATGTGGACATGGCACTGAGCATGCTGAGGAACATCACGCCCAAGCAGCCCTGCTACACAGAAGCCAAGGAGAAGATGGCCAACATCTACCTGCAGACCCGCAAAGACACCCGCCTCTACATAGGCTGTTACCGGTAAGCCCCAGGAGGCAGCACCCTGACAGCCGCATTTCCAGTGGTGTTTTAGGGAGTGTTTCCTCCAGATTGTGTTTCTTCCACCTGGGTCTCAGTGCACGTCCTCCGAGTGTGTTAGATGCCAAGTACAGAATTTCCTGTGGGTCAGAATTTAAGTGTGCCGAGTCAGTCAGGCCGGCTCATTGCTGAGATCTGAAGACCTGGAACCAAATCTGTCCTGCTTGGCTGCCCTGTATGGCCCCACATTCTGGTGGGAACCACGGGAATGCACTTCTACCCCGGCCCTGTCTCTGCCTGTCCCTGAAGAAATGTCCAGTGACTTGATGTGGCCAATGAGAGGTGCAGGAGGGTGGAGAGCTGGGGTTAGAAGCCCTATATGATTTGACAGTGGGGGCATAAAAGTACCTTCCCAGCCCCTCCCTCAAGCAAAATTCTGCCTAAGCAATCCAGCGGGGAGGCAGTGCTAGGGGGTGGGGATGAGGGAGGAGAAGCCAGGAGCAATGGAGTAATGTGGTCACATGAAGTTTTAGAAAGAGCAGGATAGGGGTGCCTGGGTAGCTCAGTTGTTAAGGGTCTGCCTTTGACTCAGGCCATGATCCTAGGGTCCTGGGATCGAGCCCCACATTGGGCTCCCTACTTGGCGGGAATCCTGCTTCTCCCTCTCCCACTTCCCCTGCTTGTGTTCCCTCTCTCGCTGTGTGTCTCTCTGTCAAATGAGTAAATAAAATCTTTGAAAAAAAAAAAGAAAGAGCAAGATGCCTGCTTATGCAGAGGGTTCTGGGAGGGGGACAGGGGTTGGGAGTGGAGGCCAGAGGAATGGGTGGAAGTTCTGGCATGGTCCAGAAAACAGATGAGGAGAGCCTAGATGAAGGTGGCTAGTGTGCACAGTGGGCTTTCAATGAGTATTGGGTGACGAGTGAATGGATAAATGAATGAATGAATGGATTAGTGGGAAAGAAAAGGAGGGATGGATTCAGAAACGTGAAAGATGCACAGGTCTGAGCTACGTTTTTGTTTGGTTTTGGAGGGAGCTCTGTGAACATCTGCCTGGTCCCCACACCAGCCTGCTATTAGGTGATGCTTTCATGAACATTCAGGAGGTGAGTGAAAGCCTCATGGCCTTGCCACATGGTCCTCTGATCTCATGTCTCCAGTGGGAGAGAAGAGACACAGAGAGAGACCTCTGGATAATTTCCCCACCAGCCTGAGAAGGCCTTGGAGGTTTATGATGAGGCCTATAGAAAGAACCCACACGATGCATCCCTCGTCAGCAGGATTGGGCAAGCCTATGTGAAAACCCACCAGTACACCAAGGTCAGGCTAGGTTGGGGTGGGGAGGTAGGGGTGGGGTTGGGGGAGACAGCCCAGCAGGGATGAGGGAGGAGGATGCATGGGTAGGAGGGTCAGGATGGGAGGGGAGTGGCTGCATTTCCACCCTAGTTCCCTGCTGAGTGGGGTACCAAGGGGAGAATTCAGAAGCCAGCCACCGTTTCTCCCCCCCACCACATACACCTGCCCAGCTTGAGCCCTCTGCAGCTGGGAGGGCCTTTCCATCTCAGGCTTCTGTGTTCTGTGGGATCACATGGTGGTGGCCGCTGAGGGGAACACGGTGTGAGGCACTCAAGGGTAGAACCAAACCCAATGCCAGTATTTCCCATTTACCCTAAGGCAATTAATTATTATGAGGCCGCCCAGAAGATCAGTGGACAGGACTTTCTGTGCTGTGATCTGGCTGAGCTGCTCCTGAAGTTAAAGAAATTCAACAAGGCAGAGAAAGTTCTGAAACAAGCACTGGAACATGACTCTGGTGAGGCCATGTCTGAAAGTCTCTTCCCCAGCATACTGTGCCCCCCACCGCCCACCCCCACTCTCTTCTCCTGCAGAATGATGCAGGGGTCCTGAACCCAGTTCCCTTCCCCCCCATCCCCGGCTTCCCAGGGGCCAGATAACACTGATTTGAATTTCCATTTTGCAGTCAAGGACATCCCATCCATGATGAATGATGTCAAGTGCTTGCTTTTGCTGGCAAAGGTTTATAAGAGTCATAAAAAAGAAGACGTGATGGGAACTTTGAACGAGGTAATTGACGATAGACAACAGACTCAAGCAAGCTCTTTATCTGCCATTTCCTGATGGGAGCTATAAAAGGAAGGCTGGTCTAGAAGGCTCAAGGGCTGGCCCTCAAAAGAGGACCTAGGTTACACCTCAGGCCTCTGCCTTCCATTTATCCCCATACCTGTGCTCTTCATTGATGGTGCCCCAAAGTGCCTGAAGGCCGGCTGGGCCAGGCTGGAGAAGGCAGGGAGGAGAAAGGTGCCCTCAAGGATGCTAGAGGTGATAATACTGGACAACGCCAGGAGCTCCCAGTCACTGAATGCTCTGTGGTGGGTGCTATACTAGGCTTTTTGCTTTCTTATTAATTCTCATGGTAGCCTTTGAGATACAGCACTGGGACATTCCTGCTTCACAGATGAGGCTCCAAGAGGTTAAGAAATATGCTCAGAGTCTCACTGCTAGTAAGTGGTGGAGGTGAGATTGGAACCGGGTCTGACCTGATCCAAACAAAGGTCTTTCCCCACCCAGCTGCCTGGATGGGACACTTCCTGGCCATTCCTGCCATACCTTCCTCCCTCGTTCCAACAAGGGTGTGGTCTGCCACTTGTTGGGGGAAGGGGTGCATTCTGCAGGTGTAGGAGCAGAGCCCACTCTCTGACCGCTTGAGATGATTTATGCCCTTGTTTCCCACCAGATTCCCACTCCCTTTCGGCCCTTAGAAATCCCAAAGCTTGACCCTGGTGTCTTCAATCCGTCTTCTTCCGATGCTCCCCGGTTACTCACTTGATCATTTTATGTCGTGGGTATTTGTAAAGGCTGCCTCAGAGTCCCCGCAGGGCAGTATTCAGAGCAAACGCATCTATCAAAACCCAGCCCGCTCTGAGCACCTGCTCTGGGCTTGTGCAAGCACAGATTAGACAAGGAGGCAGCAGGGTGTGATGGAAACAGGTAAACAAGGACAGTACACTAAAGTGTTTTGTTTGGGCGCCTTTGCTTCTCCTCCTGCCCCCAAGGCAGAGCCAGTTTGCCTCCCGAGTACTCAGCCAGTGGCCTTGCCTGTCCAGAGTGACCCAGATCTGCTCAAGGGCACTTGAGATGCCCTTTCTGATAATATGCTGACACAGAAACCAGAGCATGGAGACTGGTTGTGAATTGGCCTGAGATCCAGCACATGAGGCTCCGAGTCTCTGATCCTGACTTTACTGGTCTCCCCAGGCCATGGACCTCCAGTCTCGGATACTGAAGCGTGTTCCACTGGAGCAACCAGAAATGATCCCCTCCCAGAAGCAACTGGCAGCCTCCATCTGTGTCCAGTTTGGGGAGCACTACCTGGCAGAGAAGGAGTTTGCCAAGGCAGTGCGTTCTTATAAGGATGCCCTCTTCTACTCGCCTGTTGACAATAAGGTGGGGTCCTCAAAGCCAGAGCGTGCCCCTTCTCTTGGGCCATGATGCCTTGCAGAGTTTCCTGCCTAGGGGCAGAGGCCATGTCCTTTCCTGTGCCTCCCTGAGGACCTGAGGTATAAGGGCCCTGAGACCCATGGTGTGGGGAGCCTGCTCTAGCTGACCCTGGGGCTCTCGAACTAAGTCTGGGAAGCCTCACTTTGGACAGCCACTTGTGGGAGGTGGAGTGGGAAAGACGCTGCCAAAAGTCATGTTAGTCTGGCATTTCTGGGTCCCCCTTGGAGGTGGTGACACAGTGAGAGCTGTGGCTGCCTGGGGTCTTGGGGCACAAACTCAGACAAAGCTTCCAAGGAGGTTCAGGGTCATGAGGGTGGTGTGGCTCTCCAGAGACAATGGTGGGTGGAGTCCATACTAGGAGAACGGAGAAAAAGCTCAGTGGCCCAGCCATTCCTTCATTTAACAATCATTTGGGGCATCTCGGTAGCTCAGTTAAGCATCTGCCTTTGGCTCAGGTTGTGATCATAGGGTCCTGGGACTGAGTCCCACAGGTTCTCTGCTCAGTGGGAGACTGCTTCTCCCTCTCCCTCTGCCTGTTGCTCTGCCTGCTTGTGCTCTCTCTCTCTCTCTCTCTTTCTGTCAAATAAATAAATAAAATATTTAAAAACAACAATAAAACATGCACTCGTTTAACAGATGTCTCAAATGTGCCAGGCACAGTGCTAGGCCTGGGCGACAGTGGGCCCAGACCTATCCCTGCCCAAAGACTGCCTCAGGGAGGGGGCACAGATGAGCACATTTGTAGTTCCAATGCTACATGATATGTGCCTGCATGTGGGTCTGCACACCGTGGGAACTCAGAAAATAGGCACCTGCTCCGCGTCTGGGGCATGGAAGGCAGCCCAGAGATGGTTAGGTCAGAGCCAGAGCTGGAGGAGAGGTACAAGTTATACTTAGTTAGTAAAACACATGGTATGATTGGAGAACTGGTAAAGGAAAAGAGGAGGGCCAGAGACTTAACAGAAATGGGTGATGAAAGCGGGAGACATTAGCCTCGGAGTTTCCCCTTGATGCTCGCTAGTCCGTTTTGTCTGGTCTTGTCGCAGGTGGTGCTGGAGCTGGCGCGGCTCTTCCTGCTGCAGGGACAGCTGGACCTGTGTGAGCAGCACTGTGCCATCCTCCTACAGTCTGAGGAGCACCACGAGACTGCCTCTGTGGTAGGAGCCCCCAACCCCGAACCTTCTGCCTGCCCTCCCCAGGCTCCCTGTGACTCTGAGGGCTGCTTCCCAGCCCTAGGACTCAGTCGCCTGGCTGCCCCACCCACAAGGGCTGCCAGGCAGAGGGGATGGAGTGCGGGGCCGCTGCCCTTCACTGGGTAGGGGTGGCAGCAGGGACCACATCAGTCTCTTGGGCCCATCCAGGGGGAGGTGGGAGGGGGAACCACACCTATAGTTGGTGAAGGCAAGGGTGGGACAGTTTCCTGGGTTTAAAGAAGAGTGTGGGAAAAACCCTCTCCTGCCTAACTTCTCTCCTCCCTAACACCCAGACAGCCGCCAGGGCCACCCCGTAGAAGAGGGGATCCCTCATTCCACCTCCGCTGCCTGCAGCTGGCAGTTCTCAGACACAGGCAGAGAGGCTAGTTCTGTTGCAGCTTGTCAAAGGGTCCTTCTGGTGTCCAGCCCTGGGCTTCTCTTCCCACTAACATCCTCTCCCCCCAACCCCAAGCAGGCCTTCCTTCTGGGCTCCTCCTGTGGCCGCTTCTCCTAGTGCCTAGAGAAGCTTCTCCTGGAAGTGCTTTCTCACCTGCCCTGCTTATCCCCACCCCTGGCCAGCCTACCCACCAGGGAATTCCGGGGCACTGTGTGTTTTCTGACAGATGATGGCTGACCTGATGTTTAGAAAACAGAAATATGAAGCTGCTGTCGATCTCTACCACCAAGTCCTGGAGAAAGCACCAGGTAACTGCCTGCATTAAGACTGACTACATCAGTTCCCACCCTGCAAAGACTGTTCTCCCTTGAGAAGGGTGGACCCCCTCCCCTCCTTCCTGACTGGGCAGAGGAAGCCCCTTCCTCTCTGATTGTTCCCAGAGCGGCAGGAAACTGATAAAGCCCCGATGGAACATGCGGGCCCTTCCCCAGTCCAAGGGGCCAGTTCCTGGTCTCCTGGTCTCAGGCAGGGCAGCGTTTGGCACCGGACCCAGGAGAGCCTGTCTGTCCCCATATCACAGCCATTGGACTGGATGTGGCTCCCTTCTGAGGTCACAGCACCTGGAGGTGGCTCGAAATTCTCCCTTATGGGTAGCTGCATTTCTCCCTCATTGCAGTATCAAACCACACTCTTGCTGGGGCAGAGACCATACCTGACGCTCATACTAGAGCCCCTGGAGGCCCAAAACCAGCTCTGCGCAGAGGCCCAGCCGAGTGCAGCTGTTAGGAGGGTGGATCCCGGAGCCAGATGGTCTATGTCTAACTCAAGCTCTTCCACTCACCAGCTGTGTAACCTTTGGCAGATAACTTCTTTGTGTCTCAGTTTCCTCATCTGTGAAATGGGAAACATTGGTACCCCGTTGTGTAGTTAATATATAGGCAAAGCGCTTCATGCCAGGTACTGTACAAGTATTAGCTATTATTACTACTTTTCAGTATGATGATGATAATTCTCTCAACTGTGGAGACCAGTGGAGACATTGAGGCTGTTGGGATGTCCCGGCTCAGCCCAAACCAGGCCGTGTCTGCTGGTCCCCTCCCTTCTCCATGCCATCTGGCAGCACCCAAATGGATGTAGCTAGTGGTTAGCATAGCCTGGAGATTTCTGCTTTCTTATTTTAGACAATTTTTTGGTACTGAATAAACTAATTGATCTGCTATGGAGAAGTGGCAGACTTGAAGATGCCCCTGCCTTCTTTGAATTGGCCAAGAAGATGTCCAGCCGCATTCCTTTGGAGCCAGGCTTCAACTACTGCAGAGGCATCTACTGCTGGTGAGTGGAGGGGGGAGAGGGAGGGTCCGCATGATCTCCAGCAGGGGTTCTTCCTAGCAGACACGCTGGGCTTCTGCAGAAATTCAGCGAGTAGATCAGGGTGCGGGGAGAGCAGCGATCCAGCCCCACTGTGCACAGACTCAGGGAGTGGTCCCTGAAAGTCTCTGCCCTCCCTGGCCCTCAGTTTCCCTCTCTGGTTCTTGGGTATTTCTCTTCTCTGCTACAGGCACATAGGGCAACCCAACGAAGCACTGAAGTTCCTAAACAAAGCGCGCAAGGACAGCTCGTGGGGCCAGAGTGCCACCTACTACATGGTGCAGATCTGTCTGAACCCAGACAACGAGATCGTGGGCGGAGAGGCTTTTGAGAACCTGGTGGCTGAGAGCAAGTAGGGGCCCGGCTGACCTGGGGTGGGGTGGGGGGGCGCAGAGGCAGGACCCTGGGAAAGGAGGGGAGAGCCTCGGGAGCGGCGGGGTCCAGGCCAAGTGAGGGCCCCACGGGTTCCGGGTTCCGGTGTCCAATGGCTGCAGCCCCACCGACAGGAAGGGCTCAGAACAGCATGGTGTGCGCACCGCGGAGAAGCTGCTGCGTGAGTTCTACCCGCACTCGGCCCAGTGCCAGACCCAGCTGCGACTGCTGCAGAGTCTCTGCCTGCTGGCCACCAGGGAGAAGGCCAACGTGGAGGTGGCGCTGGGCACCTTCATCGAGATGGCGCAGGCCGAGGTGGGCCTGCGCGCGGGACGGGCGGCGCGTGGGGCGAGGCTGGGGTCCCAGCGCACTCACGACGGCTTACCGCACCCCCCCCAACCCCCCGTGCGCAGAAGGAGAGCGTCCCCGCCCTGTTGGCCATGGCACAGGCCTACGCGCTGCTGAAGCAGGTCCCCAAGGCGCGCACGCAGCTGAAGCGTCTGGCCAAGGCCCCGTGGGCGCTGGAGGAGGCCGAGAACCTGGAGAAGAGCTGGCTCCTACTGGCAGACCTGTACTGCCAGGGCGGCAAGTTCGACCTGGCGTCGGAGCTGCTGCGGCGCTGCGTGCAGTACAACAAGGCAGGGGGCACGCCGCCGTGGGGGGAGCGGGGACGCCAGGTGGAGGCAGGGCGCAAGGGGCGTGTGGGCGTCCGGGGCAGAAGAGGTGCGGGTTAGAACCTGATGAGAAGAGGCTGGACAAAAGAGGGCACATGCACGCTAAGCAAGATGGGAACGGAACCGGGGGCGGGATCGGGGAGGGGGACCGGGCTAGGTAAGAGGAGGTGGGCAGGGTCGGGCAGCCAAGAGAGATGGGAAGGGCTCGAGGGGTGTGGGGGTCAGAGTGGGAGGACTGTGGGGAAAGGGGTCATGCCAACGTCGGGGTAGCCTAGAGGGGGCACACGGTCGACCCCTCGCAAAGGTGGGAGATGCTACTGGAGACCCTGAGAGGTTAGAGTTAATGCAGCTCACCACCATCCTTTGCCCCCCCCCCACCAAACCCGCCCTCCCCCGCGGGTTGTACCCTGTGCTGGGACCGGGTGTGGCTTTCCCTACAGTCCTGCTGCAAGGCCTATGAGTACATGGGCTTCATCATGGAGAAGGAGCAGTCCTACAAAGATGCAGCCACCAACTACGAGCTGGCCTGGAAGTACAGTCATCAGGCCAACCCTGGCATTGGTAAAGCAATCAGCCAGGGTGCATGTGGGTGACCTGGGCGCTGGGCAGGAGGACCGAAACCCTGGCTCTTGGGTGGTTAGGGTGCCACTGTCTGTGTTCCCTGTGCTCCTGGACAGGCTTCAAACTCGCTTTCAACTACTTGAAGGACAAGAGATTTGTGGAGGCCATTGAAGTCTGCCACCATGTAAGCCATTGTAAGCCCCTGGGATACATTAGGGGTGGGGTGGGGGGCTGGTGCTGTGGCCTGGTCCTGGTACAGAGACTGACACCCCTGCCTGATGCTGCACCCCTTTCTTCCTCTGTCCCAGGTTCTCAGAGAGCATCCTAATTACCCCCAGATCAGAGAAGAAATTTTGGAAAAGGCCCAAGGGTCTCTGAGGCCCTAGCTGTGGTCAGTGGGAGCCAGGGTGGGTGGAAGCCATCAAGCTACAGAAGTTTCTTGGAGGCGTTGGGAAGTGGGGCGGGGGAGAAGAGATTCAGAAAATGACATATTCTTACCCATTTCTCTATTGTGTGTGGTTTATTTGAATCATGCCTCATCTGGTCTAAGGGCATCCCAAAGCTTTGTGTTTTTAAGGCACAAGAGGCACTTTTGCTCTGAGGAGAAGAGAGATCCACCAGCTTAACTTATGCTGGGCTCACTGGGCACCTTCTGTTGGGCTCCATTTTTATTCCAGACTCTGTGAGGGAGCAGAGGGGAACAAAGAGGTGGTTTGGGGAAAAAAAACAAAAACAAAAACAAAACTCCCTACATCTATTTTCATATTATTATGTTAGTTTATAAATGCCTCCCCTCTCCTATCTGGTCTTCAGACCTCCAGAGCTCAAGAAGCGACTCCCCCCAGCATCCTGCCCAGCTGGGGTACAGACAGGACGACCAGCTCAGAAGGTCCCACAGCTGAGGCTGTGTGAGGGAGGCCATCATCCCATAGGCTGTGGAGGCCCTTGGCTCACTCTATCCTTACATTCTGTCTCCTCCCCAGGTCCTCCACTGACCTCTGCTGCTCCTCACTGGTTTGGGACAAACCCGATTACCCATGACTGGTACAGCCCAAGAAAAAAATAGCTCCCCCTTCAGATTTTCTAAAAGACACTGACCAACAGATTTATCCTCCAGAAACCTTTTTCACGCCTCGGAGGACAAAAGCAATGGTCCCTATTTAGAGGAATTATGTTACTTGTAACTGGCAAGAGAGTGGCAGAGTTCACTTTTGCTGCAGCTCCCAACACCTCTCCTCTTGTTTTTCATGATGCCAGTAACAGGCCCAGTTTGGCCTCAGAGGAAGGAACTCTGAACTGGGAGTCAGGACTGTGACCTTCCCGAGAGCTTCTGTTCTGTGGACTTCAGTGTCCCCCTCTGTGGTAGGAAATTAGATGAGATGTGCCTGTCCCCAAACTATGATACAAATCCCTTCCAATGATATGCAGCAAATAGTTTATAGTTTAATAACCATGTGTTTAAAAATCATTGTTACATAATAGAGAAAATAACTAGCATGACAAAGTCATGAATTCATGAGTGCTGTTACTCAGAATGGTTCTAACTTTTAAGCATGTCAATATAATTGATATAAAGCAAAATACTTAGTATGAGTAGAATGCAGCAAAATTTTCAAGAGAAGTTGTCCAGTGATGACAGTTTGGCAACTGGACAGGTAGGGGTCGCGTTTAGAACAGACAGAATTATCCTTGGTGGTGGCTGAGCCTTGTCTTTGCAACACCCTGCTGACCACATGTATGGCCTCTTGATCTGAGTCAGTGATCTGGAACGCTTTCCCCACGTTACTACCATTCTTCCTATGGGAAACCAGTCCCCTTTACTAGCATCTGCTTTACAATCTGGTTTCTTGGGGCGGGTTGTTGAGAGACAGGTTTGTCTGTATGGAGAATGATGCTATAAAGGATTGTACATTAATCACATTTTTATTACTGTAAAACCTAAATGGTCTTCATTTATCTTTAAAAAAAAAAAAAAAAAAAAAAAGGTCAGGAAGTGATCTTGTTGCCCTAGACGGGGAGAGGGTGGGTTCAGTCCTGCCATGGGCTATGTCCATGGTTTAGGAGCCTGTAGGGGCTTCCCGCCAGGGAACTGGAGCAGCCAGGAGCTGCTGTCCAGAACCCCAGGCTAATCAGAGCAGGGCCTCAGAGCCCTTGGAGAGACCCAGACTTTGAATCATGCGTGCTGAAACAAACTCTACAGGAGTGTTCTCAGCTGAGGACCAGCATCGGGGAGACAGAGCAATGGAATGTACCAGGATACTCTACCAGGAGAAGCCAAAGTCCTGGCTGTCCCTGGCTAAGCTGCTTACAGGGACAGGCTACCCATCACAGGCCAGGCACCAAGCTATGGATCCTCTCCTGACCATTGATGATGAGGCCATGTCCATGCATGTTCAGAGGTAAGAGACAGATACCCAGAGAGTGGCATAACTGGCAGAGAAAGAGAGGATAAAACACAGAGATAGTGGCAGAAACATGAAAACAATATGGAAGTCACAAACATGCCCCAGGTACTCTCCTAAGTGCTGCGTATATGCAAACTGAATGAGCTTTTGAGACAAGCGTGTTATTTGCACAGTATTGAGGACACCTAGACCTAGTGGTGGTAAACAGGCAGTGATTTGCCTAAGTCACTTTGCTAGGTAGGAGATTTGAACCTGGGATTTGAACCTGGCACTCTGGGTCCGTGTTCTTACCCAATAAGCCTCAGAGATAAAGTAAGGAGAGCCCAGCACAGACCAAAAAAATAAAAAATAAAAAAATAAAGAAAAGCCAGATCTGGTCTCCCTTCCAGCACTTTGTATACATCGTTATTCCTAAGGGGGAGGCTGACCTTGCTCCTCAGGCCCTAGGCTGGGAGTCCCCAGGGCAGGGTGCAGCCTGCTCCTTTGGCCTGCAGCCGGGCTGCTGGGGACAGGTCAGACGGGTCTGGCTGGTGCAGATGGTTGAGGTCCTGCAGCTTCCTTTGCTCGAGTCCCCCGGGCCTCAGCTGCTCAGCCCTACAAGAGGACTCTACCAGCCACATCCCACTGTCTGCCCCTAACTGGGGGTGAGGGGTGGGGGCTTCGTTCTCTAGGCCAGGCCCCACCCAGCTCAGTGAGACCAGTGGAAAACAGCTGAGCAGAGAGCCATCTCAGAAGACTACACTGCCCCAGCTCACCACCACCCTGGGAGACCACTGGAGAGATGGGCTTGTGTGAAGGGAAAACTGCTCTGCCTGGCAACCTCCCAGTGGGCTTCCTGTCTCCAAGGTGAGAGGCCTGCATGGGAGGAGGCCCACCGGGTTGTGACCCTCAATCCTACCTCAACTTAGCCTCTGAGTCCACATCATCCTGCGGGGAGCTCCTCTCCCTCCCCACACACTACCTCCCAAGGGTATACACCCCCATCTCCCAGTCCCACAGACGCAGACCACACTGTTTAAAAATAGAGCCTCTTTATTGGTACCTGTAAGCTCAGGTACAAGGTGTTCCCACAAGCACACAGGCTGTCAAGGCCTCCTGGGCAAGGCGGCAGGCCCAGAGCCTGGGCTTCTTGGCACAGACATAGAGAAAAATGAATAAATTATAGTTCTGACACTCAAGGACGATACAGAAATTAGGATGCAAAACTCAACATCAGCAAACAAAGGGCATAAAAGCCAAAAGGGCCACTCCTCACCTGAGCCAACCGGCTTTAGGGCATGGGCAGGTGGCTGGGGCTGACATGCAGTGCCCAGAAAGCCCTGAGATAGTCGTCAGGAGTGTGCTGTGGGCCCCGAGGCTAGTCCCTCGCCCTCTCTGGGCTTCCTGCTTCCCTTCTACATTAGTGGGCCCAGAATAAAGCCTGTGGCCTTTGGGGAGGAAGACCATGAGGCAGAGGACAGGAAGCAGAGGGGGCTGTGTGGGGGCAGAAGCAGGTTTTGGTCACGGTTGGCCTGGCCAGCCCAGCGCAGCCCAGCCTAACCTCCTACCTAGACGCTGTCCCCAGCCACTTGCCTCTCATAGCCAGGCTGCTGCTGCAGTAGACTATAGGCACCCAATCCACACCTGGTTTGTACCAAAGCCCAGGCAGGGTAGGGGATGCACAACAAGGCAGAAGGGACTCGCAGGGGTCTGTGCCCTACCCCAACTCCAGCGCTGCCCACCGGCCAGAGGGGAGAAGCCTACGCCTTCTAGTCTCCAAATAAATTATGGAAATAAATTATAGTCTTCACAGTCCACAAAATATAGCCACCCGTGGGTCTGAGGCTCAGGGTGGCAGGAGAAGCCATTAGAAGTGGCAGATTTCAGCCCTGTCTTGTTCAGGCTAAAGAACATCACATGAGACCGGAAAGGGGTCTGCAAAGCTCCAGGGGAGCCATATTTCCTCCTGTTCCTGGCACACACCATGGAAAGTGGAAGAAGAGACTGTGTGGGCTCTGTGTGTGCGGGGGTGTGTGGTGTGGTGGGGGGGCCAAGTGGCTGACAGGGAAAGCCCCCTCCCTGCCCTCTCTTCAGCACAGAAGAAGTTACAAAAATAAATAAGTCAATCCAAAGTGTTGCACAAAACTCAGGAGTGCCCGCATGGATGAGCCAGCCAACGGGAAAATCCTTAACATACAGACCTCAGGGAGCCCCCAGATTACAACAAAGCAGCAATAGGGCTCTTGGGACCACGAAAAGGTCCCCTAGTCCTCACACAGGCACCGGCTCCACCAGGGGCACTGGGGCCGGGTCCTCAAACAACTGGCTGTCCATGAAGGGTGCCGGGGCCTCAGTGGCTGAGTCCGCCAGGCCCACAAGGGACTCCAGGAGGCAAGCGCCGGTGTCCCCTGCTGGAGAAAAGGTTGGCAGGGGGAAGAAGGGGGCCTCCGGGTTGTCCAGGCTGTCAGACACCTTCCGGGAGGTGTAGTGAGGCCCCAGACTATAGTCTGGCAGGGCCTGGAGCAGCTCGAAGGAGTCGCAGGAAGACAAGCTGAGGTCCACAGAGTTGCTCTGGCCAGCATCTGAGCTGGGCAGCACTGAGGCACCAGAGAAGCTGCCTTCTCCCAACCCTTCAAGGCTACTGTTCAGGAAGAAGCTGGCATCCAGGTTGGCGTTTTCATCCAGGATGCCTAACGTGAGGCTAGAGCTAGAATAGCTGTGGGTCCAGCTGGCCAGGCCACCGGGCTCACCAGTACCAAAGATATCAGCTGGGTGGAAGCAGCTGAGGTTGTCCAGGCTCCCCACTCCCCCTTCCTCTTCCTCCTCCTCTTCCCCTCCCAGGTCAGAGTCACTGAGACTTAGGACCCGGGCCAGGCTATCATCATCCATGTCGGGCTGGAAGCCAGGGCCAGGCAGGGCTGGGTGGGCGGTGCCGCTCGGGGCCTCGCTGGTGCCCGAAGCTGTGGAGGAGTCGGTCATTTCGCTGCTACAGCTGTTGTCTCCCAGCTCGCTGCTCACGGGGGGCTTGGCCAGCGGGAAAGCGGGGACCAGGACCTGCTCACCAGGGCTGGCTGGGCTGTCCTGGCTGGGCGCCTCCAGCTCCCCCAGGCTCTCGGCCCCCTGCTCCAGCTGCAGGCGGGTGAGGGTGTGGAGGAAATGGGTCTGCACGCGGGCCTGATTAAATTCTACACGGCCCTTGGGGTTCTCGCAGCCCTCCCTGCAGCAGCCGCAGGGGAACGCAGTGTGGTCCATCTGCAGAGAGAACAGAGCATGAGTGAGGATCCTGTGGAGCCCAGAGAAGCCCCTGAGCTCCGGTTCTACTCCCAGCCCGTACCTGGCACTTGATGCCTGCCAGACTGCAGCTGCAGGTCTCGGGGTCACAGACCCGATCACAACGACAGCCACAGTCCTCTCGGGACTGGCGCAGAGCCTGCAGCTCCCGCTTCTCCTCGCGATCGATCCTCCGCACCCCAGCAGCCCGCAGCAGAGCCCGCCGTCGCCGGGCTGGGTAGGGCTGTAGGAAGGTCATCTCCTCCAACCGGCCACCTGCCACGGCCACGGCCAAGTCCTCTTCCACAGAGGCGTCATCAATGGCGTCCACTGTGAGTGGCAGGCTAGCCTCCGTCTCAGGCACCCCGGTCTCCGCAAGCTGTACCACAGCAGAGAGGAAGGATGTGAGAGACAGACAGGGGTCTTGGCCCCCACCGCCACCAGTCACTGGACAAATGTTCCCCACAGGCTTATTCTGGGCTGAGCACCATGGATACCACAGTGAATGCGAAGGCCAACAACACTGCCCTTGGGGCATTGGCAAAGAGATTTCCTGTTCCTGTCATTTCCCCAGTTCCTGGACAAGCCCCCAGCCTCCCTCCACAGCCAGCCTGACACCCCACCCCCAATGTCACATCAACTACCCATCCCTCACATGGCAAGGTCAGACAGCTTCAGGCACCATGCCCCCAGCCACTACAGCAAACACAGGCCCTTCCACACCCCACTCTGTCTGCAGATCATCCAGGTAACAGGCCCTGATGGAGCAATACTGGCCCCAAAGGCCTCTTTCCCTAAATACATAATGAGCATACTGGCTCCCATCCTAGAAGCCCCTCCCCTCTAAGGCTAGGACTTCAGAAGCCAGCCAAGGGCCCCTGCAAAGGAGAGGGGTCTCCCCTACCTTCCACCGGAGCGCCTCCAGCTTCTCCTCCTTCAAGCGTAGGCGCAGCTTCTCACGCCGTGCCCGGGCTTGCTCCTGGGTGAACTCAGCCAAGGAAAAGCGGCGGCAGGCACTGTGGCGGGAGGCCATACCCAGAGTGCAGCCACCACGGCTGGGCACACTGGTGAAGCCCTGGCACCGTGGAAAGTAGAAGACAGTGATACCATCAAAGGCGACACGGCCTGGCCGCTTCCGGGGAGCCCGCTTCAGGATGGACAGGGCTGGAAGGCACAGAGGGAAGGGATAGGACATTAGTTCTCTGTGAGGCTCAGCAAACCTCCAGGAAGATGGTACTGAATGACCTTTCCTCTCATGTCCTGCTGTGACCTCCCACCCCAAGAAATGGATCTGAATTTAGGAACCAGCCTGGCTGGGATTAGAGCTGGTAAAATTGAATGCCCCTCCTTACTATTACTTACCAGTCCAAATGAGACTGTTAGATTAAACACCTCTGTCATCTTTATTAGCCATTTATAGGTTCCTTAGGCAGTTTTCTATAGTTTTTTTTTTTATTCATTTGTAGGAACTCTTTATATATGATATTAAAGACACTGATCACCTGTCTAAGCTATCTGCAAATATTTTGGTCTTTTATTTTTGTTCAAGGCATTTTACAAAATAACTTCTAAGGCCATGTAATTAAAAATATATTGACCTTTTCCTTGAGTTTCTTGCATTTTGCAACAGGCTTAGAAAGGCTCTTATCTGGAACTGCCTAAGTTATGGATTGTATATTGATTAGTAAGCTATATTTGGTATATTCTATACAAATATTGGTATACTACTGCTTTTAATTGAACCATAAGTAGTTGCCTTAGAACTGAATACTGGTGACTGCATGTATTTCAACTTAACGATTTTGCCTGTCCCAATCCAATACATAGAATTCTTATTCTCTCTGCAAACTGAACTGGGTAGCACTTACTGAACAATGTTAACTACTAGTGGTGACAGCATCCTCATCTTGTTCCTTAGTGGGACAGCTTACAGTATGTTCTCACCGACAGGAATGCCAGCTTTTGGGCTGAGACACATATTTTTAATCACTTAAGGTAGAATTCACTTATTACTATTTTACCAAGGGCCTTATCTAGAAGGAACATGATATTTTATCAAGTGTTTTTCAGCATCCACAGTGGCTCTCATTTTTCTTCCTCTGACAAAGTCATTGGGTAAACTCTAAGACTGGATTTTATAAATATTAAACCATTCTTATATTGCCAGAATAAATCCAGTTTAGTCAACATACTGTTAGGTTTTATGTGCTAAAAATCATACTCTTTTTCTATGTATAATACACAGATACATTTATTAGTACATAAACAAAGACATACCCAGGGATTAAAATGTCACTGCAGTTATAATTAGGAAAAATATGTCTAAAAAAGTTCCCTGGTGTTGGGGGCAGCAATAACGGAGAATAAAATCGAGGAATACTGCTTTAGGGCTCTTTGTCATTTTGAAATCAGAATGACGCCAGCTTGAAAAGTAACTGGGGATGAAACCTTTCCACTATGTTCAGGCAAAGCCAAAAGGCATTTTGACAGAGAGGGACCGGCCTGACAGGCCCCGCAGTAGAGTGTGGGGCGTGGGACTCTAGTGGTTCAGTTGGTAGGACAGGGTGTGCAAGCTGGAGAAATGAAACTGGAACGTAAGGGAGGAGTTGGAGCCAGAGGGCCCCAGGGCCACTCTGAGGAGCTCCGTCCTGACCTGCAGGACTTCTAAGCAGGGAGTCCTGAGGTTGAAGGTGAATCAAGCCGGGCCCAGGTGCCTCTGGACAGTGGGCATTCCTCAGTGACCACTGTATTACGGGAAGTGGCCAAGGTGGAGAGCCAAAGCCATTGGGACACGACCTCCAGAGGCCAAAATGGCTTTGTCAGAGGCCTCCCAATTTCATCTTCAGGAAGGAAGGAGGGGTGTGGTGGTTCCCAGGAGAGGGGGACTCACGGGGAAAACTCCGGGGGCCACAGAAGTCACGGTCAGGCAAAGGCGATTGATGCCAGGGGCCCTCCTCATCGGAATCCCAGGCTAGGGAGACTGACGAGCTTGGAGAGCAGGAGCGAGAACGGCGGCCCGAGGAGGAAAAAGAGGAGGAGGAGGAGCAGAGGGAGGAGTCGTCCTCATCCAGCTGGTCAAACTTCCTCTTCAGGGGCCCGGTCATGGTGGAGCAGGGGGTACTCTGGGGTCCGCACACTGACAGCCTGGAGTGGAAAGGAGAAACCTCTGGATGGCAGGCCTGCAGACAGGCGGCGGCTGCTCAGTCTCGATCAACTCCCCTACCCTTCAAGGTGTCCCAGGCCTCCTCCTTGGCTCTGCATGCAGGGGGACGGCTTCGAAAGGCTTCCTGCCTCGGGCAGAGTACCGAGGTCCAAACCCTCCTCCGGGCACTTGCAGATTCCCACCATCTCTGCCCAAAAGCCTTCCTAGGACACCACTGGGAACCTTCCCCACTACCTCCTACAACCCACCTACACACATGCATTCACCAGACCAACAGATGGACCAACAGACCTCAGCCGGGCCTCGTTCATTCCCCGACAGGAATCCTGGGGGCTGACTCACTGGCTGGGTGATTCACACAGCTCGCATCTGTGTGCCTTTGTGTGTGTGAGGCCGTCTGCCGCAGCCTGCACAGCCCTGTACGGTGGCTCTCCTTCCCCCTCCTCCTCCACCACCACCCCCAAACACCCCCACAGATACACCACCTTATGGGTGGGTGCGCGCGCACACACACACACACACACACACACTCTCTCCCTCTCTCCTCTGTCTCTGGGGCCAGGCTGACCAGGGCACTCCGGGAAACAGGCTGCCTTCGACACTGGCCCCGATTCCCAGACACAGGACTTTCCAGAGCCCCTCCTCTCCCGTGACAGAGCCACTCAGACTTTCCCTCAGAAACCCCCACCCCACAGAAGTCCCCTGCTTCCAGGCCTGGCTGTGCTTCATGTGTCTCTAACAACTCCTGTTTGATCTTAAAAATGCATCTACATCTTGCCTCGACTCCAACATCTAGCTCTGTTTGTTTGAATTAACTTCCTATGGAAAATTATTTTTTTCCTCTACACACACACACACACACACACACACACACACACCCCGACAACAACTCTTAGTGAAACCGACCAATCAAGATGACATCCCAGTGTCTCCTGTTTGTAGCTTGGTGACTTGGGGGTACCTTAGGACACAGCTTACTGTGTCTCCCCTTTAAGGGTCTCAGCCCTTGGAGCAGGGCAACCGGAGCCTCCCACAGCCTGGCTGGCCTCGGCTAAGGGGAGTGGAATTGGGGCTCCCACCCCTAAATGCCTCCACTATCCCTGGAAATCCCCAAAAGACTCAGTCCTAAGGGCTGAACTACCTTGTCTCTCTGTGTCCTACAGGGCTCAGGTCTGGGCCCCAGGAGGTCACCAGGAGGAAGGGGAAACGGTGCAGAGGCCCTAGTGCTGGGGAGCCCCTCCCCCACTACCATCACAGGAAATGAGAACAGGAAAAACCAACCAGAAGGCTGGCCATCTCCTCTCCTCAGGTGTCCTTTCTAAACACCCTTGTCCCCCTTTGCCAAGCCTAGGACAGAGTCTCTGGATCCTAGAGCTAGATAGAAGGTGCGCAGTCAGTAGACTTACTGGATAAAATTCATCCTGAGCACAGCCTCTCCCCACGGACAAGAGAGAAGCAAGAGAAACTCCCCTCCTTGCTAACCCTTCACACTGGGCCAGGGGAAGAGAACGCACAGGTGCTTCCGGGGACTTCTCAGCGGGTAGTTTCTCAGGCTTGGCACCCGCAACCCCCCCCAAACCACAAACAAAAACAACCCAGCTCCCAGCTGACCTGCAGCCTCTCCTAGGAGTTGGGGGAACTCATGACCCAGAGCCAGGCGCACACACATGTACACACGTGCAGACCCCAGAGACAAACACAAACACACACCGCCAAGCCACACACACATACCCTGCCCCTACCAGCCCTGTGGGGAGACCCCATCCTCTCCCAAACTTCAGATGCTGTCCATAGGGTGCTGAATGCCTCATCACACGCCCAAGCCCAAGGCCCACCCACCGCCAAAACCAAATGCCCACTCTGTATCTCTGCCTGGCTGTCCCTAAGAAACATAAAATTCCATAGGCCCCAAATCGAAACCCTTGTCTCTTCCCCACCCCCAACCTATGCCATCTGTTCCTCTTCCTGTGTTCCCTATCTTAGTAACGGCACTGCCACCCACCCAGTTACTCAAGCCAGAAACCTGCAGCCATCCTCAACAACTCCTTCCTCCCTCTCCCTCGGGCCACATCCAGGCCCCCAGTCCTGCAAGCATACACTAGCTCATTTAATGCACACAAGGCTAGGCAGAGACAGTGGGGACTAGGGAGGCCATCAGCATAGGATTAAGAACCTTGGCTCCAGAACCAGACTGCCTGCACTGGAACCCTGGTTTGGCTATTACTCAGCTGCGTGACCCCAGTCAAGGTCCTTAAGCTCGCGGTGTCTCCAATTCTTTGTCTTAAAACCTCACAGGGTTGGGAGGTTTACAAGAATCAATACATGTCAAGTTCTTAGGACAGTGGTAAGTGCTGAGTGAACATGGCATTCTACACTGTGGGAAAACAGAGCTCCTGGATACAACATGTGAATCTCAGTGATGTCATGTGGAATGAAAGCAGCCAGATGCAAGAATACATGTGAATGAAATTCAAGGAAACGTAAACCCAGTCAGTGATGATACAAGTCAGAATGGGAGGGGCGGGAGTTTGATATGCACTGGGGACAGCGGTTGAGGGGGGAGCCTGGGAACTTCACATTGCTGGGTGAGTGGGTTTCTTGAAATGTTCTGTGTTACCTGGCTGGTGGTTCCACGAATGTCTAAACACTAAAAACTCATCTAGCTGTGCACATAGAATTCATATGCTTTACGCATTCATGCATGGCTCCTTCAATTTTATTACCTTATGTCTCTGTCCCCACTGCTACTGTCAATGTACCCTGCCTCTGCTCCTGCTGTCCCCCTGCAGCCAGAGTGGTCTTCCTAAAGATCTCTGCTTGCCATCCCCATGCTTAGGAAAGCTGGGCCTTAGGATCAAGCCTAGAATTCCGAGAGAGGCTGCAGCAGGCCTGGCTGCTGCCTCCCCCTTTCCCTCACTATATTCCAGCTGAACTTGCAGTTCCCCTAATTGCCATGACCTGCCCGCCTCCTGGCCTTTGCACAAGCTGGAACTCAGCCTACTCTAACAGTCATTTCCAAGAGGGCCTCCCTGAAACCCCTATTTCTCACTCTTGACTACTGCCTCTCTGGGCTCCCACGGGCTCTGGGAATCCCCTACCCCCACCCTTCTCTCAAAGTCTTGCTGCGGCCTCGCTGTCTTTCCCTTAGATCAGGCGGAGGGGGCCTCTCTGCCTGGCCATCCCTGTACCCAAGCTTAGAGCAGAGTCTGGCATAGAGAAGGCACCTAAAGACCAGCAGAGGTGGACCTCAGTGCGACTTCCTGATCCTGTCAGTTAGTCTGGGGGTACACACGTGTAGACCAGAGATCTGCCTGCACTGGAGCCATAGGAGGGGGTGGCTCTGAGGGTAGGAAGCTCAGGCTGCGCTCAGATGCCAACATACGCATCTCAGGAGACACCCTGTTCCCCAGAAGTAAACAAACAGATACCAAGCAAGCAGATTTAAGCCAGACACCCTGGCTCTGCCTCGGGCATGTCTACAGAATGGGAATTTAAGGTGAAGGTGTTATAAATGTCAGGAAAAACAGGGACACAGGGAAGCTACAGCCATGCTGCAGGTTCTAGTGGTGAACCCCAGCAGGATCTGCAGACCTAGAGTATAACGAGAACTTAGCTCTTCCCTGATACTCCTCTGGGGTGGAGGGAGAAGAAGGAGCAGCCCTTGGGTCTTGTGCTTCTCTGTCCCACCTGGGAATTCAGAGGCCAAGAGAGGCAGAGGCAGGAGATGAGAAAAAGACTCAGCCAGAGACAAGGACAGGCCAAGTCAGAAAAAGGAATGAAAGATAGTGAAAGAGTCCAAGAAAAGTGTCAGACAGTGAGTCAGAGGAGGGGGGAGGGGCCCTCAGCAGCTACCCAGGAATCAAAATCCCAACCATGGCTCTGTTCCCAGGGTGAACACGGCCCCCTCCTAGGGTCCTGGAGGAAGGAAAAGCAATTCCCAAGAGTTGGCTCAGACAGAAATGCCACACACACCCCAGAGGAGCCCCAGAGACAAGCCCTGAATCAAAGAGAGCGAGGCTTCTTCCGGGATCTGCCTGGGCCCTGAGATCAGGCCACCCTCCTGTCACTACACACAGGAGTAGGATGGCTAGGATGAAGGGGTGAG